GGGGGCGTTCTGTGTACAGAACACCTCCAGGTCGCCATATTGCATTTTTACGGAAAATGACAAAAAGAAAAGGAAAGGTCATATTTAATAACATTTAATTACAATGTGTCTTGTGTAGCAATTGTGTACATTAGTTCTCTCTTTTTTTTTTTTTTTCTAAAGGATAGCCCTACATTCATTTCTCTCATTTCAATGTTTACTGTGATGCCTAATGTGTGGCGCACAGGGGCGGACTCATGGGGTCCCCGGGCAATAGGGAATCATGGGGCCCCTGTGTCCTTGCCCAAACTCAAAGCACACCTAAAAAAGCCTATTAAAAGGTACCAGGGGCATTTATGACCTCGGGCCTCAGGCAGTGCCCAAGTGCCCGAATGGTCAGTCCGCCCCTGGTGGTGCAGTTGCTGTTGCCCTAAGTGCGTCTTTACATTCAATTATGTGTGCTGTCAGGGGTTGCTTTAAAAATATTTCTTGGCATTTATATTTATTTTATTGTAATTTTTTTTTTTTTTTAACTTGCTACCAAAGGGGGGGGCTGGCTGGCTAACTCTAACCCTAGATTTTTTCCATCCAATACATCAAACTACACCACACCAATGTCATATAACCCGCCTGTAAGGGAAGGTTCTACAATTTTTCATTTTTTTTATAACCAAAGTTTAAAGCGGTATTAAACCCCAAAGCACAACTATATTATATAACCGCTTACTAATTCTTAGATGTGGTGGCTGCATTCGTTTTCTCTTTTGGGTTTTCTTTCTTCCATGTTCATCTGCTGATCCAGCCGGTAAGTCTGTTATTTTTCAAAAGGACAAGCTCTCCTGCAGATGTATCAGTTACGGAGATGAGACAAACCGTTTACTAATGATGGCAGTGCTTACAAGGATCAGCTTTTTTTATTCACATAAAACCTTTATCCCAAAAGGAACAAAACTGCTGTAACAGTTTATAAAGTGTGATCTGGGGTTTAGCTTCAATTTGTTAGTGTATCAAAATCTGCTAATCCATCTAACACCCCCCCCCCCCCGACTGACAGCGCTGCTGTCCAAAGGTGCCCCTCCCCGTGCTGCTGCATCCAGAGTGGGGGGCGGAGCAGAAAGTGTGTTGTTGGCCAGGTCATCAGGTGAAAACAGAGGGTGGAAAGACTAATGCAGGCCATAGATTGGTCGAAAATAAAATCGGCCGATTTTCGCACCATTAGTGGGTTAATTGTTCGGCGGTTTTTTTGGTATTTTGGCAGATTTTTTTATCGGTAAAGTTGGAAAAAGATCGGCCGATTTTGCCGATCGGCCAATTTTCGCAGCAATTATGGGCAAATCGGCCGATCTTTTTACCGATAAAAAAAATCTGCGCATGAGCAGTGACCTGCAAGAGGAAGACAAAAAGAAGAAAAAGAAGAGGATGAAGAAGAAGAGGATGAAGAAGAAGAAGAAGAGGATGAAAAAGAAGAGGATGAAGAAGAGGATGAAAAAGAAGAAGAGGATGAAGAGGATGAAGAAGAAGAAGAGGATGAAGAAGAAGAAGAGGATGAAGAAGAAAGGATGAAGAAGAAGAGGAAGAAGAAAGGATGAAGAAGAAGAAGAATTCCAGTCCCAAAAAGTGTCCCTGCAGAGAGCTCCACTATTTCTTTGACAGTGCTTTGACATTTATAGCGGTTGCAACATTGTATCTATTTGTTTCCGAATAAAAACATCTTTATCCGAAATGGATACAAATAGATACAATGTTGCAACCGCTATAAATGTCAAAGCACTGTCAAAGAAATAGTGGAGCTCTCTGCAGGGACACTTTTTGCCGGCTCTAAACGGGATGAAAATCGGCTGATTTTTTTTTTTTTTTTTTTACCATTCCTGGTAACGTCGTCGCCGCTTTTTTTTTGAACGACCGATTTTTCATTTTTTTAAAGAAAAATCTGCCGGTTTTCTCCCCATCTATGGCCTGCATTAAAAAGAACACGAATGCAGCCGCCACATCTAATGATTGCTAAGCTGCAGTGATACGTTTTTGGTTTTGGGTTAAATACCGCTTTAAGTGGAAATGAGGATCGGCTTAAAAAACTCCTTTTACACCTCGGGTGGGTCACAGTGCAAAGGGTGGGCAAGCTGCCTGGCGGCTCGTGTTTTGTTTCGGTGTAAAATGGTTACATTTATCATATTCTGGGTATAATTGATTCATTCTGATAAACATTTATGGTCCGCCATCGTCATGTTGTGGCCAGTAGTTGGCGCTCTCAACACAAACATACAGTCACAGCCAAAAATCTTACCCCCCCCCCCTCATTCTCATGTTTATTTCTTTGGTTTGTATCGGTATGACACAAAAAAGTGAAGAAACAAAAAAGCCAAATCTGACACATTCCACGCAAAACCCCAAAAATAGACCGGACAAAATTATTGGCACCTTCTCAAAATGGTAAGAAATTAATTGCATTCCACATCTGTGATGTTCCTATAATTTGTCATTAGACTCCCCTGTATCCATGACCAGGAGCTGACAGCATAGAAATCACACCGACAACCGGGGACAATGGGGAAAAACCTTTCTGTTGGGTGTCTCTGTGTGCCACATGGAGCATGGAGGAGAGAAAGAGCAGCAAAGAATTGTCTGAGGATCGGAGAAACAAAAATGGTGGAAAAGCATGGACCATCTCAAGGTTACAAGTCCATCTCCAGAGATCTTAATGATCCTGTGTCCACTGTGCGCAGCATTGTCAAGACGTTTGCAGCCCATGGCACTGTCGCTAATCTCCCTGGATGTGGATGGAAGAGAAAAATTGATCAAAGATTGCAACAAAGGATTGTTGGAATGGTGGCTGAAGAACCTCAATCAACTTCCAGACAAATCCAAGCTGACCTTCAGGCACCGGGTACAACTGTGTCCACTCCACCGTCCCATCTGAATGAAAAGGGACACTATACGTCGCCATCTGAATGAAAAGGGACACTATGGTAGGAGACCCAGGAGGACCCCACTGCTGACACAGATATGTATGGTAGGTAGGAGACCCAGGAGGGCCCCACTGCTGACACAGAAATATGGTAGGAGGCCCAGGAGGACCCCACTGCCCAGGAGACCCCACACACAGAAATATGGTAGGAGACCCAGGAGGACCCCACTGCTGACACAGAAATATGGGAGGAGACCCAGGAGGACCCCACTGCTGACATAGAAATATGGGAGGAGACCCAGGAGGACCCCACTGCTGACAGAAATATGGTAGGAGACAGAAACTATGGTAGGAGGAGACCCAGGAGGACCCCACTGCTGACAGAGAAATATGGGAGGAGACCCAGGAGGACCCCACTGCTGACAGAGAAATATGGTAGGAGACATAGGAGGACCCCACTGCTGACACAGAAATATGGTAGGAGACCCAGGAGGACCCCACTGCTGACAGAGAAATATGGGAGGAGACCCAGGAGGACCCCACTGCTGACAGAGAAATATGGGGGGGAGACCCAGGAGGACCCCACTAATAACACAGAAATATGGTGGGAGACCCAGAAGGGCCCCACTGCTGACACAGAAATATAGTAGGAGACCCAGGAGGACCCCACTGCTGACACAGAAACATATTGGAAGCCAGACTGGAGTTTGCCAAAACTTACCTGAGGAAGCCAAAATCCTTCTGGGAGAATGTGCTGTGGACAGACGGAACAAAATGGTAAAAAGTAAAGTAGTAAAGTCCATCATTCTACTGTTATCAGAAAAGCAATGAGGCCTTTAAAGAAAAGAATCCAGTCCCTCCAGTCACACATGGTGGGGGGGGGGGGGGTCACTGATGTTTTGGGGTGGCTTTGCTCCTTCAGGCACTGGATGTTTTGGCCGTGTGGATGGCATTATGGAATCTGAAGACTACCAAAGAATTCTGGGGTGCAATGTAGGGCCCGGTGTCAGAAAGTTGGGTCTCCATCAGAGGTCATGGGTCTTCCAGCAGAACAATAACCCAAAGCACACATCAAAGAGCCCCCAGAAATGGTGAACCCCCCCATGAACTGGCCAGCAATGAGTCCAGATCTCCATCCCATAGAGCTCCTGTGGAGAGATCTCAGAACATCAGTTGGGAAAAGGAACCTTCCAATCTGAGAGACCCGGAGCAGATCCAAAATTCCAGCAGAGAGGTGGAGGAAACTCATTGATGGTTTCAGGAAGCCATTGATTTCAGTTATTTTTTTCCAAGGGGTGTGCGACCAAATATTACATGGAGGGTGCCAATAGTTTTGTCCGGTCCATTTTGGGGGTTTTGCGTGGAATGTGTCAGATTTGACTTTTTGTTTCTCCAGTTTTTCGTGTCACCAATACAAACAAAAGAAATAAATTTGAGAATACCAAAATATTTGTCATTGCAACAATTTTCTGGGTGAAGTGGTGCGTTCTTACAAATGTGGGGGTGGGGGCAAGATTTTGGACATGACTATATAATTGATTCATCATGATAACCATTTATGGTCCTCCATCGACATGTTATGGCCAGTAGTTGGCGCTCTCAACACAAATATCTGCATTTAAATTGCCAATGTTAATGTGGCGTTAAACCCAAAATCGAATATATTGCTGCTTACCAACCATTAGATGTGGCGGCTGCATTCGTTTTCTTTTTTTTTTTTAAGAAAGCAGGCCTAAAAAGAAACCGAATGCAGCCGCCACCTCTTAGAATTGGTGAGCTGCAATATAATAAATGTTTGTTTTTGGGGATTAATATCGCTTTAATATTCTTATGAATGAAGAACTTTGGAACTCGAGAGAAAATCCTGACAATTTTGGTCGGCATTAGTATAGAACGAATATATGTTGGGTGGACAGACGGCGGTGCAGATTTTCCAGATGCACCCCGGAGTGTGGATGTGAGTCCACTGTATCCTGGATTTTGGATATAGTCATCCCTATTATTGGGGTGGTGGGGGTGGCCAGGCTCCACAGATGATGGCCGCAGGAACATCTTCCCCCCCTATTCCATGGCTTCTGTGGGCGGAGTTCCTCACCGCGTCTTCTTTCCTTTTCAGTTACAAGACTCTGGTCACCGAACATGAAGCTCTCATGCAGAAATACTTACATCTGCTGCAGATTGTGGAGACCGAGAAGAAGGTGGCCAAGCAGCTGAGACAGCAGATCGAAGACGGAGAGGTGGAGGTGGAACGACTTAAAGCCGAGGTGAGCGACTTCTGTAACAAGGACAGACCCAACGGCAGATCAGCTTCCTGTCTTTTTAGCGGGGCACCCAAATGAAAATTCCCGGTCCGAAACCGAAAATTCAGGATGCATTTGGCTGAAAACCAAAATGGAGGGGTTTTTTTCCCATCCCCATCCATCCATGTCTTTCTCCATCCATCTATCCATGTCTTCATCCATCCATCCATCTATCTATCCATCCTTGTCTCCATCCATCCATCCATCCATCTATCTATCCATCCTTGTCTCCATCCATCCATCCATGTCTCCATCCATCTATCCATGTCTCCATCCATCCATCTATCTATGTATCCATCCATCCATCTATCTATGTATCCATCCATCCATCCATCTGTCTGTCTCCATCCATCCATCCATTTCTCCATCCATCCATCTATCCATGTCTCCATCCATCCATCTTTCCATGTCTCCACCCATCTATTAATGTCTTCTTCCATCTAATCATCCTTGTCTCCATCCATGCATCCATCCATATCTCCATCCATCCATGTCTTCTTCCATCTCTCCATCCATCCATGCATGTCTCCATCCATCCATCTGTCCATGTCTCCATCCATTCATCCTTGTCTCCATCCATCCATCTATCTACCCATGTCTCCATCCATCTATCTATGTCTCCATCCATCTATCTATGTCTCCATCCATCCATGTCTCCATCCATCCATATCTCTACCCATCCATCCATCTATCCATGTCTCCATCCATCCATCCATCTATCCATGTCTCCATCCATCCATCCATCTATTAATGTCTTCTTCCATCTAATCATCCTTGTCTCCATCCATGCGACCAACCATATCTCCATCCATCCATGTCTTCTTCCATCTCTCCATCCATTCATCCTTGTCTCCATCCATCCATCTATCCATGTCTCCATCCATTCACCCTTGTCTCCATCCATCTATCCATGTCTCCATCCATTCACCCTTGTCTCCATCCATCTATCCATCCATCCATCCTTGTCTCCATCCATCCATTCATGACTTCTTCCATCCATCTATCCATGTCTCCATCCATCCATTTATCCATGTCTCCATCCATCCATCCCTCCATCCATGTCTCCATCCATCCATGTCTCCATCCATCCATCCATGTCTCCATTCATCCATCCATCCATCCATGTCTCCATCCATCCATGTCCCCATGATTTATTTTGCTAAGAAATCCTTTTAAAAAAAACATCCCCCCCTAGCATTTCTGGCAGTGGCCATCTTGAGTAAGGGCAGATGATTCATGTAGCATTTATTTCCTGGAATCCATCTGCCCTTAGCTCAGGCATAGCGGACAGGAGGGCGTGCTTAGCTGAGAAAGCCCTTCCTCCTATGAAGACTCCTGGGATGTATGACATCATGTTGGCCTAGGCCAGAAACCAGGAAGCAGTGGTGCACTGAAATGAAAATTCTCGGACCGAAACCGAAAATTGAGGATGCATTTGGCCAAAAACCGAAACCAAAATGGACAGTTTAAAAAAATATATATATAATTATTTTTTTTTTTCATATGTAATTGTATTACATTCGACTTTTTAGTGAATATCATGAATATAAATTGAATATGAATTTATTTTCAGCACCTTTTTGGGCCAATAAGCTGCTTTCACATTAAGAAGTTTGTGAAGCGCTTTTACATAAATAAAAAACGCAAGAAAAATGCATCCCTTTCAATCCAATGCATTTCAGGTTTGGTTCACATCCATGCACTTTGTGTTTTGTCCGTTTTGCAGTGCTTTTTGCACTCGTGATTTTGATGTAGTTTTTTGGGGGCCAATTTGTTGCTGGGCAGATTAAAACTTTTGCAGTGTCTCCATTGAAGTCTATTGAACCAAAAACGCAAGGTTTTTGCGTCAAAAAAAGTCCCTGACCCTTTCCAAAAATGCAGAACCTCGAAAATCATAGATGTGAATGTGTCCCATAGGAAACCATATTAAATGGACTGTAGTGCGTTTCTGCAAAAAGCAGAAAGGAATAATTCCCCATCATTGGTGTCAGTGGGAGGAATAGTGCCCCATCATTGGTGTCAGTGGGAGGAATAGTGCCCCATCATTGGTGTCAGTGGGAGGAATAGTGCCCCATCATTGGTGTCAGTGGGAGGAATAGTGCCCCATCATTGGTGTCAGTGGAAGGAAATAGTTCTCTGTCATTGGTGTCAGTGGGAGGAATAGTGCCCCATCATTGGTGTCAGTGGGAGGAATAGTGCCCCATCATTGGTGTCAGTGGGAGGAATAGTGCCCCATCGTTGGTGTCAGTGGGAGGAATAGTGCCCCATCATTGGTGTCAGTGGGAGAATAGTGCCCCATCATTGGTATCAGTGGGAGGAATAGTGCCCCATCATTGGTGTCAGTGGGAGGAATAGTGCCCCATCATTAGTGCCTCATCATTGGTGTCAGTGGGAGGAATAGTGCCCCATCATTGGTGTCAGTGGGAGGAATAGTGCCCCATCATTGGTGTCAGTGGGAGGAATAGTGCCCATCATTGGTGTCAGTGGGAGGAATAGTGCCCCATCATTGGTGTCAGTGGGAGGAATAGTGCCCCATCATTGGTGTCAGTGGGAGGAAATAGTGCCCCATCATTGGTGTCAGTGGGAGGAATAGTGTCCCATCATTGGTGTCAGTGGGAGGAATAGTGCCTCATCATTGGTGTCAGTGGGAGGAATAGTGCCCCATCATTGGTGTCAGTGGGAGGAATAGTGCCCCATCATTGGTGTCAGTGGGAGGAATAGTGCCCATCATTGGTGTCAGTGGGAGGAATAGTGCCCCATCATTGGTGTCAGTGGGAGGAATAGTGCCCCATCATTGGTGTCAGTGGGAGGAATAGTGCCCCATCATTGGTGTCAGTGGGAGGAATAGTGCCTCCATCATTGGTGTCAGTGGGAGGAATAGTGCCCCATCATTGGTGTCAGTGGGGGAATAGTGCCCCATCATTGGTGTCATTGGGAGTAGTGAGGATAGTGGTCCCATCGGAGGAATGGTGTCATGGGGGGGAGGAATAGTGCCCCATCATTGGTGTCAGTGGGAGGAATAGTGCCCCATCATTGGTGTCAGTGGGGGGGATGAATAGTGCCCCGTTGGTGTCAGTGGGGGGAGGAATCCTCATCATTGGTGTCAGTGGGAGGAATAGTGCCCCCATCATTGGTGTCAGTGGGAGGAATAGTGCCCCATCATTGGTGTCAGTGGGAGGAATAGTGCCCCATCATTGGTGTCAGTGGGAGGAATAGTGCCCCATCATTGGTGTCAGTGGGAGGAATAGTGCCCCATCACCGATGTGCAGTTTTCTGTGTCGGATGTTATTTCGGTGAACACTTTGACGCTTTGTGTGGAGACAAATGGGACTCGGTGTCATGGGGATGTGATGTCAGTGACACCTTGATGTGGTAATGAGGATCATTATGATGGATGTTATAACCGGGCCATTCATAAGCTGCCTCTTCATTAACCCTTTACACACCAAATGCCTGTTCTGCAGTTTCTCGGCTCCACCTACTAATGGCTAGTCCTGATCTGATTGGCCCATACGACAGGTCCTCCAATATCCTATAGACCGGGATGGAGCCGTGCTTTTCCCATTTTTTTTTTTTTTTTTTTTTTTGTTAAACCCCAAAATAAGGAATTCCTTCTTGGTACATTTAGGCATTATTATTGAGAGGTGGAAATGGAATTGGTGGACAAAAAGGATACGTTTTGTTTTTTTTGGGGGTTTTTTTTCTGTTTTTTTTTTACGCACGGTGAATCTGTGCTTAGTTACCGGGGTCTAGTTGTAAAACATTCGTCGGGTGAATATCACAAGCATTCACCCATCCCTCAGGAATTCTAACTGGATTTTGCTTAATAGAGGTATTTCCTATGATCATTGGCGCCATATAGTGGCCATATTGTGGTTTTTCAGGAGAAATATTGCATAAGACGGAGACCCCGATATGTAAAACGTGAACACAAATACTTTTATGACCCCATTCAATCTGCATTAAGCAATGTACAGGGATGGCTTATGAGGACTAGGCGAACGTTTGTGAAATTCATACAGGATTTGTAGGAGAAGTTCTGTCCTCTACTGAGACAGTGGGAGAGGACAGAGGTGCGGGGGTGCTGTGGCTGCACAGAGAGGTGCAGGGTTTGTAGGAGGAGTCCTGTCTTCTGATGAGACAGTGGGAGGGGACAGAGATAAGGGGGGTGCTGCAGCTGCACACAGAGAGGTGCAGGATTTGTAGGAGGAGTCCTGTCTTCTGCTGAGACAGTGGGGGGGCAGAGATGAAAGAGTGCTGCAGTGCTGCAGATGCCCAGAGAGGCGCAGGGAACAGAGATTTGTAGGAGGGAGTCCTGTCCAGTCTGCTGAGACAGTGGGGGGGGACAGAGGGGGGACAGAGGGCGGGGGTGCTGTGGCTGCACAGAGAGGTGCAGGATTTGTAGGAGGAGTCCTGTCCTCTGCAGATACAGTGGGAGGGAACAGAGATGAGGGGGTGCTGTGGCTGCACAGAGAAGTACAGGATTTGTATGAGGAGTCCTATCTTCTGTGGAGACAGTGGGAGGGGCAGAGTCCAGGGGGTGCCGCAGATGCCTAGAGAGGTGCAGGATTTGTAGGAGGAGTCCTGTCTTCTGCTGAGACAGTGGGAGAGGACAGAGATGAGGGGGTGCTGCGACTGCACAGAGAGGTGCAGGATTTGTAGGAGGAGCCCTGTCTTCTGCTAAGACAGTGGGGGGGCAGAGATGAGGGGGTGCCGCAGATGCCTAGAGAGGCGCAGGATTTGTAGGAGGAGTCCTGTCTTCTGTGGAGACAGTGGGGGGGGGCAGAGTCCAGGGGCTGCCGCAGATGCCTAGAGAGGTGCAGGATTTGTAGGAGGAGTCCTATGTTCTGCTGAGACAGTTGGGGGGGGCCAGAGATGAGGGGGAGCTGGGGCTGCACAGAGAGGTGCAGGATTTGTAGGAGGAGTCCTATGTTCTGCTGAGACAGTTGGGGGGGGGCAGAGATGAGGGGGTGCCACAGATTCCTAGAGAGGTGCAGGATTTGTAGGAGGCATCCTGTCTTCTGAGACAGTGGAGGGGGGACAGAGACAAGGGGGTGCTGCGGCTGCACAGAGTGGTTCAGGATTTGTAGGAGAAGTCCTGTCCTCTGCTGAGACAGTGGGGGGGCAGAGACAAGGGGGTGCTGGGGCTGCACAGAGAGGTGCAGGATTTGTAGGAGGCATCCTGACTTCTGAGACAGTGGGGGGGTGGCAGAGACAAGGGGGTGCTGCGGCTGCACAGAGAGGTGCAGGATTTGTAGGAGAAGTCCTGTCCTCTGCTGAGACAGTGGGGGGGGGGGGGGCAGAGATGAAAGAGTGCTGCAGATGCCCAGAGAGGCGCAGGATTTGTAAGAAGCGTTCTTCTGCTGAGACAAGGGGGTGCTGCGGCTGCACAGAGAAGCGCAGGGTCTTTAGGAGGAGTTCTGTCCTCCTCCCTGCTGCCAACTGCTGAGACAAGGTACGGGCATAGACTGGGGGTGCCGCAGCTGCAGGAGAGGTGCGAGGGCCACATGAAATGTTCGGGTGGTTGAATCTGAACCTCGGTAAACCATTTGCACACACACGTCCTTTTGTCATTTCATCTCATTCCTGATTATTTCTTACAGATTGCATCGTTACTGAAAGACAACGAGCGCATCCAATCAACACCGAGCAACGCTCAAACCGAAGACACCGACATTAAGAAGATAAAGAAGGTAACCTCATGTGTGGTCATCTGTCAGTTGGATCAGAACATCACTCTTCAGAACCTTCATCAATACATTTCATGTCTAAATAAACTACGTATATATATTCTATACAACGGGGAAATAACGATTTGATCCCCGGCAGATTTTGTCCGTTTGCCCGCTTACACAGAAATGAAGGGTCTATAATTATAATTTTTATCATAGGTGTATTTTGAACGATAGAGACGGAATATCAGCCAAAAATATAAAAAAAAAAAAACACGATACAAATGTTATAAATGGAAATGTAGTTCAGTGAGTAAATAAGTATTTGATCCCCTACCAACCAACACTGATTCTGGCTCCCACAGACTGGCTAAGGGCTCATGTGGTACACAGATTAGTCCCGTCAAGTGTAAGGCCCCATATACACGGGACACTTCTGAACGATGGAAACTGCTGGAAAATGTAGGTTAAAAAACGTCTGTTTAACCGGGTTTGCATAGTGCGTTTATTTGCGTTTAGAAACGGTTTTTAAAGATACGCACATGAGAACCTCCCAAGTGCCCAGAATGCACTGAAAAGTGGTAAATTATTAACTATTTCAGACTGTTTCAGAGAAATACAGAGAGTAGAAGCAGAGACAGCAGCATGTGTGGAGATTAGCTGAGGTGGGAGTTGCTCCTTAACATTTCTTTTTTTTCCAAGGGTGGGAAAGGTGTCTGGTGGAGGGAGTCATTAAGGTCACCTAGCAGGGGTTCTTCATGAGGAATTTGAGGTGTGAATTGGTCATTAACATATCTTTTATTTCCAAGAGTGGGAGAGGTCTGAGGTGTGAATGGTTATTAACATATCTTTAGTTTTCCAAGGGTGGGAGAGGTCTGAGGTGTGAATGGTCATTAACATATCTTTTGTTTCCACGGGTGGGAGAGGTCTGAATTGGTCATTAACATATCTTTTTGTTTCCAAGGGTGGGAGAGGTCTGAGGTGTGAATGGTCATTAACATATCTATTGTTTCCAAGGGTGGGAGAGGTCTGAGGTGTGAATGGTCATTAACATTTCTTTTGTTTCTAAGGGTGGGAGAGGTCTGAGGTGTGAATGGTCATTAACATATCTTTTGTTTCCAAGGGGTGGGAGAGGTCTGAGGTGTGAATGGTCATTAACATATCTTTTGTTTCCAAGGGGTGGGAGAGGTCTGAGGTGTGAATTGGTCATTAACATATCTTTTGTTTCCACGGGTGGGAGAGGTCTGAATTGGTCATTAACATATCTTTTGTTTCCAAGGGTGGGAGAGGTCTGAGGTGTGAATGGTCATTAACATATCTATAGTTTCCAAGGGGTGGGAGAGGTCTGAGGTGTGAATTGGTCATTAACATATCTTTTGTTTCCAAGGGTGGGAGAGGTCTGAGGTGTGAATTGGTCATTAACCCCTTCGCTCCGGCGCCTCCCGGCCCTTTAAGGGTTTCAGAAGCCGGGAGGCGGGGGCGGGGTTTAGGTCATGTGACCGCTGTGACACGCCATCACGGCGGTCACATGATCGGGAAAGGTCCCGATGGAAAGAGGAGTCGGGACCTTTCCGTGAGTACCAGACATGTGTGCTGGGAGCACGCAGGTGCGTGCTCTCAGCACATATTTCTTTTTTAATAGAACGCAAATGTGCAGCCGCTTGGCGTCTAGGCCCAGACGCCGGGAGGCCGCACATTTGCGTTCGGACCGGGCGTGAAGAGGTTAACATATCTTTTGTTTCCAAGGGTGGGAGAGGTCTGAGGTGTGAATTGGTCATTACCATGTGTGACAATCTTGGTAGGAACATCCTGTATTCAGTGTTTTGTCCATTTGAGAACTGGAAGAGTTAAAAAAAAAAATTCAAACGCTTATAAACGCGGTTTGCCGCGTTTATTATCCGTGTTTACAAGCATTTTGCGTTTGAAACACTGATCAAATCGATTGCTGAACTCAAGTTTGGTGTGTTAAAAAAAAAAAACGACTGTAAACTCAAATGCCTGTAAAGGGCGATGTGTACACGGACATAGGAGAACATTAGGGAGAGTTCAGGGGCTGCTGAAAAAAAAACACAGAACAGTTCCTAAACGTGAGTTTATCAGCCGCAGTGTACATGGGCCCTAAGTAGGCGCTCCTAACGACAACACGTTATGTGTACAAAAGACACCCGACCACAGAATCTCATACTTCTGTTCAAACCTCACCATCATGAGCAAAGAGCTGCCAAAGGACGTCAGGGACATGACTGTAGACCTGCACAAGGCTGGAATGGGCTAAAGACCGTCAGGAAGTAGCTTGGTGAGAAGGAGACAACTGTTGGAGTGATTATTCGCAAATGGAAAAAATACAAAATAATGATCAGTCACCTTCGGTCCGGAGCTCCATGCAGGATTTCACCTCATGGGGTGAGGATGATCACGAGAAAAGTGAGGGATCAGCCCAGAACTACACGGGAGGAGCTTGTGAGCGATCTCAAGGCAGTTGGGACCACAGTCACCAAACAACCATTGGTAGTACAATACGCCACCAAGAATTGAAATCCTGCATCGCCCGCAAGGTCCCAATCCACAAGAAGACACATGTACAGGCCCGTCCTGAAGTTTGCCAATGACCATCTAAATGATTCAGAGAAGGATTGGGAGAAGGTTCTGTGGTCAGATGAGACCAAAACTGAGCTTTTTGGCATTAACTCGATTCGTTGTGTTTGGAGGAAGAAAAATGCTGACTATGACCCTAAGAACAGCATCCCTACAGTCCAGCATGGAGGTGGAGACATTATGCTTTGGGGCTGTGTCTCTGCTAAAGGTATAGGTCAACTTTTTGCCGCGTTGAGGAGCCAATGGACGGAGCCATGTATTGTAAAATCTTGGTTGAGAACCTTCTTCCCTCAGCCAGAACACTGAAGGTGGTTCATGGATGAGTCTTCCAGCATGACAATGACCCAAAACATACGGCCAAGGCAACAAAGGAGCGGCTCAAGAAGAAGCACATTAAGGTCCTGGAGTGGCCTAGCCAGTCTCCAGATCTTAATCCGATTGAAAATGTATGGAGGATCTGAAACTTCGAGTTGCCAAGTGACAGCCAAGAAACCTTAAGGATTTAGAGAAGATCTGTAAAGAAGAGTGGACCAAAATCCCTCCTGAGATGTCTGCAAACCTGGGGGCCAACTACAAGGAATGTCTTACCTGTGCTTACCAACAAGGGTTCCTCCACCAAGTACTAAGTCATGTTTTGCTTGGGGATCGGATAACTCTTTTACTCACTGAACTGCAACTCAACTTATTACATAGCGTGTTTTTCTGTAGATTTTGGTTGATATTCTGTCTCTATTTAAAATACACCTATGATAAAAATATAATTCTAGACCCTTCATTTCATTGTAAACTTGAAAAATCTGCAGGGGATCAAATCATTATTTTCCCCACTGTAAATGTGTAAATTATATATTTTAATGTGTAAGTTTTATATAAAGGTATTGAATGTGTAAATAAATTTTGAATAATTTATATAGTTAATGACTAAATTGTAATAAATTGTAAAAATTATATATTTAAAGTGTTACTAAACCCAGGACCCCGCATTCACTATATCCGCTCTCGCTCTCCCCAGACCCCGCATCCCCCCCAGACCCCGCATTCACTATATCCGCTCTCCCCAGACCCCGCATTCACTATATCCGCTCTCCCCGGACCCCGCATTCACTATATCCGCTCTCCCAGGACCCCGCATTCACTATATCCGCTCTCCCCCGGGCCCCGCATTCACTATATCCGCTCTCCCCGGACCCTGCATTCACTATATCCCGCTCTCTCCCCGGACCCCGCATTCACTATATCCCGCTCTCCCCGCTCTCCCCGGACCCCGCATTCACTATATCCGCTCTCCCCGGACCCCTCATTCACTATATCCGCTCTCCCCCAGACCCTGCATTCACTATATCCGCTCTCCCCAGACCCCGCATTCACTATATCCGCTCTCCCCGGACCCCGGCATTCACTATATCCGCTCTCCCCGGACCCCGCATTCACTATATCCGCTCTCCCCGGACCCCGCATTCACTATATCCGCTCTCCCCGGACCCCGCATTCACTATATCCGCTCTCCCCGGACCCCACATTCACTATATCCACTCTCCCCGGACCCCGCATTCACTATATCCGCTCTCCCCGGACCCCGCATTCACTATATCCGGTCTCCCCCCGGACCCCGCATTCACTATATTCTGCTCTCCCCGGACCCGGCATTCACTATATCCGCTCTCCCCGGACCCCGCATTCACTATATCCGCTCTCCCCGGACCCCGCATTCACTATATCCGGTCTCCCCGGACCCCGCATTCACTATATCCGCTCTCCCCGGACCCCGCATTAACTATATACGCTCTCCCCGGACCCCTCGTTCACTACGTCCGCTCTCCCCGGACCCCGCGTTCACTACGTCCGCTCTCCCCGGACCCCGCGTTCACTATATCCGCTCTCCCCGGACCCCGCGTTCACTATGTCCGCTCTCCCCGGACCCCGCGTCCCCTCTCCCCGGACCCCGCGTTCACTATGTCCGCTCTCCCCGGACCCTGCATTCACTATATCCGCTCTCCCCCGGACCCCGCATTCACGATGTCCGCTCTCCCCGGACCCCGCATTCACTATATCCGCTCTCCCCGTCCCCGCATTCACTATATCCGCTCTCCCCGGACCCCGCATTCACGTTGTCCGCTCTCCCCGGGCCCCACATTCACTATATCCGCTCTCCCCGGACCCCGCATTCACGATGTCCGCTCTCCCCGGACCCCGCTCTCCCCGCATGCACTATATCCGCTCTCCCCGGACCCCGCATTCACTATATCCGCTCTCCCCCGGACCCCGCATTCACGATGTCCGCTCTCCCCGGACCCCACATTCACTATATCCGCTCTCCCCCGGACCCCGCATTCACTATATCCGCTCTCCCCGGACCCCGCATTCACGATGTCCGCTCTCCCCGGACCCCACATTCACTATATCCGCTCTCCCACAGTACACAGAACATGGAAATGCAATTATTTTAGTAAATATAAAGTGCTAAATACCTTTTCCCCTCAACTGTTCATAGCAGTCTTGTGACTTCTATCAGTGTCCAGCCGAGCACTGGTTAATCTTGTAGGAGTTTTCATTCTCCCCTGACTGTCCTATAGGCTGCATGACCCCTGAACTCCGTCTGGACAGTGCTGTTTGGTCCAGTGTTAATCACATGCACTTTCCCAAAGAAAAAAAAAAAAAAACCTCTCTATCCATACACAATAAACTGAGCATGTTCAGAGTAACTCCTAGAGCTCTGTTCTATCAGCAAATGGATTGGGGACAGGAGAAGGGGAGTATCAGAGAAGGCAGGATCAAACAGCCTTTTTACACAATGCGGAGGATTAACCCCTTAGGTCCCACAGTGAGTATAACCAGCACGCTTTCCTGCATCTACAGACTGATTGTACTGTTGGGGGTTTAGTAACTATTTAATGTGTATTGATGAAAAAAAAAATTTTGTCCTGCCAACTTCATATACGTTTGTTCTGTACAAGTGCGGGCAAAGTCGACTGTTAGTTATTTCCTCTTCAGGTTGGATGTCTTTCATTCACAAGTATAGTGTGAATCGGGACAATATCCCCTTATGGCCATTAGATGGCGCTGATGATCATAAGAAATAATTCCTTTGTTACTGTGATTGTCATCTCCATCTAATGGGGATATTGTCCCGATTCTCATGAATGACGAACATCCGACCTGAAGAGGAAAACAGAAAGAGCTTTCTAACGATCGACTTTGCAGAATGAACGTGAACGCAACTTTTCGGGATGAGCAGCTGTGTGAATGCTTATTTTCTGAATGTAACCCTCAGTAATATGTGCTCTGTGTGACCCGCAGGTACAGAGCTTTCTGCGCGGCTGGCTATGCCGGCGGAAATGGAAAAGTATAATCCAGGACTACTCCAGGTCTCCCCATGCAGACAGCATGCGCAAAAGGAACCAGGTCGTGTTCAGCATGCTGGAAGCCGAGTCGGAATATGTTCAGCAGCTGCACATTTTGGTCAACAACTTCCTGCGACCTCTGCGCATGGCGGCCAGCTCCAAGAAGCCGCCAATCACCCACGATGACGTCAGCAGCATCTTCTTGAACAGGTGGAGATGCTTGTGGCAGCTTTTAGGGAGCGAGAGGGCGGTCTTGCAGCGTGCGAAATGCGCTTGCGCTCCTCGAATATTCAGGGGGGAGATTTACTAATACTGGAGCACTCAGAATCTGGGGCGGCCGTGCGTGGGAGCCAATCGGCTTCCAACTTCAGCTCGTTTGATGGAGCTTCGGCAATAAGTCACCGGTCACACCGCTGCGATTTACGTGCGATTTCAGAAGACTTTCCTGCTACTGCCATTTCTATTCTATGTATGTGAAATCGCGACAAAACTGCAGAAAGTCACGCAAATCGCACGTTATAACACACTGACATTTACGTTCATTACATGCGATTTCAGGTCCAATTTCAATTTCAATTCACAAATCGCAGCAGTGTGACCGGGCACTAAGTCATCGGTCACACCGCTGCGATTTACATGCGATTTCAGCGTGGTTTTCTCTGAAGACGGTACATTCCATTCTATGTATGTGAAATTGTGACAAAACTGCAGAAAAAGTCACGCAAGAGCTTTAGAAATCAGGCTGCAGCAAATCGCACATGTGAAGACACTGACATTCACATTCATTACATGCGATTTCAGGTACGATTTCTGAAGACTTTATTGCTACTTGTGAAGATTTTCAATGATTTCTTGTGATTTGCAGTGCGATTTCCATTATACTCAATGTATGTGAAATCGCAACAAAGTTGCAGAAAAAATACTGTAGAACTACTTTAGAAATCGGGCTGCAGCAAATCAAATGTGTGAAGACACTCACATTCATTACATGCGATTTCAGGTGCGATTTCAATTCACAAATCGCAGCAGTGTGATCGGGCACTAAGTCACAAGTCACACCGCTGCGTTTTAAAAACCGTGTGACTTGTGAGCAATTTCAAGTGCGATTTCTGAATACTTTACTGCTACTGCCATTCTATTCTATGTATGTGAAATCACGACTAAACTGCAGAAAAAGTCTTGCAAATCGCACATGTTAAGACGCTGACATTCACATTCATTACATGCGATTTATGAAGACTTTATTGCTACTTGTGAAGATTTTCAATGATTTCTTGTGATTTGCAGTGCGATTTCCATTATACTCAATGTATGTGAAATCGCAACAAAGTTGCAAAAAAAAATACTGTAAGAACTACTTTAGAAATCAGGCCGCAGCAAATCGAACGTGTGAAGACACCGACATTCACATTCATTACATGCGATTTCAGGTGCGATTTCAATTCACAAATCGCACCAGTGTGACCGTCGGGCACTAAGTCGCACCGCTGCGTTTTAAAAATCGTGTGACTTGTGTGCAATTTCAAATGCAATTTCTGAAAACTTTACTGCTACTGCCATTCTACCCATCAGGTTCCCTGCTTATAACTGGGGGTGCTTAGCAGAGCCCCCCCTTATATCTAAGGGTGCTTATTGAAGTCCCCTTATACATCCATGTGTGCCCTTCAGGCCCCCCCAATAAATCCAGTGGTACTCATCAGAGTCCCCCTTACATCCAAAAGTACCCATCAGAGTCCCTTCTAACATCAAAGTCTCCACTGGAACCCCGCTTACATCAGTGTCCCCATCAGAGTTCCTCTATTTTATATCAGGGTCCCCATCAGTGTCCCCCTTACATCCATTGGTACTCATCAGAGTCCCCTCTTACATCAAGGTTCCCATCATGAGTCCCCCCTTATATTAGGCCCCCATCAGAGGGCCCCTCCTTATATCAGGGTCCCCATCAGAGTCCCCCCCCTTATATTGGGGTTCCCATCATGAGTCCCCCCTTATATCTGGGTCCCCCATCATGAGTCCCCCCTTATATCAGGGTCCCAGTCAGAGTCCCCACCTTATATGAGAGTCCCCCCCTTGCATCCAGTGCTATCCATCAGAGTCCCCCCCCCCCCCATTCAAAGGTGTTCCCAGCAGAGTCCCCCATTACCCCTCAGGTAGTAAAGCATCATGATGAAGGCCAGCAGATGGGACGCGTCTGAACATAGGAAGTCCGGTCCGTCAGGGTCCTCATCCGAGCCCCCCCCCCTTATGTCAGGGTCCCCATCAGAGTCCACCCCTCCCCTTATATCAGGGTCTCCATCAGACCCCCCTCTTTTATCAGGGTCCCCATCAGAGCCCCCCCTTATATCAGGGTCACCATCAGTCCCCCCTTATATCAGGTTCCCCAATATGAGTCCCCCCCCCCTTATATCAGGGTCCCCATCAGAGTCCCCACCTTTATATGAGAGTCCCCCCTTTACATCCAGTGGTACCCATCAGAGTCCCCCCTCCCCCCCCACATTCAAAGGTGTTCTCAGCACCCAGCAGAGTCCCCCATTACCCTTCAGGTAGCAAAGCATCAGGGTGAAGGCCAGCAGGTGGAACAGGTCTCAACTTAGGAAGTCTGGTCTGTCAGGGTCCCCATCTGAGCCCCCCCCCCCCCATTATATCAGGGTCTCGATCAGCCCCCCCCCCCCTTTTATCAAGGTCCCCATCAGAGTCCCCCCTTATTTCAGTTATGGCTGATCAGTGTATATGGGGGGTCGGCAGCCAGGTGACTGGTAGATCGTGGTCTGGGCTTGCTGACCCCCCCCATCCCAGAGCATCAAACATACTGCAGTGCAGGGGGACTACATTGCAAAGTTGGATCTGTAGTAGGGAGCCGCGACGCACGTGATTGCGACACGGATGTGCAGTGATTAGAGTTTTAAATGAGATGTGAGGAGGCGACGCTGCGCCCGGCGATCCTTCTCCCACGTTGTTCAGGGAGATCTCCACCTTACTAAGTGCGCCTTCCCCCGGTGTACACAATATTACTTTTTATTATATTATACAGGATTTATATGGCGCCAACAGTTTGCTCAGCGCTGTACATTATAATGGGAGACAGTACAGTAACAATACAATGTGATACATGAGGGGTTCGAGGGCCCTGCTCCTTGGAGCTTACAATCTAGGAGGGGGGGGGGGGAGTGGTACAGGAGGAAGTGACTGTGGGGGATGGGTGCGAGTGGTAGGAAGAGTGGAGGAGGTCGGCAAGTTAGCAGGGGGTGGGGTAGGCTTCCCTGAAGAGATGGGTTTTCAGGGTGCGCCTAAAGGTGAGGAGAGTAGGTGATAATCTGATGGATTGGGGTAGTGAGTTCTAGAGGATGGGTGACACCCTGGAGAAGTCCTGGAGGCGGGCATGGGAGGAGGAGACCAGGGAACTAGAGAGAAGGAGGTCTTGTGAGGAGCGGAGTGTGCGTGTTGGGTGGTACTTGGATATTAGGTCAGTGATGTAGTTCGGGGCAGTATGGTGGACGGCTTTGTATGTCAGTGTTAGGATTTTGAATTTGATCCGTTGCGCAATCGGAAGCCAGTGGAGGGATTGGCAGAGGGGGGTGGAGGACACTGAGTGGAGGCCAGTGGAGGGATTGGCAGAGAGGGGTGGAGGACACTGAGTGGAGGCCAGTGGAGGGATTGGCAGAGGGGGGTGGAGGACACTGAGTGGAGGCCAGTGGAGGGATTGGCAGAGGAGGGGTGGAGGACACTGAGTGGAGGCCAGTGGAGGGATTGGCAGAGGGGGGTGGAGGACACTGAGTGGAGGCCAGTGGAGGGATTGGCAGAGGGGGGGTGGCGGAGACAGAGCGTTTAGTAAGGTGGATGAATCTGACTGCCGTATTCAGGATGGACTGAAGCGGGGATAGCCTGTGGCGAGGCAGGCCAGTGAGGAGGGAGTTGCAGTAGTCGAGTCGTGATATGATGAGGGAGTGGATGAGCTGTTTAGTGGTTTCTGGGGTTAGGAACGAACGTATTTTGGCGATGTTGCGGAGGCGGAGCCTGCATGAGTTTGTTAAAGATTGGACTTGGGGCTGGAAGGACAGATGGGGAGTCTAGAGTGACACCAAGGACTCTGGCTTGAGGGGTGGGACTGATGGTGGCGTTGTTGGACGTGATGGAGAAGTCAGGGGGGGCGCGGGCTGGGGGGAAAACTAGGAGCTCAGTTTTGGAAAGGTTCAGTTTGAGGAAGTGGAGTGACATCCAGTCTGATATGTAGCTCAGTAGGTGTGTGATTCGGGCGGAGACTGAGGGGGTGAGGTGGGGGGTTGAGAGATAGATTTGTGTGTCGCCGGCATAGAGGGTGATAGTTGAAGCCGTGAGAGTGTATGAGTTGGCCAAGGAGGAGATGTAGATGGAGAAGAGAAGGGGCCCGAGGACAGAGCTTTGGGGGACCCCAACAGAGAGGGGGAGTGGGGGGGAGGTGGCAGCGTTATAGGTAACACTGAAGGAGCGCTGTGATAGGAGGAGAGCCAGGAGAGAGCGGAGTCTCTGAGCCCAAGAGAGTGGAGTTTTTTGAGGAGGAGGGGATGGTCAATCATGTCATATATAAGACGCAACTAAGAAGTGATCTGATATCCTGGCAATGTATCCAAAATATAAAAGTAGAAAAGGGATTCCTAAAAGTGTGAGAAACAGAAGATTCATTCTCGTATTTCTATAGCAGAAACCTATACTGCGTGGTTGCAATATGAATTTGCTTTTTAAAATCCCCTCCCCCCCCCCCCCATTGCTCTGTGCTCGTGCGCAAAAGCAAACGCATCCGTAAATCGTTTTTTCATAGCACACATGTGAGGCATCTCCGTGAATGTTAGAGGGGGAGCAATAATTCCAGCACTAGACCTCCTCTGCAACTCTAAACGGGTAACCTGGAAACATTTCTAAAGCAATCTGACTACAAAAAAACTAAAAAATGTAAATGTTCCTCTTTTTAACCCATTATTAACCCTTAGTTTACTGTAATCAGCCCTAATTAACTCATTATTGCAGGAACCTTTTTTTGGAGTTGCTGCGACTTTATTAGAACGGTGCCATTGAAATGCATGGAATGAAGTCACAAGTCGCATTGGTGTGAACCGGCGTACTCATTCTACAGTTTAGTTTTATTGGATCGTTTTTGGTTCTCTATTGAGGTCCAACAACTTGCATTGACAGAACCCTCTTTATTCCAGTGAGACCATCATGTTTCTGCACCAGATCTTCTACCAGGGTCTGAAGGCTCGGATCTCCAGCTGGCCCACACTGGTGTTGGGTGAGGAATCCTCTTCTGTATGTCTCCGGTCATTTCATTGGTGTCAGTCCCGGGTGATGGGATACATGTCTGTCCATTTTTGTCTTTCCAGCTGATCTGTTTGACATCCTCCTGCCGATGCTGAACATTTACCAGGAGTTTGTACGGAACCATCAGTACAGCCTGCAGATCCTGGCCCACTGCAAGCAGAACCGAGACTTCGACAAACTACTGAAACAATATGAAGCCAAACCAGACTGTGAGGAGCGAACCCTCGAGACTTTCCTCACCTACCCCATGTTCCAGGTCAGTGAGAAACTGCCATTTAAATCTCCTTTTATGTGTTGAGTTAACCACTTCAAGTCCAGATACTTTCCCCCCCTTCCAGTCCGGACACTTTCACCCCCTTCCAGTCCGGACACTTTCACCCCCTTCCAGTCCGGACACTTTCCCCCCCCCACCTTCCAGTCTGGACACTTTCCCCCCCTTCCAGTCCGGACACTTTCCCCCCCTTTTCAGTCCGGACACTTTCCCCCCCTCCCAGTCCAGACACTTTCCCCCCCTTCCAGTCCGGACACTTTCCCCCCCTTCCAGTCCGGACACTTTCCCCCCCTTCCAGTCCGGACACTTTCACCCCCTTCCAGTCCGGACACTTTTCACCCCCCTTCCAGTCCGGACACTTTTCACCCCCCTTCCAGTCCGGACACTTTCCCCCCCTTCCAGTCCGGACACTTTCCCCCCCTTCCAGTCCGGACACTTTTCCCCCTTCCAGTCCGGACACTTTCCCCCCCTTCCAGTCCGGACACTTTCCCCCCCTTCCAGTCCGGACACTTTCCCCCCCTTCCAGTCCGGACACTTTCCCCCCCTTCCAGTCCGACACTTTCCCCCCCTTCCAGTCCGGACACTTTCCCCCCCTTCCAGTCCGGACACTTCCCCCCCTTCCAGTCCGGACACTTTCCCCCCCTTCCAGTCCAGACACTTTCCCCCCCTTCCAGTCCAGACACTTTCCCCCCCTTCCAGTCCAGACACTTTCCCCCCCTTCCAGTCCAGACACTTTCCCCCCTTCCAGTCCAGACACTTTCCCCCCCTTCTAGTCCAGACACTTTCCCCCCTTCCAAGCCGGACACTTTCCCCCCTTCCAGGCCGGACACTTTCCCCCCCTTCCAGGCCGGACACTTTCACCCCCCCTTCCAGTCCAGACACTTTCACCCCCCTTCCAGTCCAGACACTTTCACTCCCCTTCCAGTCTCGAGACTTTCCTCACCTACCCCATGTTCCAGGTCAGTGAGAAACTGCCATTTAAATCTCCTTTTATGTGTTGAGTTAACCACTTCAAGTCCGGACACTTTCACCCCCTTCCAGTCCGGACGCTTTCACCCCCCTTCCAGTCCGGACGCTTTCACCCCCTTCCTGTCCGGACACTTTCCCCCCCTTCCCCCCCTTCCAGTCCGGACGCTTTCCCCCCCTTCCAGTCCGGACGCTTTCCCCCCTCTTCCAGTCCGGACGCTTTCCCCCCCTTCCAGTCCGGACGCTTTCCCCCCCCTTCCAGTCCGGACGCTTTCCCCCCCATTCCAGTCCGGACGCTTTCCCCCCCTTCCAGTCCCGGACGCTTTCCCCCCCCTTTTCAGTCCGGACGCTTTCCCCCCCCTTTCAGTCCGGACGCTTTCACCCCCCTTTCAGTCCGGACGCTTTCACCCCCCTTTCAGTCCGGACGCTTTCACCCCTTCCAGTTCCGGAACGCTTTCACCCCCCCTTTCAGTCCGGACGCTTTCACCCCCCTTTTCAATGCGGACGCTTTCACCCCCCTTTCAATGCGGACGCTTTCACCCCCCTTTCAGTGCGGACGCTTTCACCCCCCTTTCAATGCGGACGCTTTCACCCCCCTTTCAATGCGGACGCTTTCACCCCCCTTTCAATGCGGACGCTTTCACCCCCTTTCAATGCGGACGCTTTCACCCCCTTTCAATGCGGACGCTTTCACCCCCCTTTCAATGCGGACGCTTTCACCCCCCTTTCAATGCGGACGCTTTCACCCCCCTTTCAATGCGGACGCTTTCACCCCCCTTTCAAATGCGGACGCTTTCACCCACCTTTCAATGCGGACGCTTTCACCCCCTTTCAATGCGGACGCTTTCAAACCCCCTTTCAATGCGGACGCTTTCACCCCCTTTCAATGCGGACGCTTTCACCCCCCTTTCAATGCGGGACGCTTTCACCCCCTTTCAATGCGGACGCTTTCACCCCCCTTTCAATGCGGACGCTTTCACCCCCCCCCCTTTCAATGCGGACAGCTTTCACCCCCCTTTCAATGCGGACGCTTTCACCCCCCTTTCAATGCGGACGCTTTCACCCCCCTTTCAATGCGGACGCTTTCACCCCCCTTTCAGTCTGGACACTTTCACCCCCCTTTCAATGCGGACGCTTTCACCCCCCTTTCAGTCTGGACGCTTTCCCCCCCTTCCAGTCCGGACACTTTCACCCCCCTTCCTGTCCAGGCCAATTTTCAGCTTTCAGTGCTATCACACTTTGAATGACAATTGCGCGGTCATGCAACACTGTACCCGTACAAAAATTATTTTTCATTTTTTGAGACAGATAAAGCTTTATTTTGGTGGTATTTATTCACCGCTGGGATTTTTATCATTTTTTTGCTATATAAATGAAAAGTCCAAAAATTTTGAAAAAAAAGTTTTTCTTATAAAATTTTTGCAAATAAATAATATTTCATCATAAATCTCAGCCAAAATTTATTCCGTTATATTTTTAGTAAAAAGAAAATAACCCAAAATAGTTTAACATTTTTATTTTATTTTTTTTATATATATATATATATTTTTTTTTTTTACATACTGTCACCCTAGCAGTAGTGTCACCATGGTGACACTGTACTACTTGCGGGGGGTGAAGATTTTTTTTTTTTTTTACACTGATTGCTTTTACACCCATAAAGGCTGTAAAAGCAATCATTTCTCCTTCTCTCTGGCTGCATTCTTGCAGCCTTTGAAAAATATTGTGACAGCTGTGATTGGTCACAGCTTGTCACATGGTACAAGGCTGTTGTGAATTGCCCTGTACCATGTGACCTCTGTGATCATTCACAGATTTCACATGTAGTAAGCAATGGTGTCAGAAGTGACATCCTTGCTTACTACTCTGCATGTGATCACTGATTGGCCAATCAGTGATCACATGATCAGGACTTCACACAGAGGTCTCATACACTGATCGGTGTTTCGCTGTGTCGTCCGGACATAGCGGGCACCGGATCGCAGTGCCGTGTGCTCTCAGGGAGCGCACACAGTCCAAAATAGCGTGCCCCGTTTATGAACGGCAACCCACCCCTGCACTGCCACTGTCCGGCCGTTTATATACAGCGGCCGGACAGGAAGTGGTTAAAGTGGTTGTAAATCTCAGACATGAAATATGAACAAAGCATATCCCTCTATAGTTACATAGTTAGTCTGGCTGAAAAAAGACAAAAGTCCATCCAGTTCAACCATTAAAAAAAAGTTGATCCAGAAGAAGGCAAAAAAACTCAGCAAAGCACGATCCAATTTGCTTCTGCAGGGGAAAAAATTCCTTCCTGATCCCCCGAGAGGCAATCGGATATTCTCTGGATCAACTGTACCTATAAATGTTATATCCAGTTCAGGGTCGGACTGACAACTCATGGGGCCCCCGGGCAATAGGGGATCATGGGGCCCCTGTGTCCTTGCCCAAACTCAAAAAGCCTATGAAAAAGGTACCAAGGGCATCTCATGGGGCCACCTACTGACCCCGGGCCCTCGGGCAGTGCCCAGAGTTTCCAAATGGTCAGTCCGCCCCTGATCCAGTTATATTCTGTGTATTCAAGAAAGAATCCAGGACTTTCCTACAGCAATCCACTGAGCTGGCCACACCAACTCTTCCTAGTTAGAGGTCATGTCCTCATGTTCTTGATCTTCTTGACCTTCAGATTGAAAATCCTGCCCCCCTAAATCTTTATCGCACTCCCCATGTATTTCATGGTTTCATTCATGTCCCCTTTCCCTTCTGTCCTCCACAGTTCACGTATTAACCCCCTTCCTGCAGAAAGTATTCATATATATGCAATCTCATGGAAGTATGTCTTCCTCTGCGGGGCGACATATACGAGCTACTGTGTCTGTGTTGGGATCACGCAGCGCGCTGCACGCACAGCACAAAGACAGATCTGTCACAGATAACTCTGGGTGTTGTACTAACGATCAACAACTGGAAGGATAGGTTGCAGACCACCTGATTGCTGTGACAGCCTGTGAATGGCTACAGTCATTATTTAGCCCATCCCTGTGGTTTTTTTTTTTCTCCTCTTGAATGAAGATTCGTTGTATGTGTTGTGGACATCAAGGAAGCAGACACTATAACTGTCACGTAAACCAAGTCATTTACACGTATTGGGATTTTTTTTTAGCAAAGACACAGAGCAGAATACATTTTGGCCTAAATTTATGACGAAATTTTTTTTAATTTTTTTATTGGATGTTTTATAGCAAAAAGTCAAATTATATATATATATATATGTGTGTGTGTGTGTATATATATATATATATATATATATATATATATATATATATATATATATATATATATAGAGATGAGCGAATCGAACCAGGCGAACCGGAATTCGATACGAATTATTTCAGGAAAAATTTGATTCGCGTCGAATCCGAATATTTGCCTACTTCGGGTGTGCGCGAATCGGATTTTTCCCGATCAGCCGACAAAAGTGTCCCTGCAGAGTGCTCCGCTATTTCTGACAGTTCTCTGACAGAAGGAACACATGTACAGCGGTTGAAACATTGTATCTATTAGTTTCCATTTAGGATACAGATGTTTCAACCGCTGTTGTACATGTGAAGAAGCTGTCAGAGAACTGTCAGAAATAGAGGAACTCTGCACATACACTTTTTGCCGGTTTGGAATTCTTATTTTCATCCTACTTCTTCTTCTTCTTCTACTTCTTCATCCTCAGAAGAAGAAGAAGAGGATGAGGATAAAGAAGAAGAAGAAGAAGTAGGATGAAAATAAGAATAATTCCAAGTCCGGCAAAAAAGTGTATCTGCAGCGCTCCTCTAAGTGTATCTGCAGAATGTCATTTATGGAAACAAATAGATACAATGTTTCAACCGCTGTATGGAGTGAATGTCCCAGAACTGTCAGAAATAGACAGAAACTGTCAGAGAACTGTCCTTCTTCTCATCCTTCTCCTTCTTCTCATCCTTCTTCTCATCCTTCTCCCTTCTTCTCATCCTTCTCCTTCTTCTCATCCTTCTCCTTCTTCTCATCCTTCTCCTTTTTCTCATCCTTCTTCTCATCCTTCTCCTTTTTCTCATCCTTCTTCTCATCCTTCTCCTCCTTCTCCTTCTCCTTCTCCTTCTTCCATCCTTCTTCTCATCCTTCTCCTCCTTCTCCTTCTCCTTCTCCTTCTTCTCATCCTTCTCCTTCTTCTCATCCTTCTCCTTCTCCTCTTCTCATCCTTCTCCTTCTTCTCATCTTCTCCTTCTTCTCATCCTTCTCCTTCTCCTTCTTCTCATCTTCTCCTTCTCCTTCTTCTCTCATCCTTCTCCTTCTCCTCCTTCTCCTTCTCTTCTCCTTCTCCTTCTTCTCATCCTTCTCCTTCTTCTCATCCTTCTCCTTCTCCTTCTTCTCATCCTTCTCCTTCTTCTCATCCTTCTCCTTCTCCTTCTTCTCATCCTTCTCCTCCTTCTCCTCCTCTCCTTCTCCTTCTTCTCATCCTTCTCCTTCTTCTCATCCTTCTCCTTCTCCTTCTTCTCATCCTTCTCCTTCTTCTTCATCCTTCTCCTTCTCCTTCTTCTCATCCTTCTCCTTCTCCTTCTCCTTCCTCATCTCCAAGGGCATTTAAATTAAAGGTACAGTGTTCTGCACTAATTTAAAGGCTCTCTGAAGCCTAGAAACCCTTTTTATAAGTTAACTTCGTAGCGAATTAATTTGCATCGAATCGAATTTCTTCCTGGAATTCGCCGAATCAGCCGAATCGAATTTTTTGAAAAATTCGCTCATCTCTATCTATATATATATATATATATATATATATATATACAGTGAGGCAAAAAAAAGTATTTAGTCCTCCAGCAATTGTACAAGTTCTCCCACTTACAAAGATGAGAGAGGCCTGTAATTGGCATCATAGGGAGACCTCAACTATGAGAGACAAAATGAGAAAACAAATCCAGACAATCTCATTGGCTGATCTGGAAAGAATTTATTTGCAAATTATGGTGGAAAATAAGTATTTGGTCACCTACAAACAAGCAAGATTTCTGGCTCTCACAGACCTGGACCTTCTTCTTTAAGAGGCTCCTCTGTCCTGCACTCATTACCTGTATCAATGGCACCTGTTTGAACTTGTTATCAGTATAAAAGACACCTGTCCACAACCTCAAACAGTCACACTCCAAACTCCACTATGGTGAAGATCAAAGAGCTGTCGAAGGACACCAGAAACAAAATTGTAGACCTGGACCAGGCTGGGAAGACTGAATCTGCAATAGGCAAGCAGCTTGGTGTGAACGAATCAACTGTGGGAGCAATAATTAGAAAATGGAAGACATACAAGACCACTGATAATCTCCCTCGATCTGGGGCTCCACGCAAGATCTCACCCCGTGGGGTCAAAATGATCACAAGAACGGTGAGAAAAAATCCCAGGACCACACGGGGGGACCTAGTGAATGACCTGCAGAGAGCTGGGACCAACGTAACAAAGGCTACCATCAGTAACACACTACGCCGCCAGGGACTCAGATCCTGCAGTGCCAGACGTGTCCCCCTGCTTAAGCCAGTACATGTCCGGGCCCGTCTGAAGTTTGTAGAGAGCATTTGGATGATCCAGAAGAGGATTGGGAGAATGTCATATGGTCAGATGAAACCAAAATAGAACTGTTTGGTAGAAACACAACTCGCCGTGTTTGGAGGAGAGAGAATGCTGAGTTGCATCCAAAGAACACCATACCTACTGTGAAGCATGGGGGTGGCAACATCATGCTTTGGGGCTGTTTCTCCGCAAAGGGACCAGGACGACTGATCCATGTACAGGACAGAATGAATGGGGCCATGTATCGTGAGATTTTGAGTGCAAACCTCCTTCCATCAGCAAGGGCATTGAAGATGAAACGTGGCTGGGTCTTCCAACATGACAATGATCCCAAACATACCGCCCGGGCAACGAAGGAGTGGCTTCGTAAGAAGCATTTCAAGGTCCTGGAGTGGCCTAGCCAGTCTCCAGATCTCAACCCCATAGAAAACCTTTGGAGGGAGTTGAAAGTCCGTGTTGCCCAGCGACAGCCCCAAAACATCACTGCTCTAGAGGAGATCTGCATGGAGGATGGGCCAACATACCAGCAACAGTGTGTGCCAACCTTGTGAAGACTTCCAGGAAACGTCTGACCTCTGTCATTGCCAACAAAGGATAATAACAAAGTATTGACATGAACTTTTCATATTCACCAAATACTTATTTTCCACCATAATTTGCAAATAAATTCTTTCCAGATCAGCCAATGTGATTGTCTGGATTTGTTTTCTCATTTTGTCTCTCATAGTTGAGGTCTCCCTATGATGCCAATTACAGGCCTCTCTCATCTTTGTAAGTGGGAGAACTTGTACAATTGGTGGGGACTAAATACTTTTTTGCCCCACTGTATATATATATATAAAATAATTATTTTTTTTTTGTCTGCCTTTTTTTGTTTATAGCGCAAAAAATTAATACCGCACAGGGGATCAAATACCACCGAAAGAAAGCTCTATTTGTGGGAAAAAAAAGGACGTAAATTTAATTTGGGTGCAGCGTTGCATGACCGCACAATTGTAAGTTAAAGTCACGCAGCGCTGTATCACAAAAAATGTCCTGGTCAGGAGGGGTGGGGATTCTCTGGAAGGTGAAGGGGGGGGGATCCTCTGGAGGGTGAAGGGGGGGGGGGGGATCCTCTGGAAGGCGAGGGGTTAACACCCACAAAACGTGTCTTCTCTCCTTAGATTCCTCGTTATATCCTGACTCTGCACGAGCTCCTCGCTCACACGCCTCATGAACACGTTGAACGTAACAGCCTAGAATATGCCAAATCCAAGCTGGAAGAGCTGTCAAGGTGAGATGTTTCTTTTACATTCGCCAACACCTGATTGTGTCCCGGGACCACCAATGCCAGCTGGCAAAGGGCCCATCCAGATGGGACGGGGTGTGGTGAGGGCGAGCGGTTTCAGAATTTCCGAGGAGGGGAAACGTGCTGTTCTGCAGCTTCATACAGCCTAAAGGCATACTAAAGTCACCTGGGTTACATGAAGTATTAATAAAGAGTAATGATCACTGAATGATCAATAGGCTGTATTGTTGAAATATATATTTTTTTTTACTTTAAAAATGTGTGCATATCCTCCAATCCATCCCTGTAGAGGCAGCGGCTGCTTTTTAGCATTTCTGGCCTTTTCATAACAGCTGAAAAGGGTGATACGTTATCCTTCTGCAGATTGAAAAAGTGAAAGAACACATCCCTGGACACCCTTTAGATCTGCATTCAAGGCCCCCATCAAGGGGGGGGACAGCCGATACACAGGTAGGGGGCCTGGGTGTCATAAAGGGCCCAGGCGTCCTGAGGGGCCTGGCAGCGCTGGGAGAAGACAGGGACGGGAGGAGCATGGCTGCACTATCCTTCATTAACACTGTGTTCACATCGGCTCATTACTGCCACCTGTGGCTGCTTACCGCACCTGCACTCCTCGTGTGTGCTGCCTGTACTAGCTCCTCTCTGTGTCTAGGGGACCTGTCAGTTGTGTGGAAACAAGAGCTGGGACACAAGTAGGGCTGTGTGTGCAAGTGAGGGGAGGGGGCTGCTTGGGTACAAGGGGGAGTAGAGCTGTGTGTGTGTGTGGGGGGGGGGGGGGTTAGTGTGTACAGGCGTGATTGGGGACTGTACAGGTGGGGGGGGGGGGTGTAAGTGTATACAGGAGGGGGGTGAGTGAGTACAGGTGGGGGGTGAATGTGTACAGCTAGGGGGTTGGGTAGCAAGTGTGTACAGGTGGGGGGGCCAAGTGTTTACATGTGTGTGGGGGGACTGAGTGTGTACAGGTGTATTGGGTGTATACAGGTATGGGGGTGTAAGAGTGCATACAGGTATGAGGGGGGCTGAGTGCATACAGGTGGGGGGGCGAATGTACCAGTGTGAGGGGGCACTGAGTGTGTACAGGTGTGTGTGTGGGGGGGGTTGAGTCTGTACAGGTGTGAGGGGGGCTGAGTGCGTATGGGTGTGAGGGGGCTGAGTGCGTACGGGTGTGAGGGGGGCTGAAAGCGTACGGGTGTGAGGGGACTGAAAGCGTGAGGGGGCTGAAAGCGTACGGGTGTGAGGGGGGCTGAAAGCGTACGGGTGTGAGGGGGGGCTGAAAGCGTACGGGTGTGAGGGGGGAGTGCTGAAAGCGTACGGGTGTGAGGGGGGGCTGAAAGCGTACGGGTGTGAGGGGGCTGAAAGCGTACGGGTGTGAGGGGGGCTGAAAGCGTACGGGTGTGAGGGGGGCTGAAAGCGTACGGGTGTGAGGGGGGGCTGAAAGCGTACGGGTGTGAGGGGGGGACTGAAAGCGTACGGGTGTGAGGAGGGGGGACTGAAAGCGTACGGGTGTGAGGGGGACTGAAAAGCGTACGGGTGTGAGGGGGGGCTGAAAAGCGTACGGTGTGTGAGGGGGGGCTGAAAGCGTACGGGGGGCTGTGTGAGGGGGACTGAAAGCGTACGGGTGTGAGGGGGGGCTGAAAGCGTACGGGTGTGAGGGGGGGGTGCTGAAAGCGTACGGGTGTGAGGGGGGCTGAAAGCGTACGGGTGTGAGGGGGGGCTGAAAGCGTACGGGTGTGAGGGGGGGCTGAAAGCGTACGGGTGTGAGGGGGACTGAAAGCGTACGGGTGTGAGGGGGACTGAAAGCGTACGGGTGTGAGGGGGACTGAAAGCGTACGGGTGTGAGGGGGGCTGCCTGCAGGACTGCTCAGTGCTCACTGGAACACTATTGCTAGACATCACAATGGTAAATTGATTGACAATGTTGCTGGATGTGGGCCTGTGCTGTGGCTGTCTCTTTGCTATATGGGGAGTATCTTGCTGGATTGGGATGTCTGTTTGCTGAATATATGGGGATGTCTCTTTGCTGGATAAGGATGTCTCGTTGCTGTATATATGAGGATGTCTTTGCTGGATTAGGATGTCTCTTTTCTGAATATATGGGGATGTCTTTGCTGATTAGGATGTCTCTTTTCTGATATGGGGATGTCTTTGCTGGATTAGGATGTCTCTTTTCTGAATATATGGGGATGTCTTTGCTGGATTAGGATGTCTCTTTTCTGAATATACGGGGATGTCTTTGCTGGATTAGGATGTCTCTTTTCTGAATATATGGGGATGTCTTTTTGCTGGATTGGGATGTCTCTTTGCTGAATACCTGGGGATGTATCTTTGCTGGACTGTGCTGTCTCTTTGTAGGATATATTTGATTTTATTTTTGTTTTGGAGTTTTGTTTTTTTTTTTTGTTTTCTTAGATCTGCTAGGGGAGAATAGATTGAGGGGGGCATTAAAAATGTAGTGTAGTTATTGTTAGTGTAGGGTCCTGCTCAGAATCTAACTAGTCATGGTGAAAGACTTCAAATTTTATGGCCAAAATATAATTCCTTACCATTAAATTTTGAAAGCACTGATGACATTTTCATGTATTAATATGCAACATTGTTAAAATAAGCGTGGATGCACTGGAGGACTCAGTGGGATGACCGGTGAGCGGATTTGGTGGGACGGCTGGTGGGGGACGGCCAGTGGGCTGGCCCTGGGGAATGTTGATGATCAGGCCAGGGGGGCCCAGGCCTAAAGCTGTGTAGGAGGCCCCAACATTTCTGATGGTTGCCCTGCATGCATGTTCCAGGGAGGGAGCTGGACACTGGATGGTGTGGACATTAACCATAAAGTCTGCCCATCAACTGCTCTATTACATTCTATTGGACCTTCTTCTGGAACAGTAATCAAGCAACTGATCAGCACAGCTAAATTCTGCCTCATACTGTGTCCAGCAGGGAGGAACATGCTCGTCTTCAGGGATGCCAGAGGTGTGTTCTTTTATTTGGGCTCATCACACATTATCATCTACACCCTCTGCATCTGAATGGGTGGCTACAGAGAGAGAAATTAAGAGAGCCTTACCTGAGAAACCATCGAGCGATCCTGGCGCTGGGCATAGAGATGATTGAAGGAAAGATGGCCACCACTCATCTCTATGCCCTTGGAGGACTGGAGTGATGTCACTTCCCGTTCCAGCCATTTTTTTTTTTTTTTTTAAGCACTAGATCAATGCTTTTTTTTTTTGAGCTAATGCTTTACATTGCAGAGGAGAGATGTGGGGTCTTATTGACTCCATATCTCTCCATAAAGAGGACCTGTCACTAATTATGTCTCATTGACTCCATATCTCTCCATAAAGAGGACCTGTCACTAATTATGTCTCATTGACCCCCCATATCTCTCCATAAAGAGGACCTGTCACTAATTATGTCTCATTGACCCCATATCTCTCCATAAAGAGGACCTGTCACTAATTATGTCTCATTGACCCCCCCATATCTCTCCATAAAGAGGACCCGTCACCAATTATGTCTCATTGACCCCCCATATCTCTCCATAAAGAGGACCTGTCACTAATTATGTCTCATTGTCCCCCCATATCTCTCCATAAAGAGGACCTGTCACTAATTATGTCTCATTGACCCCCCCATATCTCTCCATAAAGAGGACCTGTCACTAATTATGTCTCATTGACCCCCCCATATCTCTCCATAAAGAGGACCCGTCACTAATTATGTCTCATTGACCCCCCATATCTCTCCATAAAGAGGACCTGTCACTAATTATGTCTCATTGTCCCCCCATATCTCTCCATAAAGAGGACCTGTCACTAATTATGTCTCATTGACCCCATATCTCTCCATAAAGAGGACCTGTCACTAATTATGTCTCATTGACCCCCCCCATATCTCTCCATAAAGAGGACCCGTCACTAATTATGTCTCATTGACCCCCCATATCTCTCCATAAAGAGGACCTGTCACTAATTATGTCTCATTGTCCCCCCCCCCCATTATCTCTCCATAAAGAGGACCCGTCACTAATTATGTCTCGTTGTCCCCCCATATCTCTCCATAAAGAGGACCCGTCACTAATTATGTCTCATTGTCCCCCCATATATCTCTCCATAAAGAGGACCTGTCACTAATTATGTCTCATTGACCCCATATCTCTCCCATAAAGAGGACCTGTCACTAATTATGTCTTATTGACCCCCATATCTCTCCATAAAGAGGACTGTCACTAATTATGTCTCATTGTCCCCCCATATCTCTCCATAAAGAGGACCTGTCACTAATTATGTCTCATTGTCCCCCCATATCTCTCCATAAAGAGGACCTGTCACTAATTATTTCTATCACAGGGGATGCATGCATTTCTTGTGATAAGAATAAAAGTGATTACATTTTTTTTAAAGGGACAGTGCAAAAAAAAAAAAAAAAATTAAACAAATTTAAAAAAAAGAAAACAGTTTAAAGTGCCCCCGTCCCCCCCGGTGCTCGAAAAAAATGGTGAACACATACGTAGGCCACGCCCACATATGTAAATGGTGGTCAAACCACACGTGAGGTATCGCCACGAATGTCAGAGCAAGAGCATTAATTCTCACACTAGACCTCCTCTGTAACGTCACACTGCTAGCCTGTAGAGATTTTTAAAGCATCACCCATGGAGATTTTAAGTACCACAGTTTCACGCCATTCCCACGAGCGTGCGCAATTTTAAATTGTGACATGTTCTGTATCTATTTGCTCGCCGTAACATCCTCTTTCATAGTTTACAAAAAAGTTAATATATATATATTTTTTTTTTTAATCAGTGTATTTTTTCCAAAAAAGTTTTCGTCCAAGTGCATTTTGAATTTTTGTTTTCGGCACCATAATTTTCATTCCGGTGCACCACTAGAAGCTATTTATGGGGATGAAACGCACATAAAATTTTAACGAAATAAGATGAAACTATTTAGAACTGAAAAGCATAGATGTCTTGTTTTTTTTATTTTTTTTTTTTTTTTGTTTGCACTTCAAGTGTATGTCCTTCAGGAGCGCCCTGTACTGTGCAGGTAGTGTGTAAAATGGAACAGTTTGTTACATTGTGGCTGCTGGTATCAGAGTGTTGGGGGGGTTACATGGTACAAATCTGACATATTCAGCATTCTTCTGTATACAATGGGCCCTACGTGTCTCCCCTGTGCTCCACTGAAGGCAATACAGTATGAATCGCACTGCATTACATTCTTTCGTGGCCTCGATGGCTGGGGGCACAGAAGTGGTGTCATTCACATCACTTCCGGGTCAGGAACAAGAAGGGGAGGAGAATGGATGCAAGTCCGCTCTCTTCCTTCCCCTCTACTCACTGACACTGGCTGTGCCAGTCCTGGGCCTGCAGATAGGCAAGAAGAGCCCGGGATATAGCGGGCGGGGGGGGTGCTTGCGGGGGGACACTTTGCTGGCGTGTGGAAGCATTCGGGCGGCAGAGGAGCCCTGATATAGCGGGCGGGGGAGGGCGCGTGCGGGGGGACACTTTGCTGGCGTGTGGAAGCATTCGGGCGGCAGAGGAGCCCTGATATAGCGGGCGGGGGAGGGCGCGTGCGGGGGGACACTTTACTGGTGTGTGTAGAAGCATTCAGGTGGCAGCATATCCCTCATATAGCGGGTGGGGGAGGGCACGCGCGGGGGGGACACTTTACTGGCGTATGTAAAAGCATTTGGGTGGCACTGAAGCCCTGATATAGCGGGCGGGGGAGGGCGCGCGTGGGGGGACACTTTACTGGCGTATGTGGAAACATTCGGGTGGCAGCGGCGCCCTGATATAGCGTGGGGGGGGACACTTTACTGGCGTCTGTGTAATCATTTGGGCGGCAGAGGAGCCCTGATATAGCGGGCGGGGGAGGGCGCGTGGTGGGGGGACACTTTACTGGCGTATGTGGAAACATTCGGGTGGCAGTTGCGCCCTGATATAGCGTGGGGGGGGGGACACTTTACTGGCGTCTGTGTAATCATTCGGGCGGCAGAGGAGCCCTGATATAGCGGGCGGGGGAGGGCGCGCGGGGGGGGACACTTTACTGGGTGGAAACATTCGCAGTTGCGCCCTGATATAGGTGGGGGGGGGGACACTTTACTGGCGTCTGTGTCATTCGTAGGCAGAGGAGCCCTGATATAGCGGGTGGGGGAGGGCGCGCGCTTGGACACTTTACTCGCGTGTGTGTAGGCATTCGGGAGGGGAACACTTTACTGGTGTGTGTGGAAACATTTGGGTGGCAGTGGAGCCCTGATATAGCAGGCGGGGGAGGGCACGCACGGGGGGGACACTTTGTTGGCGTCTGTGGAAGAATTCGGGCAGCAGCAAAGCCATGATATAGCGGGCGGGGGAGAGCGCACGGTGGGACACAGATGGCAAAAAAAAAAAAAAAAAAAATCCCTCCCTTGCTCTATCTAAAAACGTTTTGCCTGTAGTTCTACTTTAAGAGCAGCGCCAATCTGCACACCGCGAGATCCCCGAACCCCTCCACGTCGTCTAACAGGGCGATGTTTTATTTCTTTTAGAATAATGCACGATGAAGTCAGCGAAACGGAAAATATCCGGAAGAATCTGTCCATTGAGAGGATGATTGTGGAGGGCTGTGAGATATTGCTGGATACCAGTCAAACGTTTGTACGGCAAGGTAAGTGTTTGTATGTGTATATGCGTGTGTGTGTAAAAATGGATATATATATATAATATATATATATATATATATATATATATATATATAGATAGATAGATAGATATAGATATTGCTAAAAAAAATGAAAGGAAGACTTCTTAATCAAATGTCTTACCTGATCTGGTCAGGTAAGTCGCAGAGGGGGTTGTTAATCAGTTTCAGCTGCTTTAGTGTTAATGACATTAACAGGAGGTGCACTAGATGGGCAACAATGAGATGACCCCCAAAACAGGAATGGTGGAGGCCACGGACATTTTTTTCCCTACTCATCTTTTCTGACTGTTTTTCACTCGTTTTGCATTTGGCTCGGGGGTCAGTGTCACTACTGGTAGAATGAGGCCATACCTGGACCCTACAGAGGTGGCACAGGCAGTCCAACTCCTCCGGGGTGGGAAATCAATACCTGCCATTGCCAGAAGGTTTGCTGTGTCTCCCGAGCACAGTCTCAAGAGCATGGAGGAGACTCCAGGAGTAGGGAGCATGGAGAAGATTCCAGGAGACAGGCAGTTACTCTAGGAGGGATGGACAGGGCCATAGAAGGTCCTTAACCCATCAGCAGGACCGGTATCTGCTCCTTTGTGCAAGGAGGAACAGGATGAGCCCTGCCAGAGCCCTACAAAATGACCTCCAGCAGGCCACTGGTGTGAATGTCTCTGACCAAACAATCAGAAACAGACTTTATGAGGGTGGCCTGAGGGCCCGATGTCCTCTAGTGGGCCCTGTGTTCACTGCCCGGCACCATAGAGCTGGATTGGCATTTGCCATTGAACCCCAGAATTGGTAGGTCCACCACTGGTGCCTGTGCTTTTCACAGATGAGAGCAGGTTCCCCCTGAGCACATGTGACAGACGTGAAAGGGTCTGGAGAAGCCATGGAGAACGTTCTGCTGCCTGTAACATGGTTCAGTAGGACTGTTCTGGTGGTGGGTCAGTGATGGTCTGGGGAGGCATCTCCATTGAGGGACACACAGACCTCTACAGGCTAGACAATGGCACCCTGACTGCCATTAGGTATGGGGATGAAATCCTTGGACCCATTGTCAGACCCTACGCTGGTGCAGGGGTCCTGGGTTCCTCCTGGTACAGTGGGTCCTGGGTTCCTCCTGGTGCGGTGGGTCCTGGGTTCCTCCTGGTTCCTCCTCCTGGTGCGGTGGGTCCTGGGTTCCCTGGTGCTGGTGCGGTGGGTCCTGGGTTCCTCCTGGTGCGGTGGGTCCTGGGTTCCTCCTGGTGCAGTGGGTCCTGGGTTCCTCCTGGTGCAGTGGGTCCTGGGTTCCTCCTGGTTCAGTGGGTCTGGTTCCTCCTGGTTCAGTGGGTCCTGGGTTCCTCCTGGTTCAGTGGGTCCTGGGTTCCTCCTGGTGCCTGGGTTCCTCCTGAGCAGTGGGTCCTGCGTTCCTCCTGGTGCAGTGGGTCCTGGGTTCCTTCTGGTGCATTGGGTCCTGGGTTCCTCCTGGTGCACAACAATTCCTGTCCTCATGTGGTGAGAGTATGCAGGCAGTTCCTGGAGGATGAAGGAATTGATACCATTGAATGGCCCCCATGCTCACCTGACCTAAATCCAATAGAACACCTCTGGGATGTCATGTTTCTGTCCATCCGACGCCACCAGGTTGCACCTCAGACTGTCCAGGAGCTCAGTCCAGATCTGGGAGGAAATCCCCCAGGACACCATCCGTGGTCACATTAGGAGCCTCCCCCGATGTTGTCAGGCATGCATACAAGCACGTGGGGGCCACACAAACTACTGAGGACCATTCTGAGTTGCTGCAATGACATTTCAGCAACGATGGACTCGCCTGCTGCATCATTTCTTCACTTTGATTTTTGGGGTGTCTTTGAATTCAGTTCTCTGTAGGTCGATCATTTCCATCAAACGATGGGACGTCCTTACGTTCCTCACCCATCCCCCGTCCATGTCAGTATAGAGATCCAGCAGGAGATTCCTCCCCATTGGATCTGATGGGTTTTCAGAGTCTTCCTTTCATTGTTTTGAGCCGTGTAGATGGTAGATATGGATAGGTCAGTGGTTCTGAAGCTTCTTCTCAAACTCCTAAAGGGAAAGTATACCATGATGTACTGTCAGTGAGTCCATATTCTGAGATATTGATCTGAACCGTGCTTTGCCCATGAAGAGACACAGTTAAGTTCTGTCTGTGATTTTTTTTTTTTTTTTTTTAATTTGCAGTAACCATTACATTTTCAGGACTGCTTAGACCTGGGGTGTCAAACTGGCGGCCCTCCAATTGTTGCGATACTACAAGTCCCATCATGCCTCTGCCTTTGGGAGTCGTGCTTGTAACTGTCAATCTTGCAATGCCTCATGGGACTTGTAGTTTGGCAACAGGTGGAAGGCCGCCAGTTTGCACCCGTGGCTTAGACCTTAGAAGAGAATATACTCTGATAGCTGAAAATGTAACTTCGTGTAAATGGGAAAAAAGAAAATAACAGACAGTACTGCTCTATCGTTGGTGTCAGTGGGAGGAATAGTGCCCCATCATTGGTGTCAGTGGGAGGAATAGTGCCCCATTATTGGTGTCAGTCGGAGGAATAGTGCCCCATCATTGGTGTCAGTGGGAGGAATAGTGCCCCATTATTGGTGTCAGTCGGAGGAATAGTGCCCCATCATTGGTGTCAGTGGGAGGAATAGTGCCCCATCATTGGTGTCAGTGGGAGGAATAGTGCCCCATCATTGGTGTCAGTGGGGGAGGAATAGTGCCCCATTATTGGTGTTAGTGGGAGGAATAGTGCCCCATCATTGGTGTCAGTGGGAGGAATAGTGCCCCATCATTGGTGTCAGTGGGAGGAATAGTGCCCCATCATTGGTGTCAGTGGGAGGAATAGTGCCCCATTATTGGTGTCAGTGGGAGGAATAGTGCCCCATTATTGGTGTCAGTGGGAGGAATAGTGCTCCATTATTGGTATCAGTGGGAGGAATAGTGCCCCATCATTGGTGTCAGTGGGAGGAATAATGCCCCATCATTGATGTCAGTGGGAGGAATAGTGCCCCATCATTGGTGTCAGTGGGAGGAATAGTGCCCCATCATTGGTGTCAGTGGGAGGAATAGTGCCCCATCATTGGTGTCAGTGGGAGGAATAGTGCCCCATCATTGGTGTCAGTGGAAGGAATAGTGCTCCATCATTGGTGTCAGTGGGAGAATAGTGCCCCATCATTTGTGTCAGTGGGAGGAATAGTGCCCCATCATTGGTGTCAGTGGGAGGAATAGTGCCCCATCATTGGTATCAGTGGGAGGAATAGTGCCCCATCATTGGTGTCAGTGGGAGGAATAGTGCCCCATCATTGGTGTCAGTGGGAGGAATAGTGCCCATACATTAGTGTCTGTAGAAGAAATAGTGCCCCATCATTGGTGTCAGTGGGAGGAATAGTGCCCCATCATTGGTGTCAGTGGGAGGAATAGTGCCCCATCATTGATGTTAGTGGGCAGAATAGTGCTCCATCAGTGGTGTTAGTGGGCAGAATAGTGCCCCATTGTTTGTATCAGTGGGAGGAATAGTGCCCCATTATTGGTATCAGTGGGAGGAATAGTGCCCCATCATTGGTGTCAGTGGGAAGAATAGTGTCCCATCGTTGGCGTCAGTGGGAGGAATAGTGCCCCATCGTTGGCGTCAGTGGGAGGAATAGTGCCCCATCATTGGTGTCAGTGGGAGGAATAGTGCCCCATCATTGGTGTCAGTGGGAAGAATAGTGTCCCATCGTTGGCGTCAGTGGGAGGAATAGTGCCCCGTCATTGGTGTCAGTGGGAGGAATAATGCCCCGTCATTGATGTCAGTGGGAGGAATAGTGCCCCATCATTGGTGTCAGTGGGAGGAATAGTGCCCCATCATTGGTGTCAGTGGGAGGAATAGTGCCCCATCATTGGTGTCAGTGGGAGGAATAGTGTCCCATCATTGTTGTCAGTGGGAGGAATAGTGTCCCATCATTGTTGTCAGTGGGAGGAATAGTGCCCCATCATTGTTGTCAGTGGGAGGAATAGTGCCCCATCATTGGTGTCAGTGGTAGGAATAGTGCCCATACATTAGTGTCTGTAGAAGAAATAGTGCCCCATCATTGGTGTCAGTGGGATTAATAATGCCCCATTGTTGGTGTCAGTGACTGGAAGAGCACTCCGTTGTTGGTGTCAGCAAAGGCCCGTGTTTAGAGACCACTGCTTTAAATCAAGGGGGATAAGTATTGGATTGTTTTTGGCAACTCAGTGCTCCTGACCTTTTGGGTCCTGTTAGATTTCACGCTGAACTCACCAACCAGTGGACTGTGTGAATTTGCTCCGGTCCAGCACATTGAACAGACAATGGCTCATGGTGGCCCCCGGCTCTTATCTCTGTCAGGAGTCTCGCTTTTGTTTTATGTTACAATGTTAAAAACTTTCTTCAACAAATTCTTTGCCAATTTTTGTTGGAAATTGTTGGTTTTAAATGTTTGAAGCCATTGGAAGGGTGCGGGTTCCTAGTCAGGACTGTCGGCTAGTAGACATGCATTCAGGCTGGGGCCAGTGATGTCACTGATCTGATGAGAACTTCTCTAGGCTGCCTGATCCAAGTGCCCATGTCCGAGAAGAGCCGGGCAACAAGAGGGCGATTGGGGTCCCTGTCCCTGAGGAAGGAGGGCGAGCGTCAGTGCTTCTTGTTCTCCAAACATCTGCTGATCTGCACACGGAGCTCCGGAGGGAAGCTGCACCTCACCAAGGTAGGTGAAGACATACCCAGACATACCCAGCATGTACCCACTGCACTGCTTTATTAAGTCCCACCCACTGCTTTATTAACCACTTCCCGTCCGGCCGGACGGTGGCAGTGCAGGGGCGGGTTGCCGTTCATAAACTGCGCCCGCCATTTTGGATTGTGCACGGTCCCTGGGAGCGCACGGCACCGCGATCCAATGCCTGAACACCGATCGCTGTACGGGACCTCTATGTGAGGTCCCGATCATGTGATCACTGATTGGCCAATCAGTGATCACATGCAGAGTAGTAAGCAAGATGTCACTTCTGACATCATTGCTTACTACGTGTGAAATCTGTGAATGATCACAGAGATCACATGGTACAGGGCTATTCACAACAGCCTTGTACTGTATGACAAGCTGTGACCAATTACAGCTCTCACAGTATTTCTCAATGGCTGCAAGAATGCAGCCAGAGAGAAGGAGAAATGATTGCTTTTACAGCCTTTATGGGTGTAAAAGCAATCAGTGTAAAAAAAAAGGAAAAAAAAAACCTTCATCACCCCCCACAAGTAGTACAGTGTTTACCATGGTTACACTGTACTGCCAGGGTGGCAGTATGTTAAAAAAAAAAAAAAAAATAAATAATAAAAATGTAAAAACTTTTTTTGAAAAAGTATAATTTTTGGTTATAAACTAATTTGGGTTTTTTTTTTTTTTTAGTAAAAAGATAACGGAATACATTTTGGCCAAGATTTATGATGAAATATTATTTATTTGCAAAATTTTATAAGAAAAACATTTTTTTTCAAAATTTTTGGACTTTTCATTTACATAGCAAAAAAAATAAAAATCCCAGCGGTGAATAAATACCACCAAAATAAAGTTTTATCTGTCTCAAAAAAAATGCTAAAACATTCATATGGGTACAGTGTTGCATGACCGCACAATTGTTATTCAAAGTGTGATAGCGCTGAAAGCTGAAAATTGGCCTGGACAGGAAGGGGGTGAAAGTGTCCGGACTGGAAGGTAGGAAAGTGTCCGGACTGGAAGGGGTGAAAGTGTCCGGACTGGAAGGAGGGAAAGTGTCCGGACTGGAAGGTAGGAAAGTGTCCGGACTGGAAGGGGGGAAAGTGTCCGGACTGCAAGGGGGGTGAAAATGTCCGGACTGGAAGGGGGGTGAAAATGTCCGGACTGGAAGGGGGGTGAAAATGTCCGGACTGGAAGGGGGGTGAAAATGTCCGGACTGGAAGGGGGGTGAAAATGTCCAGACTGGAAGGGGGGGTGAAAATGTCCAGACTGGAAGGGGGGGGGGAAGTGTCGGGACTGGAAGGGGGGTGAAAGTGTCGGGACTGGAAGGGGGGTGAAAGTGTCGGGACTGGAAGGGGGGTGAAAGTGTCGGGACTGGAAGGGGGGTGTGAAAGGGGGGTGTCGGGACTGGAAGGGGGGGGGGGAAAGTGTCGGGACTGGAAGGGGGGTGAAAGTGTCGGGACTGGAAGGGGGGTGAAAGTGTCGGGACTGGAAGGGGGGTGAAAGTGTCGGGACTGGAAGGGGGGTGAAAGTGTCGGGACTGGAAGGGGGGTGAAAGTGTCGGGACTGGAAGGGGGGGGGGAAAGTGTCGGGACTGGAAGGGGGGGAAAGTGGGGGGGGGGGAAAGTGTCGGGACTGGAAGGGGGGTGAAAGTGTCGGGACTGGAAGGGGGGTGAAAGTGTCGGGACTGGAAGGGGGGTGAAAGTGTGTCCGGACTGGAAGGGGGGTGAAAGTGTCCGGACGGGGGGAAAGTGTCCGGGGAAGGGGGGGGGACTGGAAGGGGGGGAAAGTGTTGGGACTGGAAGGGGGGGGGGGGAAGTGTCGGGACTGGAAGGGGGTGAAAGTGTCGGGACTGGAAGGGGGGTGAAAGTGTCTGGACTGGAAGGGGGAGAAAGTGTCCGGACGGACTGGAAGGGGAGAAAGTGTCCGGACTGGAAGGGGGGGAGAAAGTGTCCGGACTGGAAGGGGGGGAAAGTGTCCGGACTGGAAGGGGGGAAAGTGTCCGGACTGGAAGGGGGGGAAAGTGTCCGGACTGGAAGTGGTTAATTGTTGTATCTGTATATCTTCTGTTATTTCTCTGTATGTTTCTGGTTCAGCACTCCTCAGCTGCCTCATTCGTTTGGTAGACGGACATCTTCTAAACGCTGTCTCTTTGTTCCCCTTTTAGAATGGGGTGATCTCCTTGATGGACTGCACTTTACTGGAAGATCAAGAGGATGACGAGAGTTAGTATATACAGTTCAAAGTCTGGATATTGTATTTGCTTTTTTGCTCAGTACACATCAGTGAATTCTTCCGCACCTCTGTTTAATTATCTGTATCATTGCAGACACTACACTGTGATAGTCTGATAGATTGGGGTAGAGATTTCCAGAGGATGGGGGAGAAGTCCTGAAGACGAGCATGGGAGGAGGAGACAAGGGAGCTAGAGAGTAGGAGGTCATAAGAGGAGCGGAGAGGACGGTTTGGGTGATATTTGGAGACAAGATTGGTGATGTAATTTGGGGCGGAGTTATAAATGGCTTTTTATGTTATTGTTAATGTTTTGAATTTTATTCGTTGGGCAATGGGAAGCCAATGGAGGGATTGGTAGAGAGGGGTGGAGGGATTGGTAGGGATGGGTGGAGGACACTGAGTTGAGGCCAGTGGAGGGATTGGCAGAGATGGGGTGGAGGTCAGTGGAGGGATGGAGGACACTGAGTGGAAGCCAGTTGACGGATTGGCAGAAAGGGATAGAGGACACTGAGTGGAGGGATTGGCAGTGGGGGTCAGTGGAGGGATTGGCAGAGAGGGGTGGAGGACACTGAATGGAGGCCAGTAGAGGGATTGGCAGAGAGGGGTGGAGGACATTGAGTGGAGGTCAGTGGAGGGATTGGCAGAGAGGGGTGGAGGTCAGTGAATGGAGGCCAGTGGAGGGATTGGCAGAGAGGGGTGGAGGACACTGAATGGAGGCCAGTGGAGGGATTGGCAGAGAAGGGTGTAGGACACTGAATGGAGGCCAGTGGAGGGATTGGCAGAGAGGGATGGAGGACACTGAATGGAGGTCAGTGGATGGATTGGTAGAGAGGGGTGGAGGACACTGAATGGAGGCCAGTGGAGGGATTGGCAAAGAGGGATGGAGGACACTGAATGGAGGCCAGTGGAGGGATTGGCAGAGAGGGATTGAGGACACTGAATTGGCAGAGAGGGGTGGAGGACAGTGGAGGGACTGGCAGAGAGGGATGGAGGACACTAAGTGGAGGCCAGTGGAGGGATTGGCAGAGAGGGGTGGAGGACACTGAGTGGAGGCCAGTGGGGGGATCGGCAGAGAGGGGTGGCAGATACAAAACGGTTAGTAAGGTGGATGAGTCTGGCAGCAGCATTCATGATGGACTGAAGAGGGGATAGCCTGTGATGAGGTCGGCCAATGAGGAGGGAGTTACAATAGTCAAGGCGAGGCAAGTGAGTGGTTTAACCAAATCATCATTTTGTTGTCCATCTCCAAGCTGTATAAACTTGAATGCCTTTTGGATTAACGCTGATCATGTGATGTGTATTTGTGTAATGAGGGGGGGGGGGCGTGGCCTAAGCAGATCAACCCCCTATATCAAGGTGTGCATAATTATTAGGCAGCTTCTTCTCCTCAGGAAAGATGGGCCAAAAATGAGATTTAACTGACTCTGAAAAGCCAAAAATTGTAAAAAGTCTTTCAGAGGGAAGCAGCACTCTAGAAACTTAAGATATTGGGGCGTGATCACAGAACCATCAAATATTTTGTTGCAGATAGTCAACAGAATTGCAAGAAATGGGTTGAGAAAAAAAAATGCCTATTAACTGTGAAAGATTTGAGAAAAATCAAATGTGAAGCGACCAGGAGCCCGTTCTCCTCCAGTGAGGTCATATTCCAGAACTGCAACCTACATGGAGTGCCCAGATGTACGAGGTGTTCAGGGCTCAGAGACATGGCCAAGGGAAGGGAGGCTGAAACCCGACCACCACCCAACAAAACACAGAGGTTGAAGACTGGGCCAAGAAATATCTGGAGACACATTTTTCATATGTTTTATGGACTGATGAGATGAGAGTGACTTTTGATGGACCAGATGGATGGGCCCGTGGCTGGGTCAGTAATGGGCACAGAGCTCCACTGCGACTCAGATGCCAGCATGGTGGAGGTGGGATTCTGGTATGGGCTGATATTATTAAAGATGAGCTAGTTGGACCTTTTCAGGTTGAAGATGGACTCAGAATGAACTCCCAAACCTATTGCCATTTTTTTGAAGACACTTTCTTCAAACAGTGGTACAGGAAAAAGTCTGCATCTTTCAAGAAGACCATGATATTTATGCAGGACAATGCTCCATCACATGCATTGAAGAACTCCACTGCCTGGTTGGCCAGTAAAGGCCTTAAAGAATAATGCCATGACCCCCTTCCTCACCTGACCTAAACCCTAATGAGAAGTGGTCCACCATCATCGGGATCCTATCGGCGAGGTCCAGTGGCTCTCAGCCAGACATGGGCGATAAGGACAAACTGTTGGTCGCAATGCAGTGGACTGGGCAGACAAGACTCGGATCCAATTAGGACACCACGGGAGAACACAATTCTCGGAGAGTCGAAGAAGAGGAGAAATGGAGCCAGACCGACCATAGTAACTTGTGTTTATGATAGGTATCATTGGTAAACGCCAACATTTCCTCCATACGCATGATATTTTAAAGCACAGAAACCCACAGCGGAAGAGGCGAGTTTTCCAAAAAAGGGGTATCAATTGGCGAGCCGCAGATAGAAAGAAATGCAACGAGCACCTCTTCTGCGCTGCCAGGGAACCCGGTAAGATAGAGAGGAGGCCAAGGACTCACCATAGACTCTGTTATAGACATCAAACACTTGACTCCAAAAGGATTGTATCAGGTCGCAATCCCACCAAATGTGGAGCTGGGTACCGACAGCTTTAGTACAGCGCCAGCAAAGATTGGATGTAGAAGGGAATATTTTGTGTAAGGAGACGGGGGGTCCCTGTACCAGCGAGTGAGGAGCTTAAAGTTGTTTTCCAGTGAATAACATGAAATAGTCGAATTATGAGTGAAATGGAACGACCTAGACCAATCCTCTGCCGATGCAGTGCAGGAAATGCGTATTTCCTCCCCTGCTGATGTTGAATGTTTGCCCCTCACACAGAAATGATCGGTCTAACAATCGAATGTTCTGTGTATTGTAACACTGAGAGACAGAATACAACAACAAATTCAGCAGAAATACGTCTAACAAATGATGACGGATCTGCATGTTCATGAGGGAAAGAAGGATTTGATCCCCTATCATTCAGCAGGATTTCTGGCTCCCAGGTGTCTGTCATACAGGTAACAAGCTGAGATTAGAAGCAGTCTCTTAAAGGGAGTGCTGCTAATCTCATTGTGTTACCTGTATAAAAGACACCTATCCACAGGAGCCATCAAACCATCAGATTCCAAACTCTCCACCATGGCAAAGACCAAAGAGCTGTCCAAGGATGTCAGGGACAAGATTGTAGACCTACACAAGGCTGGACTGGGCTACCAAACTATGGCCAAGCAGCTTGGTGAGAAGGTGACAACAGTTGGTGCAATCATTCACAAATGGAAGAAACACAAAACAAGTGTCAGTCTCCCTAGGTCTGGCGCACCATGCAAGATCTCACCTCGTGGAGTGTCAATGATCATGAGAACAGGGAGGAATCATCCCAGAACTACACGTGAGGATCTTGTCAATGATCTCCAGGCAGCTGGGACCACAGTCACCAAGAAAACAATTAGTAACACACTACGCCGACAAGGACTGAAATCCTGCAGTGCCCACAAGGTCCCTCTGCTCAAGAAAGCACATGTCCAGGCCGTCTGAAGTCTGCCACTGAACATCTGAATGATGCCGAGGACGACTGGTGGGAAGTGTTGTGGTCAGATGAGACCAAAATCGAGCTCTTTGGCATCAACTCAACTCGCCGTGTTTGGAGGAGGAGGAATGCTGCCTATGACCCCAAGAACTTCATCCCAACTGTGAAACATGGTGGTGGAAACATTCTGCTTTGGGGGTGTTTTTCTGCTAAGGGGACAGGACAACTGCACCGCATCAAAGGGACAATGGACGGGGCAATGTACCATCAAAATCTTAGGTGAGAACCTTCTTCCCTCAGCCAGGGCATTGAAAATGGGTCGTGGATGGGTGTTCCAGCATGACAATGACCCAAAACACACGGCCAAGGCAACAAAGGAGCGGCTCAAGAAGAAGCACATTAAGGTCCTGGAGTGGCCTAGCCAGTCTCCAGACCTTCATCCGATTGAAAATCTGTGGAGGGAGCTGAAAGTTCGAGTTGCCAAACGTCAGCCACCAAACCTTAATGACTTGGAGAGGATCTGCCAAGAGGAGTGGGCCAAAATCCCTCCTGAGATGTGTGTGAACCTGGGGGCCAACTCCAGGAAACGTCTGACCTCTGTGATTGCCAACAAGGGATTGGCCACCAAGTACTAAGTCATGTTTTGTGAAGGGGATCAAATCCTTCTTTCCATCATGAACATGCAGATCAGTCATCATTTGTTAGACGCATTTCTGCTGAATTTGTTGTTGTATTCTGTCTATCAGTGTTACACCGAACATTCGATTTTTAGACCGATCATTTCTTTGTGAGGGGTGAACATTCAACATCAGCAGGGGAGCAAATACGCATTTCCTTCACTGTATGTCTCTGCCCAGGTCCTGAGCCCACGCCCTAGTAAAGGGAGGAATCTCGGTCGTTTTCCATTTAAGTGCACATTAATTCTGCACACTAATAGTTGCCCAATAATCTTGCACACATAGATATTCTCCTAAGAAAGCCCAAACCTCACTTTTACTTTCTTAATTATTCCAGTTTGAGGTTTAATAATATTTTGGATCGGCCGAGAGCACTGGAGTTCAATAATGAAATGTATCCTCAGAGATACAGCGTACCTAATCATTGTGCACACGGTGTATATAGTAACATGTCCTGTTATTTCCCAATGCAGATAGACAAGACGCAGATCACTTGGACTTCAAGATCTCAGTGGAACCCAAAGATTCGGCTCCCTTTGTTGTCATTCTGATGGCATCTTCCCGGCAGGAGAAAGCGGCTTGGACCAGTGACATCAGCCAGGTCACCATGTGTCATGACTTTGCAATCACCTTGCCTCCATAATCATCACAACATCATTGAGTCTCCATGGTATACCCACCCTCTGTCATATTGTTGTCATTGTTACAAATTAGTACATATAGTAGTAGTAGTAGTGTAAAAAACCTGAATAAACCGCATTGGCATTTTTCTAATTTAGTTTTGATCACTAATGACAATATATTGAGAGATTCTTTGATCACACTCATATATTTACCAGCATTCAGGTCCCTTTTAGACCAGGCATTCTCAACTAGGGTTCCTCCAGAAGTTTCTAGGGGTTCCTTGCTGTGTGGCCAGTTGACCTTCCATGTTCGTTTATAGTTCCAGGTCCATTGCCTCTTGGCAGAGCCAGTAGCATAACACCAGTGATCTCTCCAGCCAGCTGTAAGGGTGGCGTTCTAACCTGTAAGTGTCCTTCCTTCCACTGACCACCAATGTAAGGAACATTTTCCTTATGACCCCTCATGTCCTAATCTTAGCAGGGTGACCCAGAGACGCCTGGAAATTATTTCACTGGGGTAAAAAGGTTTGAGGGAGGCTGCATTAGACTATGCCTTGCGTTGGGGAGGCGGGGAAATATTTCACGGATGTGCGACTATGTTCAGTGGGAACGGGCAGACCAGGAATTGGATGGATATGTGTGGGCACGCATGGGGCTGTAAGAACATGAGTGAGTCCAGGATAAGGAGGATCAATGAAGAACACTGAGCTTGGATCAGGTAACACTGAATGTGGAGGAGAGACACGGGGGGGGCAGGACACCAGATGCTGAGATGTATGGGACAGAGCACCTGCACATTTAGCGGAGGTGACAACTGTGGTGCAGTCTAAGGAGCCACTCATTGGTCACAAGAGCCCGCCACAGGGGAAGATGGTCTTTGCTGATAATGGCTCCCAGGTTGGAGCTCTCAGACTCACCCTAGCAGGCATCTTCTCAGCAGAAAGCACAGTACGCAGATAAAAGTCAGTTGCAGCACTGGGGTGCTGAGGGTTGCTGTCTGGATCACACAGGGGGATCACACAGGTACTGGGATGCAAGTTGCAGGCTGGAACACACGGGATCACACAGGTACTGGGATGCAGGTTGGAACACACAGGTACTGGGATGCGGGTTGGATCACACATGTTCTGGGATGCAGGTTGGAACACACAGGTTCTGGGATGCGGGTTGGAACACACAGGTTCTGGGATGCAGTTTGCTGGCTGGAACACACGGGATCACACAGGTACTGGGATGCAGGTTGGAACACACAGGTACTGGGATGCGGGTTGGATCACACAGGTTCTGGGATGCAGGTTGGAACACACAAGTACTGGGATGCAGGTTTCAGGCTGTAACACACAGGGGATCACACAGATTCTGGTTGCAGGTTGCTGGCTGGAATACACGGGATCACCCAGATTCTGGTTGCAGGCTGGAATACACCGGGGATCACACAGGTTCGGGGATGCAGGTTGCTGGTTGGAACACACAGGGGATCACACAGGTACTGGGATGCGGTTTGCAGGCTGGAATACACGGAGTCAGTGGGGATTGTTGGAGACGAGGACACTGGTAACTCCAGTAAAATATTCACATCACACCTTCCTAAATGACGTGTAACAGGCGGGTTCTGTAGCAACTACCAGCCGAGAAGCAGTGACCACACAAGGTGAATGCACTGATCACCGGCACACCGTGGATCTTCAGAATGCTGTCCAAACGTTTAATAAAGCAATCACATCATAGCAAGGAATTGTGATATTTTGAGGCCACTCGGGGCCCTTTCATCAAGCATGGGGGACACTGGTAACATGCAGGGGTCGCAGAGGATCACCGGAGAAAGGTTCACGAAGTCGCTAGGAAATGCAGGAGCTCAGCAGCAGGCATGGTATACAGTTGTAAGAAAAAGTATGTGAACCCCTTGGGATTACGTGGAGTTTTGCATGAATTGGGCATAAAATGTGCTCTGAATGTCATCTAAGTCTCAAAAATAGAAGAACACAGTCGGCTCAACATAATACTACACAAACATTAGATGTTGCCATGGTTTAATTGCACGTAACATGTAAACATTCACAGTGCAGGGAGGAAAAAGTATGTGACTCCCTAGCCTAATGACTTCTCCCAGAGCTAATTAGAGCCAGGAGTGCGCCAACCTTGACTCCAATCAGTGTGATGATATTGGATGTGTTGCTGACAGCTGTCCTGCCCTTAAAAAACACACACCTGTTTTGGGTTTACTGGTTTCAAGAAGCACTGTCTGATGTGAACCATGCCTCGCAGAAAAGAGCTCTCAGAAGACCTACGATCAAGAATTGTTGACTTGCATGAAGCTGGAAAGGGTTACAAAAGTATCTCCAAAAGCCTTGATGTTCATGTGTCCACGGTAAGACAGACTGTCTACAAATGGAGAAAGTTTAGCACTGTTGCTACTCTCCCTAGGCGTGGTCGTCCTGTAAAAATGACTGCAAGAGCACAACGCAGAATGCTGCATGAGGTAAAGAAGAATCCCAGAGTGTCAGCTAAAGACCTACAGAAATCTCTGGCACATGCTAACATTTTTGTTGACACATCTACAATAAGGAAAAACATTAAACAAGAATGGAGTACATGGGAGGACACCACGGAGGAAGCCATTGCTGTCCAAAAAGAAGATTGCAGCACGTTTGAAGTTTGCAAAAGAGCACCTGGATGTTCCACAGCACTACTGGCAAAATATACTGTGGACAGATGAAACCAAGATTGAGTTGTTTGGGAAGAACACACAACACTGTGTGGAGAAAAAAAGGCACAGCACACCAACATCAAAACCTCATCCCCACTGTAAAACATGGCGGAGGGAGCATCATGGTTTGGGGCTGCTTTGCTGCCTCAGGGCTGGACGGATTGTTGTCATTGATGGGAAAATGAATTACAGAGTTTATCAAGACATTTTGCAGGAAAACGTACGACCATCTGTCCGCCAACTGAAGCTCTGCAGAGGATGGGTGATGCAACAGGACAATGACCCAAAGCATACAAGTAATTCAACAAAACAATGGCTGCAACAGCACAGAATACGCCTTCTGGAGTGGCCCAGTCAGAGTCCTGACCTCAACCCGATTGAAATGCTGTGTGGCATGACCTTAAGAGAGCGATTCACACCAGACATCCTAAGAATATTGCTAAACTGAAACAGTTTTGTTAAGAGGAGTGGTCCAAAATTACTTCAGATCATTGTGCAGGTCTGATCTGCAACTACAGGAAACGTTTGGTTGAGGTTATTGCTGCCAAAGGAGGGTCAATCAGTTATTAAGTCCAAAGGTTCACTACTTTTTCCTCCCTGCACTGTGAATGCTTACATGTTATGTGCAATTAAACCATGGCAACATCTAATGTTTGTGTAGTATTATGTTCAGCAGACTGTGTTCTTCTATTGTTGTGACTTAGATGACGTTCAGAGCACATTTTATGCCCAATTCATGCAAAACTCCACGTAATCCCAAGGGGTTCACATACTTTTTCTTGCAACTGTATGTGCTGGCCCTTTAAGACATAACCTGGCCAATGATCGGCTGGACAGCAATGGCCTCCTACAGGGAAGATCTTTGTCGGAATTGCATAGTTGGGGGTCCTTGGCGCCCAGGAAAACTACTTGTTACTAGACCGTAGAAACATGTGTGGGTTGTCTGGTGTCAGGTCTATATGAATACATATATACATTTATTGTCCTTCTGTAACTGCCTTCTGGTCCTCATATCATCATTTGTCCATTTGGTTTACCTGTGTGGTCCATTCCACGCTCAGACAACTGACTCTGACTCTTCCCTCCAGTGTGTGGACAACATCCGCTGTAACGGGCTCATGATGAACGCCTTCGAGGAGAACTCCAAAGTCAGCGTTCCCCAGATGATCAAGTGAGTTACCAAAGAAAATGACTTACAAAGTTCACTATTATTTCACGTCCTATCAGAGCAAATACTCAATGCTGCCTCTCCACGCTGCCTCTCCACGCTGCCTCTCCACGCTGCCTCTCCACGCTGCCTCTCCACGCTGCCCCTCCACGCTGCCCCTCCACGCTGCCTCTCCACGCTGCCTCTCCACGCTGCCTCTCCACGCTGCCCCTCCACGCTGCCCCTCCACGCTGCCCCTCCCCGGACGCTGCCCCTCCACGCTGCCTCTCCACGCTGCCCCTCCACGCTGCCCCTCCACGCTGCCCTCCACGCTGCTGCCCGCTGCCCCGCTGCCCCTCCACGCTGCCCCTCCACGCTGCCCCTCCACGCTGCCCCTCCACGCTGCCCCTCCACGCTGCCTCTCCACGCTGCCTCTCCACGCTGCCCCTCCACGCTGCCCCTCCACGCTGCCCCTCCACGCTGCCCTCCACGCTGCCCCTCCACGCTGCCCCTCCACGCTGCCCCTCCACGGTCTCTCCCCGGACCCCGCATTCACTATATCCGCTCTCCCCAGGACCCTGCATTCACTATGTCCGCTCTCCCCGGACCCCGCATTCACTATATCCGCTCTCCCCGGACCCCGCATTCACTATGTCCGCTCTCCCCAGACCCCGTATTCACTATGTCCGCTCACCCCGGACTCGGCATTCACTATATCCGCTCTCCCCGGACCCCGCATTCACTATATCCACTCTCCCCGGACCCCGCATTCACTATATCCGCTCTCCCCGGACCCCGCATTCACTATGTCCGCTCTCCCCAGACCCCGCATTCACTATGTCCGCTCTCCCCGGACCCCGCATTCACTATATCCGCTCTCCCCCGGACCCCGCATTCACTATATCCCACTCTCCCCGGACCCCGCATTCACTATATCCGCTCTCCCCAGACCCCGCATTCACTATGTCCGCTCTCCCCAGACCCCGCATTCACTATATCCACTCTCCCCGGACCCCGCATTCACTATATCCGCTCTCCCCGGTCTCGGCATTCACTATATCTGCTCTCAGTGTAAAATCAGTGCAATCAGTGTAAAAAAAATCTTCATCACCCCCTGGTAGGGGCAGTGGTGTTGTTGGTCAATGTCAGGCTTGCTCCACGAGAGGGACAAGGGGGAGGGGGGGGGGGGGGGGTAGTGGGAGGTTCCCCCAGGTAGGGGGCAGGGGTGTTGTTGGTCAGTGTCAGGCTTTCTCCATGAGAGGGAGAAGGGGGGGGTTGGGGTGGGGGGTAGTGGAAGGTTCCCCCAGGTAGGGGCAGGGGTGTTGTTGGTCAATGTCAGGCTTTCTCCAGGAGAGGGACAAGGGAAGGGGGGGGGGGTGTTGGTCGGTGTCCGTGGGGGCAGATGATTTTTGTGTTGCCTAGGCCAGCACAAAACCTGAATACACCAATGGGTGGGCCTGATTGCCAACAAGCGTCACGGTAATCGATTTGCAAACAAACAAAAACTTGTGGCGTTTTTAGCAGCATGATTATTTTTACACACCGTAATGAAGGATTTTTTTTTGCGTTTTAACAAATACATTAAAACCTTCTTTGCCTTGCCGAGTGTTTGTGTAAAACATGTCAATCTGCCTCCTTCACAGGTCGGACAGCAGTTTATACTGTGATGACATAGACATTCGGTTCAGTAAGACGATGAACTCCTGCAAGGTTCTTCAGATACGCTACGCCAGCGTCGAACGCTTACTGGAACGTCTCACTGATCTTCGCTTTTTGAGTATCGACTTCCTCAACACGTTCCTGCACTCCTACCGGGTCTTCACCTGTGCTGACATTGTGCTGGACAAGCTGATCGCTATCTACAGGAAGCCAGTCAGTGCCATTCCTGCCAGGTGAGAGCTTCATAAAAGATTCCTTCTTCAGAATGACCACCTACCAACACACAGAGGGGCTATTCACCAAACCTGGAGGGTGCAACGTCTGGAGCAGCTCTGCATAGTAACCAATCAGCTTCCAGGTTTTGTCAAAGCCTTAACCTCCCTAGCGGTCTGATTATGTCAGTATTTCTGTGCTCAAAGCGGTACATTTTTTTGCATGGAAATATGTATTTTTTTTATTGTAGGCCTGTAATTTTTAGGAATAACTCACTGAAATCTGTCCGAACAAGAGTCTAGTAAACATCCCGGGGAGGATAAAATTTGAACCACGAAATCATAAATTATAATTTAACCCCCTGGCGGTATTCCCAAGTGTAGGTCGGGGTAAAGTTTCAGTACCACAAGCGGTAACCCCCCCCCCCCCCCCCTGAGCTACACTCGGGAATACACTGCAGCGTTGCTCCGGGATCTCTTCTGCACTTACCTTGTCCTGCGCTCCCGCGATGTCCCCCCCTGCAGTGTCCCCAGCAATGTAATCCGGCGGATGCCGGCATCTGTCTTCCGGGTTCCATCCCCTGCGAGTGTCGGGACGTACGGGGGACGGAACTGGCGGGAAATTCAAAAATGACAAAAAGTGACATTCACTAAAATCACATAGTATTCCATTACTGTATCAAACCATTTCACATACATTTTGTCCCGAGTGCTTTGTCCGGCGCCCTGCCTGCATTTTTACTGTTCTTTCTGCCTGGAAACTGAGAAACGTCCATGGCGTCCAAAAAGCGTCCCTTTAGGTCAGACGCGGTTTTAGACCGGCTAGAGAACAGCGATAGTAAATCAGAACCACTTGCAGAATTGAGTGATAATGATTGGTGGGGGAAATTCCTCATCAGACACTGAAAACGATTCTGCGACTGAGCTCAGCGATGTGCGAACTTGGCGCTCTATTTCACATTTCAGTGTTTTTGGTTTGCGCCAAGTTCGCACATCGCTGAGCTCAGTCGCAGAATTTTTTAAGTTATATTTATGATTTTGTGTTTCAGTGTCTGATGAGGAATTTCCCCCCTACAATCATTATCACTCAGTTCTGCAAGTGGTTCTGATTTACTATCGCTGTTCTCTAGCCGGTCTAAAACCGCGTCCGACCTAAAGGGACCCTTTTTGGACGCCATGGACGTTTCTCAGTTTCCAGTCCCCCATACGTCCCGACGTCGCAGGGAATGGAACCCAGAAGACAGATGCCGGCATCGGCCAGAAGACACTGCAGGGAGGACATCTCAGCAGGAGCGCAGGAAAAGGTAAGTGCAGAAGAGATCCCGGAGCAACGCTGCAGTGTATTCTCGAGTGTAGCTCAGGGGGGGGGGGGTCACCGCTTGTGGTGCTGAAACTTTACTCCGAGCTACACTCAGGAATACCTCCAGGGGGGTTAACTGAACAAGATGAAGGTAGAAGCTGATTGGCTCCCATGCACAGCTGCATCAGATTCTGAGAGCTCCAGTTTTAGTAAATCTCCCCCATGGTGATCCCACTGAAATCATGTTTCATGTCTGTTTCATGGTTTTCCAAACTGCATAGTTAGTCTGGCTGAAAAAAAGACAAAAGTCCATCCAGTTCAACCAATAATAAAGAAAAAAGAACTTATAATCCTACACCACAGTGGATCCAGAGGAAGGCAAAAAAACCCAGCAAAGCACGATCCAATCTGCTCCTGCAGGGGAAAAAATTCCTTCCTGACCCCCCGAGAGGCAATCGGATATTCCCTGGATCAACTTTCCCTATAAATGTTATATCCAGTTATATTCTGTGTATCCAAGAAAGAATCCAGGACTTTCCTACAGCAATCCACTGAGCTGGCCACAACCAACTCTGGAGGGAGTCTATTCCACACAACTATGGCCCATTTGCCACATCCAGCCCATTATAGGATTTGATCTGGCCCACGGCTGGCTCTGTGGTGCATCCTCATTGTGCACTGATTGAGGATTATGGTCAGCAGAGGATGCCTATGGTTTCTGCTTCTGATCTAACAGGGGACTCTGATGGGGAACCCTGATGGAAAAAGTGACTTGGACAGGGACCCTAATGGAAGGGGTTACTCTGATGGGGAGATTACAATGGGGAAACTAATGTAAGGGGGAACTCTGATGGGGACCCTGATGTAAGTCTTATTTAAGGTGGGACTCTGATATGCAAGCGGGAGCACTCATGGGGATCCTAATCCAAGAAGTGACTTGGACATGGGCCCTAATGTAAGGGGGAACTCTGATGGGGACCCTGATGTAAGCGGGAGTCTTATTTAAGGTGGGACTCTGATGGGGAACCCTGATGGAAGCAGGGAGACTCATGGGGATGCTGATACAAGAAGTGACTTGGACATGGGCTCTAATGGAAGGGGGAACTCTAATGGGGACCCTGATGTAAGCAGTAGTCTTATTTAAGGTGGGACTCTGATGGGGAACCCTGATGGAAGCAGGGAGACTCATGGGGATGCTGATACAAGAAGTGACTTGGACATGGGCCCTAATGGAAGGGGGGAACTCTGATGGGGACTCTGATGTAAGTGGGAATCTTATTTAAGGTGGGACTCTGATGGGGAACCCTGATGGAAGCAGGGACTCTTGTGGGGATCCTAATCGAAGAAGTGACTTAGACAAGGACCCTAATGAAAGTGAACTCTGATGGGAACCCTGATGTAAACGAGACTCTTATTTAAAGTGGGACTCTGTTGGGGACCCTGATGGAAGGGGAGACTGAAATGGGGATCCGGTCAGAAAAAGTGACTTGGACATAGTCCCCATTACAGTCCCCCCTTCCATTAGGGTCCATGCCAAGTCATTTCTTCCATCAGGATCCCCATCAGAGTCCCCCCTTCCATCACACCCCCCCCCTCCTCCCATCAGGGTCCCACTTTGAATCAGAGTCCCCCTTACATTAGGGCCCCATTAAAGTTCTCCCTTTACATCAGAGTCCCCATTAGAGTGCCCCCCTTCCATTAGAGTCCGATGTAAAGGGAGGGCTTTACTGGGGACCTTAATGTAAAGGGAACTCTGTTTTAAAACGGGAATCTGATGGAAGGGAGGGACCATGACTTAAGGGGGGAATCTGATAGGGGATCCTGATGGAGAAAGGTACTTGGACAAGGACCCTAATAGAAGAGGGTACTTTAATGGAGATCCTGATGTAAGGGGAGGACTTTAGTGGGGACCCTAACATAAGGGGGAAACAGTATGGATGGAAGAGGGGGGGCATGACAGAAGGGTGGTACTCTGATGGGGATCCTGATGGAAGAAGTGACTCGGACATGGACTCTGATGGAAGGGGGGGGGGGCTGTAATGGGGACCCTGATGTAAGGGATAGGGACCCTGGTGTAAGGGGAGGACTTTAGTGGGGACCCTAATGTAAGGGGGAACATTATGAATGTAAGGGGGACACATAAATGGAAGAGGGGGGGCATAACAGAAGGGGGGACTCTGATGGGGATCCTGATGGAAAAAGTGACTTGGACATGTACTCTAATGGAGGGGGGGGGGCTGTAATGGGGACCCTGATGTAAGGGATAGGGACCCTGATGTAAGGGGAGGACTTTAGTGGGGACCCTAATGTAAGGCCGAAACATTGTGAATGGAAGGGGGGGGGCATAACAGAAGGGGGGACTCTGATGGGGATCCTGATGGAAAAAGTGACTTGGACGTGTACTCTAATGGAAGGGGGGGGGGAAAGGGCTGTAATGGGGACCCTGATATAAGGGATAGGGACCTTGATGTAAGGGGAGGCCTTTAGTGGGGACCCTAATGTAAGGGGGAAACATTGTGAATGGAGGGGGGGGGGGCATAACAGAAGGGGGGACTCTGATGGGGATCCTGATGGAAGAAGTGACTCGGACATGGACTCTTATGGAAGGGGGGGGGGCTGTAATGGGGACCATGATGTAAGGGGAGGACTTTAGTGGGGACCCTAATGTAAGGGGGAAACATTGTGAATGGAAGGGGGGGGGGGCATAACAGAAGGGGGGACTCTGATGGGGATCCTGATGGAAAAAGTGACTTGGACATGTACTCTAATGGAAGGGGGGGGGGCTGTAATGGGGACCCTGATATAAGGGATAGGGACCCTGATGTAAGCGGAGGACTTTAGTGGGGACCCTAATGTAAGGGGGAAACATTGTGAATGGAAGGGGGGGGGCATGACAGAAGGGGGGACTCTGATGGGGATCCTGATGGAAGAAGTGACTTGGACATGTACTCTAATGGAAGGGGGGGGGCTGTAATGGGGCGCTAGAGACTATCCACTGAACCTTGACCCCCCAGGGTATTTATTTGCATACATTAGTGAGATTAGGATGACGCCTCATATCTTATTGTTTGTCTTTTTTCAGGTCTTTAGAGCTCCTATTTGCAAGTAATCAAAATAATAAACTTCTGTACGGTGAGCCCCCTAAATCACCCAGAGCTACACGCAAGTTCTCCTCTCCACCACCCCTGTCTATCACCAAGTCCTCATCACCCAGCCGTAGACGCAAACTTTCCCTCAATATTCCCATCATTACCGGTGGAAAAGCGTTGGACATCGCTGCTATGGGATGTTCTCCAAATGGACACTCAAGTGCCTGCCCTGCTCCTCCTCCATACAGCAAAACCAGTTTGGACATCAATAAACTTTATGTGTCGGGAAGTTTCCCTAGCAAAGTCGGAGAGGGTGAGGAGCCACCGGCCGAGAAGGACGAGGAGCCAGTGACACAGAGGCAAAGTAAGGGTAAGAAACGCGTACAACCCAACTGATGACGGAACTTCACCCTTTCCACTCTTCTGACAAACAGAATAATAGAGGATGACAGTAGAATAATAATCATTGAAATAGTGTTTGTTACCCATTACGACTTATTGGCGTTGATTTACTAAAGGCAAGTGGGCTGTTCACTTTGCAAGGGAATTTTTCTCGTTGCTTAATGACTGGAGAAAATTCACTTTACAAAGAATACTCAATCACATGCAAGGCAAATGAAAAAAAAAAAAAAAAAGAAAGGGGGGGAGGAAACCGGAGTTAAAGAAGAGGGGCGATCGCTCGGCTCGCAAGGGAGGATTGGTTATGAGGGGTAAAACCCCGGGTCCCAGAGCCTGCATCCCCTTTCAGGAGGGGTTGATTTTGCTCATAACAATGTGGTAGGGTATAGCGGCTATGAGGAACCTAATAATGATTTGTATTTTGGGGAATCCATGAAATCTAACCAGTAGAATCATGTTTTTCTAATGTGTTTTCTTTGGATTTAAGTGAAGAGGTCAGATTCTCCAGGTTGCTTGGTCCTCAGGTTCTCCTGGACTTTTGAGCATCACAAGGCCAACAAAGATGGAGAGACTTGCTTCCACCATAGTAGAATACATACATGTGGTGACTATGAGGAAGCTAGCAATGGTTTGTATTCTTGGAAGTACATTAAATCTAACCAGTAGAGCCAAGTTTTCCTAATGTTTTCTCTTTGGGTCTAAGTGAGAAGGTCCGGCTTTCTGTGTTGCATGGTGGTCAGGTTCTCTTGGACCTTCACGCATTATAAAGCAAGAGATTTGCTTCCCACCATAGTAGATTAGTAGTAATAATTTGTATTCTTGGAAGTACATCAAATCTAACCAGAAGAATCATGCTTTTCAAGGGTATGGTGACTATGAGGAAGGTAGTAATGATTTCTATTTTTTGGACCTATCCAAAGTCTAGTAGAACCATGTTTTTTTCTAGGTTTTAAACTTGGGTTTAAGTGAGGAGGTCAGGTTTTCTGTGTTGCATGGTGTTTTGGTTCTCCTGGTCTTTCAAGCATCATAAGGTCAAGAAAGGTGGAGAAGCTTGCTTCCACCATAGTAGAATACAGTGGGGATGGAAAGTTTGGGCACCCCAGCTAAAAATTTGTATAAATGTGCATAAAGAAGCCAAAGAAAGATGGAAAAATCTCCAAAAGCCATCAAATTACAGATTAGACATTCTTATAATATGTCAACAAAAGTACGTTAGATTTTATTTCCATCATTTACACTTTCAAAATAACAGAAAACAAAAAAATGGCATCTGCAAAAGTTTGGGCACCCTGCGGAGTTAATATCTTGTACTGCCCCCTTTGGCAAGTATCACAGCTTGTAAACGCGTTTTTGTAGCCAGCCAAGAGTCTTTCAATTCTTGTTTGAGGTATCTTTGCCCATTCTTCCTTACAAAAGTCTTCCAGTTCTTTGAGATTTCTGGGCTGTCTGTCACGCACGGCTCTTTTAAGGTCTATCCATAGATTTTCAATTATGTTGAGGTCAGGAGATTGTGTGAAGGCCATGGCAAAACCTTCAGTTTACGCCTCTTGATGTAATCCCCTGTGGATTTCGAGGTGTGTTTAGGATCATTATCCATTTGTGGAAGCCATCCTCTCTTTAACTTCAGCTTTTTCACAGATGGCATCAAGTTACCATCCAAAATTTGCTGAAATTTTATTGAATCCATTTTTCCTTCTACTCGTGAGATGTTCCCTGTGCCACTGGCTGCAACACAACCCCAAAGCATGATTGATCCAACCCCATGCTTCACAGTTGGACAGAGGTTCTTTTCATTAAATTCTGTGCCCCTTCTTCTCCAAACGTACCTTTGCTCGTTCCGGCAAAAAGTTAAATTTTAACCTCATCGGTCCACAGAACTTGTTTCCAAAATGCATCAGGCTTGTCTATATGTTCATTTTGCAAAGTTCAAACGATGATTTTTGTGGTGAGGACGTATAAGAGGTTTTCTTCTGATGACTCTACCATGAAGACCATATTTGTACAAGTATCTCTTTATAGTGGAATAGTGGACCACAACTCCAGTGTCTGCCAGATCTTTCTGGAGGGATCGTGCAGTCAAACGTGGGTTTTGAATTGTTTTTCTCACAATCCTGCGAGCTGTTCTGTCTGATATTTTTCTTGGTCTTCCAGATCTTGCTTTAACTTCCACTGTTCCTGATGACTGCCATTTCTTAATTACATTCCGAACAGAGGATATTGACATCTGAAAACGCTTTGCTATCTTCTTATAGCCTTCTCCAGCTTTGTGAGCGTCAACTATTTTCAGTTTCAGTTTTCTAGACAACTGCTTAGAAGAACCCATGGTGCTGATTGTTGGGGCAAGGTCAGATGAGTCTGGGCATTTAAAACCTTTGAGATTGACATCACCTGGTCTTCCCAGACGATGATTGAGAACAATCCCTGACACTGGCAGGTCTCAGCTTTGCAAAGGGGGCAGTGCATGCTATAAATTCTGCAGGGGGCCCAAACTTTTGCAGACGCCATTTTTTTTGTTTTCTGTTATTTTGAAAGTGTAAATGATGGAAATAAAATCTAACTTTTGTTGACATATTATAAGAATGTCTAATCTGTAATTTGATGCCTTTTGGAGATTTTTCCATCTTTCCTTGGCTTCTTTATGCACATTAATACAAATTTTTAGCTGGGGTGCCCAAACTTTCCATCCCCACTGTATATATAAAAATAGGATATAAAACGAGCTCTAGGTAAGAAGCTGCTAGCATGAAGGTAAACCTCCTATCCTCTAAAAAATTCTCATAAAATGGATGCAGCGCTAAAATAATAAATAGTAATAAAGTAGTTAAGCAAACGTCAGTGGGCATAAAAGTGATAAAGATCATAAAACGTCCAAACTTGACGTACAGTCAAGTCCATAAATATTGGGACATGGACACAATTCTAACATTTTTGGCTCTATACACCACCACAATGGATTTGAAATGAAACGAACAAGATTTGCTTTAACTGCAGACTGTCAGCTTTAATTTGAGGGTATTTACATCCAAATCAGGTGAACGGCGTAGGAATGACAACAGTTTGCATATGTGCCTCCCACTTGTTAAGGGACCAAAAGTAATGGGACAGAATAATAATCATAAATCAAACTTTCACTTTTTAATACTTGGTTGCAAATCCTTTGCAGTCAATGACAGCCTGAAGTGTGGAACGCATAGACATCACCAGACGCTGGGTGTCATCCCTGGTGATGCTCTGCCAGGCCTCTACTGCAACTGTCTTCAGTTCCTGCTTGTTCTTGGGGCATTTTCCCTTCAGTTTTGTCTTCAGCAAGTGAAATGCTCAATTGGATTCAGGTCAGGTGATTGACTTGGCCATTGCAGAACATTCCACTTCTTTGGTTGCTTTTGCAGTCTGCTTTGGGTCATTGTCCATCTGCACTGTGAAGCCTCCAATGAGTTGTGAAGCATTTGGCTGAATATGAGCCGATAATATTCCCGAAACACTTCACAATTCATCCGGCTGCTTCTGTCAGCAGTCACATCATCAATAAATACAAGAGAAGCAGTTCCATTGGCAGCCATACATGCCCACGCCATGACACTACCACCACCATGATCACTGATGAGGTGGTATGCTGAAGACCATGAGCAGTTCCTTCTCCATACTCTTCTCTTCCCATCACTCTGGTACAAGTTGATGTCGGTCTCATCTGTCCATAGGATGTTGTTCCAGAACTGTGAAGGCTTTTTTACATGTCGTTTGGCAAACTCTAATCTGGCCTTCCTGTGTTTGAGGCTCACCAATGGTTTCCATCTTGTGGTGAACCCTCTGTATTCACTCTGGTGAAGTCTTCTCTTGATTGGTGACTTTGACACACATACACCTACCTCCTGGAGAGTGTTCTTGATCTGGCCAACTGTTGTGAAGGGTGTTTTCTTCACCAGGGAAAGACTTTCTTCGCTCATCCACCACAGTTGTTTTCCGTGGTCTTCCGGGTCTTTTGGTGTTGCTGAGCTCACCGGTGCGTTCCTTCTTTTTAAGAATGTTCCAAACAGTTGTTTTGGCCACGCCTAATGTTTTTGCTATCTCTCTGATGGGTTTGTTTTGTTTTTTTCAGCCTAATGATGGCTTCACTGATAGTGACAGCTCTTTGGATCTCATCTTGAGAGTTGACAGCAACAGATTCCAAATAGCACACTTGAAATGAACTCTGGACCTTTTATCTGCTCATTGTAATTGGGATAATGAGGGAATAACACACACCTGGCCAAGGAACAGCTGAGAAGGCAATTGTCCCATTACTTTTGGTCCCTTAACAAGTGGGAGGCACGTATGCAAACTGTTGTAATTCCTACACCGTTCACCTGATTTGAATGTAAATACCCTCAAATTAAAGCTGCCAGTCTGCAGTTAAAGCACATCTTGTTCGTTTCATTTCAAATCCATTGTGGTGGTGTATAGAGCCAAAAATGTTAGAATTGTGGCCATGTCCCAATATTTATGGACCTGACTGTATAAATCACAGAAACAATAATCAAACCTCAATAATCAATGGATTGTAGTCAAGTGACAATGGTGGTGACTATGAAGCCCACTGAAGCAATAATTCAATTCCGTAAATTCCGTGACTTGAGTGATAAGAAAATGGTAATGTGAATGCACTAACCAGAAGCGCAATCTTTTTGCGCATTTGTGTAAAAGATAAATCCCGTCAGAATCATCTGGATATGGATAGGACCAAGGTAATCATCTGGCACACCTCAGCATACAAGTTGATTATCGGACCATACGTACATTCTCCAGGGACATCATATGTTTCATGACCGATGGACAGGGACCCACAAATTGTACCACCTTAAAGGAAAGGTTACCTTTCATACATGTGGTTTGATCGTATGTTTCTAAAAATAAATGTTGCTGCAATTACAGAAGAATCTGTCAGCTTGGCTCAGATCCTCTCCTGTACCGCTTGTGGATTGGCTGCTGCTACCAGTCCTATCAGCTGGGCTGCTCCTTCCCAGCCATACCGGCGGTCCTCTCTCAAGGGGCCAGTGAGTCCCGAGTTTTCCTTCTTTGTGGCTCCAGGCTCACAGGCAGCCTTCCCTCTCCAGCCTCACACCTTCCTGGAGAATGTGCGTTTGGTCCGATAATCAACTTGTATGATGATTGCAAAAACACGAGATCCCTTCGAATTGCACCCAGCAGTACCTTCATCTCCATGTATCTGAACATGTATCTGTATTTACACACAATGTGGCGTTATATGTGACAGAATTTCATGTTTCGCTCTTTACATTCTTGATTGTTTTCAGCCCTTATGAAGGGGGAGGTTTGAGCCCCCAAAATGCGTTGGATTTTTAAATGGAATAATCTTTTTATGGACGGTACCAAGCAGTCTCATTCTAATACTCAGGCCGTTCAATGCAACCTCAGACATGAACAAAGCACATCCCTCTGTAGTGTGGACTTGTCTCAATTTCAGAGCACTAAGTGTCATTTCTTTCAGCTGCTTCCTTCTTCTGATATCCGCATGATTACATGTCACATGTATGTAGATCATGGATACAGAAGTGAAGACTATACAGGTCATATGGGGTAAATGATAGAAATACTTTATAATTATGCATCAAAATCATATTACAATGAATGTCAACCTCAGATGTGAAATATGAACAAAGCACACCCCCTCTATAGTGTGGACTTGTCTCAGTCCAGAGCACTAAGTGTCATTTCTGTCTGCTGCCTCCTTCCCTCTGCTGTGAACATGAATCACTTCTGACACCAAGAGAAAAATGGTGACAGGGGAGGGACCTCCAGCAGATTGACAGCCTCAGCTCTGCCCTTGTGAGCTGTATGGAAGGGGGTGTGTCTCTGCCCTCCAATCAGCTCTCAGAGCTGTCCTCATTGCGCTTCTTCTGCTATCCGCATGAGTCACTTCTGACAAGTTCTCCTGACACCAAGAGAAAAATGGTGACGGGAGGGATCTCCGGCAGATTGACCTCCTCAGCTCTGACAGTGCTGTGTGGAGGGGAGGGGGAAGGGGGGTGTCTCTTCCCTCCAATCAGCTCTCAGAGCTGTCCTCATTGAGCTTCTTCTGCTATCTGCAAGTTTTCCTGACACCAAGAGAAAAATGGTGACCGGGAAGGTATCTCCAGCAGATGGACAGGCTCAGCTCTGTTCCTGTGTGGTGTGTGAAGAGGAGGGGGGTGTCTCTTCCCTCCAATCAGCTATCAGAGCTCTCCTCGCTGAGCTCTGCAGTGTGTCATTTCAGCTCTCCGCCCCCTTTTTTCTGAATTCTCAGACAAGCTGTATAAATTCAGCACGTTAAACGGATGTAGAGAAGAGAGGGCTACAGATAAACCGGTACAACTATGCAGGATGATTTGTGTCATCTCTGTGTATCACCTGAGGCCGGGGATATAGAAGGCTTTACATCCACTTTAACAGGTGGCAGGTCTTCGTGTTTTGGGGAGAACATACAAACTCCATGAGATCATTTCTGATGGAATCGAAGTCTCCAGGGTTCTGCTGGATGGGCAGCCAATCAGCCGGATTGTTATTCAGACATTGATTTCTGATTCTTTTTATTTCACAGATTCGGAGAGTTCCTGCCGAGCAGATTCGGACACTGAACAGACACAAAGTGATGAAGCTGAGACCGACACATCTCCAACCCGCTCACCGACTACGCCAATCTCTCAGCGTGGACGCAACTCTGCCGGTGAGACGAACCGCTTCCTTTTATCACCAGTACAGTTCTGCCACTTAACCGCTTGCCCGCCTCCCTATAGCAGAACTACGTGTAATATACGGGATTTGCATTTCCAGGTAGGGGACGCGCACGCCGCCCTTCTCGTGCTGCTATTGGCGGCTAGGGATGTCAATCACCGGGTCACGGCTGTCACGCAACGATCGCCTGGGAAAGCCGACAGGAGAGAGAGACTTGTGTGGTAACAACACAGGTCTCTCTCCTGCCAGCAAGGACATGCTGCTTTGTATCTCTCTGCATAGCGTGTCTCCCTAGTAAAACACTCCCAGCACACAGTTAACCCTTTGATCGCTCCTCATGTTAATCCCATCCTGCCCAGTGCCATTAGTACAGTGTCAGTGCTTTTTATTAGCACTGGTCACTGTGTTGGTGTCACTGGGGATGCCAGAGACACCAAGCCAGTTCCCCCCCAGTGTTAGAATGCCCACCGCAGTCCCGCTATAAGTCGCTGATCGCCGCCATTACTAGTATAAAAAAAAATATATAAAAATTCCAGTATCTATACCGCTATTTGTAAACGCTGTAAGTCGCTGATCACCCTGCCATTACTAGTAAAATAAAAATCCCAGCATATATCCCGCCATTTGTAAACGCTATAACTTTCACGTAAACCAATTCATTTACACGTATTGGAAAGTTTTTTCGTGAAGACACGGAGCAGGATACATTTTGGCCTAAATGTATGACGAAATTTGATTTTTTTTTAATTTTTTTACTGGACATGTTTAATAGCAAAAAAGTCAAAAATATTGTTTTGGGGTTTTTTTTTTTTTTTTTAAATTGTCAATCGTTTTTTTGGTTATAGCGCAAAAAATAAAAAATTCAGAGATGGTCAAATACCACCGAACAAAAGCTCTATTTATGAGAAAAAAAGGACGTAAATTTCCTGTGGTTTCAGTGTTGTGTGACCGCGAAATTGTCAGTTAAAGTAACGAAGTTAATAGCAAAAATCCAAAAGTATAGTTTTTTTTTTTTTGTAAATTTGTTGTTTTTTTGTATTTACAGTGCAAAAAATAAAAAACACAAAGGGCGATCAAATACCACAGAAAGAAAGCTTGATTCGTGGGAAAAAAAACACGCGTAAATTTTATTTGGGTGCAGCATTGCATGACCGCGCAATTGTCAGTTAAAGTAGTACCGCGGAGGCGCGGCGCCGTATCGCAAAAAAGTGGCCTGGTCAGGAAGGGGGGGGGGGGGGGGGAATCCTCTGGAGGGCGAGGGATTAAAGGATAAGTTCAAAAATAATGAATGCACCTTTTTTTGCAGGTAAAAAAAATCAGTAGATCGCTGATGCCATGCAGATCTCCTGCAGACCTGTCAGAATATCTGCAGGATGTACAGGGTGTAGGGGATGTACGGGGTGTACAGAGGATGTACGGGATATGTAGGGGGTGTACAGGGGATGTAGGGGGTAGTTAGATATGTAGTACGGGATATACGGGTGTGTATGGGATGTACAGAGTGTAGGGGATATACGGGGTGTAGATGTATATAGGGGTGTATGGGATGTACGGGGATGTATGAGGTGTACACTAGGATGTATGGGATAAATAGGGGGTGCATGGGATGTACAGGTGTAGAGAATGTAGGGGATGTACGGGAGTGTAGGAGATAGTATGGGATGTACAGGGATGTATAGAATACGGGGATGTATGGGATGTACGGGGATGTATGGGATTTACAGGGTGTAGGGGATGTAGGAATGTACAGGGTGTAGGGGGATGTATGGTGTGTATGGGATGTACGGGAATGTATGGGATGTATGGGGGTGTATGGATATACAGGGTGTACGGGAGAATGTATGGGGTGTAGGGATGTATGGGGGTGTAGGGGATATACGGGTGTACGGGGATGTATGGGATGTATGGGGGTGTATGGATATACGGGGTGTACGGGGATGTATGGATTTACGGGATGTATGGTGATGTATGGCGATGTATGAGGTATACTAAGATGTAGGGGATATAATCGGGGTGTATGAGGGTGTACTAGGATGTAGGGGATATATGGGATGTATGGGGTGTACTAGAATGTATGGGGTGTAGGGGATGTATGGGATGTACGGAGAGTAAGGGTATATACTGGTGGGTGTAGGGGGATTAATGGGGTGTACTAGAATATGGGATGTACGGGGTGTAGGGGATTAATGGGTACTACGAAATGTATGGAATGTAACGGGGTGTATGGGATGTATGGGGTGTAGGGGATGTATGGATGTACGGGATGTAGGGGATGTATGGGATGTACGGGGTAGGGGATTAATGGGGTGTACTAGAATGTATGGGATGTACGGGTGTAGGGGATTAATGGGTGTATGGGATTTACGGGATGTAGGGGGATGTATGGATGTACGGGGTGTAGGGGATAAACGGAGTGTAAGGGATATTCGGGATGTACGGGTGTGTAGGGGATTAATGGGGTGTACTAGAATGTATGGGAATGTAAACGGGTGTTGGGGATGTATGGATGTATGGGGTGTAGGGATGTATGGATGTATGGGGTGTATGGATGTATAGGATGTAGGGGTGTAGTAATGTATGGATGTACGGGATGTAGGGGGATGTATGGGATGTACGGGGTTAGTAGGGGATTAATGGGGTGTAGGGGATGTAATGGATGTAACGGGGTGTAGGGGATATGGATGTATGGGATGTACGGAGTGTAAAGGGATATACGGGATGTATGGGATGTACGGGGTGTAGGGGATTAATGGGGTTAGGGGATGTATGGATGTACGGGGTGTAGGGGATGTATGGGATTTACGGAGAGTGTAAGGATATACGGGATGCATGGGATGTACGGGGTGTAGGGGATTAATGGGGTGTACTAGAAAGTATGGGATGTACGGGTTGTAGTACGGATGTAGGGATGGGGGGTGTAGGGGAATATACGGGGTGTAGGGGATGTATGATTAATGGTGTGTAGGGATATGTATGGGGATGTATGTTAGGGATGTTATAGGCTGAACAGCCAAGCAGATATAGTGACAGGAAGCTTCAATGAACTACCACAGAGCTCCACAACGCAGTGGATGGTAGTTCATGGATGAAATCTACAAGCCCACAGCCACTAAGGACTTGCAGTTCATTCATTCACGGAAGTCTGTGAATGAATGACACGGCCAGGTGAGCGGAGCCCCGCACTGCTGCACTGTTTTTTTTAAATTGACAGAATAGTTCTGGAGACTTCTACCCACATTATCTCTCAGTAGGGGGGTGGGGAGCGGCGGGCCCCCCCCCCCATTTTAAACCGTTCTCTGGTGAGGACCAGACTGCTCTTTTAGACCCTGCACCTTGGTCCCTTCTAAGGGCCCTCACCTGTGCCAAATATGAAGATTTGCTGAGCCTAACCTATCGGGGCCACTGGGTATCCTGCCCTTCCACTACCGCCGCCCCCCATTCCCTAGACTCCCTGGGACTCTCTGTGTCTCCCTTTGGCCTTACCGCCATCTAGCCTCATCTGCTTCTGTCAATTCCTGGTCAGCCATTCTGCCAGCCCCTTAGTGGGCGTGGTCTTCTGTCCACCTCAATACCATTCATTGTCAGAATTTCATGGCTGCTCCCGTGTCCTCCCCACTCTTCCTTCATCATTTCAAAAATCCCATCCTGGTTTCTGTCTGGGTCTACAGAATGATCATCCGTTATGTTGTTGTGATCTGAGAGTGGGAGTGGTTAAGTAGTTTAGCAAAAGACGCTGGGCAGGGCTGACACCATAAAAGTTGTTTTTGTCAGACCACAATGGGCTTTTAGTGTATTTCTGGAAGACCAACAGGTTTTTTGGGTTTTTTTTTATACTTTATGATCTTTAAAATGTTACTAATCCTGGGTCCGCATTCACTATATCCGCTCTCCCCCGGACTCCGCATTCACTATATCCGCTCTCCCCGGACCCCGCATTCACTATAACTGCTCTCTTCCCCGGACCCCGCATTCACTATATCTGCTCTCCCCGGACCCCCCCGCATTCACTATAACTGCTCTCCCCGGACCCCGCATTCCACTATATCAGCTCTCCCCGGACCCCGCATTCCGCTATATCCGCTCTCCCCGGACCCCGCATTCACTATATCTACTCCCCCGGACCCCGCATTCACTATATCCGCTCTCCCCGGACCCCTGCATTCACTATATATCCGCTCTCCCCGGACCCCGCATTCACTATATCCGCTCTCCCCGGACCCCGCATTCGCTATATATCCGCTCTCTCCCGGACCCCCGCATTCACTATATCCGCTCTCCCCGGACCCCGCATTCACTATATCCGCCTCTCTCCCCGGGTACCCCGCATTCACTATTTTATCCGCTCTCCCCGGACCCCGCATTCACTATATCCGCTCTCCCCGGACCCCGCATTTTCACTATATCCGCTCTCCCCGGACCCCGCATTCACTGTATCCGCTCTCCCCGGACCCCGCATTCACTGTATCCGCTCCTCTCCCCCGGACCCTGCATTCACTGTATCCCCTCTCCGTGGACCCGGCATTCACTATATCCGCTGTCCCCCGGACCCCGCATTCACTATATCCGCTCTCCCCGGACCCCGCATTCACTATATCCGCTCTCCCGTACCGCGACAGCATTCACTATATCCCCATTCTCTCCCACAGTACACACCCACATGGAAATGAAATTATTTTAGTAAATATAAACTGCTAAATACCTTTTTTCCCGTCAGCAATATATAGCAGTCTTGTGACTTCTCTCAGTGTCCAGCAGAGCACTGGTTAATCTTGTAGGAGGAGATTTCTTTCTGCTCTAGGAGGATGCAGAACCCCAGATCTCTGTCTGGACAGTGCTGATCCCTGACCCTGTGCTAATCACATGCACTCTCCCAAAAAAAAAAAACCTCTCTAGTAATACATACCAAACTGAGCATGTGCAGAGTGTCTCCACACGATCTGTCTTATTAGGAGATAAGAAGGGGAGGATCAGAGAAGACAGGATCAAACAGCATTTTTTACACAGTGCAGAGGATTAACCCCTAGGTTTCACAGTGAGTATAACAAGCACGCTTTACTGCATCTACAGACTGATTGTACTGTTGGGGGTTCAGTAACACTTTAAATATTACTTGGTAATAAAAATGGTAAAGAAAACCAGCGGGAATGAATAGTTGAAGGGAGAAGGGGAGAAGGGCTTAATTTAGGGCTGATTAGGTAAACTAAAGGTTAATAAGGGGTTAAATAGAGACACATTTTGTACTGTTGGGGGTTTAGTAACACTTTAAGTAGTTTAGCAAAAGTCTCTGGGCAGTGCTGACACCACAAAAATTCCGTTGTCAGACCACAATGGGCTTTTTAGTGTATTTTTATATATATTTATTTTTATTTTATTTCAGGTACTTATATATCGCCGTCAGTTTACGCAGCGCTTTACATATATATTGTACATTCAAATTAGTCCCCCGCCCCCGAGGAGCGTACAATCTAAGGTCCCTAACTCACATTCATTTATTTATTTTATGTACTTATATAGTGCTGTCAATTTACTCTGCGCTTTACATATATATTGTACATTCACATCAGTCCCCGCCCCCGAGGAGCGTACAATCTAAGGTCCCTAACTCACATTCATACATACACATACTAGGGCCATATTAGACAGGAGCTAATTCACCTACCAGCATGTCTTTGGAGTGTGGGAGGAAACCGGAGTACCCGGAGGAAACCCGCACAGGGAGAACATGCAAACTCCAGGCAGGTGGTGCCATGGCTGGGATTCGAACCAATGACCCCAGTACTGCCAGGCGGAAGTGCTAACCATTTAGCCACTGTGCTGCCCATACACATACTGGGGCCAATTTAGACAGGAGCCAATTCACCCCCACTATGTCTTTGGAGTGTGGGAGAAAACCGGAGTACCCCTGGAGGAAACCCAGGGCAGGCACAGGAGAACATGCAAACTCCAGGCAGGTGGTGCCGTAGATGGGATTCGAACCAACGACCCGAGTACTGCCAGGTGGAGGTGCTAACCATTTATAACCGCTGTGCTGCCCTTTAGGTCTGGGATGTCCAAACTGGTTGCCCTCCAGCTGTTGCAAAACTACAAGTCCCATCATGCCTCTGCCTTTGGGAGTCATGCTTGTGACTATCAGCCTTGCATTGCTCCTGGGAGCATATCAGTGCGCATCAGTGCTGCCTTTCAGTGCCCATCAGTGATGCCTGTCAATGCCCATCAGTGCCACCTACCAGTGCCTCCTCATCAGTGACCATCAGTGCCTCCTCATCAGTGCCACCTATCAGTGCCACCTACCAGTGCCTCCTCATCAGTGACCATCAGTGCCTCCTCATCAGTGCCACCTATCAGTGCCTCCTCATCAGTGCCACCTACCAGTGCCCTACTCCTCATCAGTGACCATCAGTGCCTCCTCATCAGTGCCACCTACCAGTGCCTCCTCATCAGTGCCATCTACCAGTGCCCATCACTGCAGCTTCATTAGCGCACATCAGTGAAGGAGAAAAATCACTTATTTACAGAATTTTATAACAAAAAACTAAGAAAAAACTATTTTTTTTCAGAAATTTCAGTTGTTTTTGGTTTGTTTAGCAAAAAATAAAAAACCCGAGGTGATCAAATACCACCAAAATAAAGCTCTATCTGTCTCAAAAAAATTATAGAAATTTCATATGGGTACAGTGTTGCATGACCGAACAAATTGTCATTCAAAGTGCGACAGCGCCTTAAGCTGAATATGGCCTGGGCAGGAAGGGGGTAGAAGTGCCCGGTAGGCAGGAAGGGGGTGGAAGTGCCCGGTAGGCAGGAAGGGGGTGGAAGTGCCCGGCAGGCAGGAAGGGGGTAGAAGTGCCCGGTAGGCAGGAAGGGGGTGGAAGTGCCCGGTAGGCAGGAAGGGGGTGGAAGTGCCCGGTAGGCAAGGAAGAGTGGGGGGGGAGTGCCCGGTAGGCAGGAATGGGGGTGCCTGTCCCTGTAGGCAGGAAGGGGGTGCCCGGTAGGCAGGAAGGGGGTGCCCGGTAGGCAGGAAGGGGGTACCCGGTAGGCAGGAAGGGGGTGCCCGGTAGGCGAGGGTTAAAGGGATCATATTCGGGAATTGTATTGCAGAGGTGTGCTGCATATTTTACTTCTTTTTTTTTTTTTTCCTGGAGTACACTTTATTCTGCAGCTGCATGCGGTGGGTATTGAACACGCCGAACGTATTTACATGAAACATTCTATTACAGATTTTACGCTCTTCTCCTATAATAACGGCATTGTGATGACATCATGCCGGGAACACGACAGCAGCCGCAGCAACCTATCAGCAGCCTCTGCCTTTGCGATTGCAACCGCCGGAGCTAATGAGGGCACTCCCACCAAGGAGACGTACAGACGGATGTCATTAGCAACAGCAGGTAGGAACAGATTTTCATTTTAATTTTTTTATTTCAGGTACTTATATAGCGCCGTCAATGTACGCAGCGCTTTACTTACATATATTGTACATTCACATCAGTCCCCCGCCCCCGAGGAGCGTACAATCTAAGCTCCCTAACTCACATTACATACATACACATACTAGGGCCAATGTAGAACAGGAGCCAGTTCACCTCCCAGCATGTCTTTGGAGTGTGGAAGGAAACTTGAGTACCCGGAGGAAACCCACGCAGGCACAGGGAGAACATGCAAACTCCAGGAAGGTGGTGCCATGGTTGGGATTCAAACCAATGACCCCAGTACTGCCATTAGGAAGATAGACATTTCTTGGCGGTGCGATGGGTTACAATTTCCAGTTTGTCATGTCATCCATTCACTGTCATGGCATTCTTGAATCGAAGCATCCATAGGTCGATCATTCATCTCGGGTGTGAAATGGTAAGAATATAGAATCTACATGGCTAGTTGAACCTGGCAAGGGCCCCCAAGAAGAGGGGATATAGGTGGGAGGGCTTGGTTAACGTGGTTGGAATTGGTTTGGTGGAACTTGGGTAGGGCTCAGAGAACAGGGACGTGGAGGGAATGGGAAGGAAAGGTAGTCTGGGCAAGGGAGGGGAAGTAGATTAGGTACCCGCCCCCGAGGGACTTTTAAGTAGAAAAATTCTGTGTAGGATGTGAAAGCAATCCAATAGAACCGTTTTTATGCAATTTCTCTAAAGAGAGGCTGTGAGGTCCCCCATAGGTCTTAACGTGGTTGTGAACTCTGAAGGTTTCTACCTTTATGAATGAAGGGAAAAAAACTTCTATTTGAAGCCCCCCCCCCCCCCCCCCCCCATACTTACCTGAGCCCGATCTTGATCCAGCGTTGTGAACAGGGTGATACAGGGGAGCAGCAGATCTCCTGGGTCTCTCTCTCTTCATTGGCTGAGACACAGCAGCAGGAAACCGTTGGCTCCCATTGCTGCCAAGGAAAGAGCACTGGGCGGGGCTGAGACGTGCTTTGTATGTGCAGGGCTCGGGAGCGAGCACGCACAAGTGCCCCCATAGCAAGCAGCTTGCTATGGAGGCGCTCAGCAAGGGGGAGGTGTCAGGAGTGCTGGTGAGGGTACCATTACACAGAGCAGGTAAGTATGACATGTCTGTTATTTTCCCCCCCCCCCCCCCCCAAAAAAAAAGATGAGCTTCTCAAATTACTTTTCTGGAACCTTAGCCACAGAGGGAGGAGATGGCGACTATTTTGACTAATTATTAACACACTGATGATGATGATGATGATGGTGATGGTGGATTTACTAAAGGCAAATAGACGGTGCACTTTACAAGAGTTTCTCCAGAGCTTAGTAAGTGCGGTGAAACTTCCCTTTGAAAAGAATACCCAATCACATGCAAGGATTTTTTTTTTTTTAGCAAAGACACAGAGCAGAATACATTTTGGCCTAAATTTACGAAGAAATTTTATTTTTAAAATTTTTTTACCAGACATGTTTAGCAAAAAAGTCAAAATATATATAGTATATATATATATAAAATATATATTTTTTTTTTTTTTTTTTTTTTTTTTTTTTTTTTTTTATTTTCTGTCTTTTTTTGGTTATAGCGCAAAAAATAAATAACGCACAGGGGATCAAATACCGCCGAAAGAAAGCTCCATTTGTGGGAAAAAAAAGGACGTAAATTTCACTTGGGTGCAGCGCTGCATGACCGCGCAATTGTCAGTTAAAGTAACGCAGCGCCATATCGCAAAAAATGGCCTGGTCAGGAAGGGGGGATCCTCTGAAGGTGGGGGGAGGGGGAATCTCTGGAGAGTGAGGGGGGGGGAATCCTCTGGAGAGTGAGGGGGGGAATCCTCTGGAGAGCGAGGGGGGGAGGGGAATCCTCTGGAGGGTGAGGGGGGATGCTCTGGAGGGCGAGGGGGGGGGGAATCCTCTGGGGGGCGAGAAGGGGGGGAATCCTCTGGAAGGCGAGGGGGGGAATCCTCTGGGGGGCGGGGGGAATCCTCTGGGGGGCGAGGGGGGGGAATCCTCTGGAGGGCGAGGGGTTAAAGTGGCTGTAAACCCTTAGGCCTCATGCACATCTAACGGTTTTTCTGGTGGCAGCAGAAAAAAATGCTAAATGCGTCAAAAACGTGTGCAAACGTGGTACTACGCTTAGCGCTTGCATGTTTATTTCATCGGCCAGCAAAATGAATAAACACACAAACGCTAACGTGGTTAGCTGTTAGGTGCGTTTACACGCATTTTTGCTGCGTTTAGTGTTTTTTTTGGTCAAAACTTCCCTCTCCTGAACACAATTCTTCTGTGTTCAGGAGAGAAAACGTTTCACTGGCCATAAACACTGCTGCTCTTGAACACTGACAATCGTCTGTGTGTGTATGGACACATTGGGGTTGATTCACTATAACTGGAGAGTGCAGAATCTGGGGCAGCTGCGCTTGGCAGCCAATCAGCTTCTATCTTCAGCTTGTTCGGTTAGGCTGGCCATGCACTATACAATTTTCTTACAATTTCCTTTAGATTTACCTTCAACTATGTAGTGCAAGGGATACAATTGAAAGTGATGTTTTAGGCTTTATGTACACGGGACACTTCTGAACGATGGAAACTGACTTCTGGAAAACGGAGGTTAAAAAACATGCGTTTAGCTGCGTTTGCATAACGTGTTTATGCGCGTTTGCGTTTAGAAGCGTTTTTAAAAGATAAGAACAGGAGAACCTCCCAAATGCCCAGAATGCACTGAAAAGTGGTAAATTATTAACTATTTCAGACTGTTTCAGAGAAATACAGAGAGTAGAAGCAGAGACAGCAGTATGTGTGGAGATTAGCTGAGGTGTGAGTTGCTCATTAACATTTCTTTTGTTTCCAAGGGTGGGAGAGGTCTGAGGTGTGAATTGGTCATTACAATGTGTGACAAGCTTGGTAGGAACATCCTGGAGTTCGGGGGCTTTGGGAAAAATCGCCAAAAGCTGGTGAACTCCCATGCATGAGGTCTTAAGCCAGCCAGAGACAATGCAAAAAACCGAACGTTCAGTTCAGAAAATGAAAATCGTTCATATGTTTGTGCCATCATTTGTTTACATTTTATAAAAAAAAAAATTCCGTATGTTGGATCATGCACTTTCTAGTGCGGCGAGAAAATCACGCTAACGATGCGAAAAACTAACGATTCTAAATTTTTGTTCGGTTTTCGGTCCGTCTGTGGACACATTTAGGTATACTCAGTGAAGTGACTGGCCTCAGGTGATACACAGAAATGAAACAAATCCTGTTTACTGCAGCCCTCGCTTCTCTGCAACTGTTCAAAGTGCTGAATTTTATATAGCTTGTCTGAGAGTTCAGAAAACGGGGCAGAGAGCTGAAATTACACACTGCAGAGCTCAGTGAGGAGAGCTCTGAGAGCTGATTGGAGGGAAGAGAGACACCCCCTTCCCCCTCCCCTCCACACAGCACTGTCAGAGCTGAGGCTGTCAAACTGCTGGAGGTCCCTCCCCATCACCATTTTTCTCTTGGTGTCAGGAAAATTTGTCAGAAGTGACTCATGCGGATAGCAGAAGAAGCTCAATGAGGACAGCTCTGAGAGCTGATTGGAGGGCAGAGACACACCCCCTTCCATACAGCTCACAAGGGCAGAGCTGACGCTGTCAGTCTGCTGGAGGTCCCTCCCCTGTCACCATTTTTCTCTTGGTGTCAGAAGTGATTCATGCTCGTAGCAGAGGGAAGGAGGCAGACAGAAATGACACTTAGTGCTCTGGAATGAGACAAGTGCACACTATAGAGGGATGTGCTTTGTTCATATTTTACTTCTGAGGTTGACATTCATTGTAATATGATTTTGATGCATAATTATAAAGTATTTCTATCATTTACCCCGTATGATCTGTATGTTCTTCACTTCCATATCCATGATCTACATACATGTGACATGTAATCCTTCATATTGCAGGGTTCCCATCCGATCAGAGGAATGGAGACAAGGAATTCGTTATCAGAAGAGCCGCCACAAACCGCGTGCTGAATGTCCTGAGACACTGGGTGTCCAAACATGCTCAGGTACTCCGCGTTCAGTACATGCCGTCATCTGCAGGGTCATGTGATACTCAACCTAATACAGACGTACCTCGGTTTTCGAATTTAATTCGTTCTGCGGGACTTTTCATATAGCAAAAAATTTGTAAACTGAAACGCGGTTTCCCATAGGAATGCATTGAAAACCAATTAATCCATTACGGAGGTCAGGAAAAAGTTTTAAAATTCTTTTTTTTCCGTTCAAAACTCTTTAGAGAATGCACTTTAAAGGCATAAATACTGTACAGGGACATGATTAAAAATGAATTTGTAAATGCATCGAAAACCAATTACATCCGTTCCAGAGGTCAGGAAAAAGTCAAATAGTCTTTTCTGTTAATTACTCTTCCAGTCCGGCCCATGTATATAAACAGCCAGACCAGACGGGAGCAGTCCAGGGGCGGGTGGCCTTTATGAAAGTCCTCCCTGCTTGTGCACGCTCCCTGGGAGCACCGATCATTGTACGGGACCTCTGTGTGAGGTCCAGATCATGTGATCACTGATTGGCCAATCAGTGATCACATGCAGAGTAGTAAGCAAGATGTCACTTCTGACATCATTGCTTACTACATGTGAAATCTGTGAATGATCACAGAGGTCACATGGTACAGGGCCATTCACAACAGCCTTGTACCATGTGACAAGCTGTGACCAATCACGGCTCACACAGTATTTCTCAATGGCTGCAAGAATGCAGCCAGAGAGAGGAAGGAGAAATGATTGCTTTTACAGCCTTTATGGGTGTAAAAGCAATCAGTGTAAAAAATAAAAATCTTCATCACCCTCCACAAATAGTACAGTGTCACCATGGTGACACTACTGCTAGGGTGACAGTATGTAGGAAAAAAAAAACATAAATAATAATATAAAAATAAAACAAAAATGTAAAAACAATTTCGAAAAATTATAATTTTTGGTTATAAACTAATTTGGGTTATTTTTTTTTTACTAAAAATATAGCTGAATACATTTTGACCAAGATTTATGAAGAAAGATTATTTATTTGCAAAATGTTATAAGAAAAACACTTTTTTAAAACATTTTTGGACTTTCTCATTTATTTAGCAAAAAAAAAAACATCCCAGCGGTGAATAAATACCACCAAAATAAATTTTTATCTGTCTCAAAAAATGCTACAAAATTCATATGGGTACAGTGTTGCATGACCGCGCAATTGTCATTCAAAGTGTGATAGCGATGAAAGCTGGAAATTGGCCTGGACAGGAAGGGGGGGAAAGTGTCCGGACTGGAAGGGGGTAAAAGTGTCCGGGACTGGAAGGGGGGGGGGGAAAGTGTCCGGACTGGAAGGGGGGTGAAAGTGTCCGGACTGGAAGGGGGGTGAAAGCGTCCGGACTGGAAGGGGGGAAAGTGTCCGGACTGGAAGGGGGGGAAAAGTGTCCGGACTGAAAGTGTCCGGACTGGAAGAGGGGGAAAGTGTCCGGACTGGAAGTGGGGGAAAGTGTCCGGACTGGAAGGGGGGTGAAAGCGTCCGGACTGGAAGGGGGGGAAAGTGTCCGGACTGGAAGGGGGTCCCACCCGGAAAGGGGTGTCCGGACTGGAAGGGGGGGAAAGTGTCCGGACTGGAAGGGGGGGAAAGTGTCCGGACTGGAAGGGGTGGGGACTGGAAGGTGGGGAAAGTGTTCCGGACTGGAAGGGGGGGAAAGTGTCCGGACTGGAAGGGGGTGAAAGGGGGGGAAAAAGTGTCCGGACTGGAAGGGGGTAAAGGCATAAATACTGTTCAGGGACATGATAATAAAATAAATACGTAAATGCATTGAAAACCAATTTTTAATCCGTTTCGGAGGTCAGAAAAAAGTAAAACAAAGTTTTTTTTTCTGTTCAAAACTCTTTATCAAATGCACTTTAAAGGCATAAATACTGTACAGGGACATGATTAAAAATTAAATCGTAAATGTATTGAAAACAAATTACATCCATTTGTATTGCGAAAAAAAAATCGTAAACTGAGGCATTATTTTCAATGGATGTTTATTCGTAATCCGAGGTCCGCCTGTACACTGTTGTGCTATTGTTGGATCCATTGCTGTGTATACTCCATTGGGAGATGTACTGGTTCTTACCAGCGCCCCGGGGGTTCAGCACTGTCTTCCTGCAGCCCATTATTTTTACCACTGTGGGTCCCCAGCGCCGCCATCTTGGATACAGGAGCCACAGCCGGATCCATTCTGCTCATGCGCAAGATATGGTGCGTTGTCAGTGGTCCTACAGCCTCCTGGAACATGTGATGCGTTGCATGAGGCTGCGGTGAGGGGAAGGGGGAGACACCATCCTTGCCCAGGCTAGGATTGTCAGATCAGTACTGATAAAAATCAGTACTTGCTCCCCCTCCCCCCTAAAAAAAAAAAAAGCTGTAACTCCGTTCCAGGCTGGTGGGGGGAGGGGGCGAACCAGCGGGACTTCACTTTTTGTATTTCAAGGGTTTTTATTAATTTTAAACAAAGAGACGTAAGCAAAAGGTATTCCCACGCAGGGTCTGTCAATGGCACATAAAATACAAAGGGAAACAATGCCATAGGCAGCAGTGCAGACGGCACGCCCACGCAGAGCCATCAATGGTACAGAAAATATAAAGATTCAGTGTTGTAATATCAGCAATGAAGCAAACCAAAGGCAGATATCAACCACCTCACAAAAATCAAAAAAAATCAAAAAAACAAAAAGAAAAGAAGAGTAAAGGAAGGAGAAGAAGACAAAACCAACAGCAGGGATCCGGGAACACCAACACCGATCAGCAACCTAAACCTAGACTAGCCGGGGGGGGGGGGGGGGGAAGCATACGACAGCCACGGCTTCCATATTTCCCAAAATTTTTGTTGGGAGTCATTACGAATATTCGACATCTCTTCACTGAGCCTCAAAGTGGTCATCCGGTCCCGCACCCCCCCTGAAAAGGAACAAATGCACATTTCCAGGCCTGAGCAATAGTTCTGGTTGCCGACAAGAATCAATAAGAGGCCAACTTCTGCTGACGAGCCAACAGGCCCTGGATGGGACAATGACGAGCCAACAGGCCCGGGATGGGACAATGACAAGCCAACAGGCCCGGGATGGGACAATGATGAGCCAACAGGCCCGGGATGGGACAATGATGAGCCAACAGGCCCGGGATGGGACAATGACAAGCCAACAGGCCCGGGATGGGACAATGATGAGCCAACAGGCCCGGGATGGGACAATGATGAGCCAACAGGCCCGGGATGGGACAATGACAAGCCAACAGGCCCGGGATGGGACAATGACGAGCCAACAGGCCCGGGATGGGACAATGACGAGCCAACAGGCCCGGGATGGGACAATGATGAGCCAACAGGCCCGGGATGGGACAATGACAAGCCAACAGGCCCGGGATGGGACAATGACAGAGCCAACAGGCCCGGGATGGGACAATGACAAGCCAACAGGCCCGGGATGGGACAATGAAGCAAGCCGAAGGCATATGGGAAAGATGATCTGTTGATGCTGGAGGGGTATTTTGTCGCAGGAATCCATTGCGGCCAGGGGAGGGACAATGTTTTTGGGACATTGCTGGCCCGGGATGGGACAATGGATCTAACAGGCCCGTTGGGACAATGTCGAGCCAACAGCTGATGAGCCAACAGGCCCGGGATGGAATGGGGTATTTTGTTGCAAGAAATCCATTGTTGCTGGAGGGGGGGAATCCATTACGGGGGGGGTGTTTTTATTGCTGCTGGGGTACATCTATTGTTGCTGGAAGGGGTATTTTGTTGCATGAAATCCATTGTTGCTGGGGGGGGGGGGTCACTGCTGGGGTAATCTATTGTTGCTGGGGGTACATCTATTGTTGCTGGAGGGGGGGGGGGTATTTTGTTGCTGGAGAGAAAGTCCATTGTTGCCGGGAGGGGGAGCCTATAGCTGCTGTGGTGGATTTATTGTTGCTGGAGGGGTATTTTGTTGCAGGAAATCCATTGTTGGCGGGGGGGGGGGTCTGTCGCTGCTGGGATACATCTGTTGCTGCTGGAGGGGTATTTTGCTGCAGAAAATCCATTGTTGCTGGAGGGGGGGGACCTATAGCTGCTGGGGTGGATCTGTTGTTGCTAGAGGGGTATTTATATTGTGCTGGTGTGGATCTATTGTTGCTGGAGGGGTATTTTGTTGCAGGAAATCCATTGTTGGTAGGGGGGGGGGGGGTCTGTCGCTGCTGGGATACATCTCTGTGTTGCTGGAGGGGTATTTTGTTGCAAGAAATCCATTGTTGCCGGGAGGGGGGGAGGTTTCTACTGCTGCTGGGGTACATCTATTGTTGCTGGAGGGGTATTTTGTTGCAGGAAATCCATTGTTGGCAGGGGGGGGGGGGTGGGGTCTGTCACTGCTGGGGTACATCTATTGTTGCTGGAGGGGTATATTTTGTTGCAGGAAATCCATTGTTGCCGGGGGTGGAGGTTTCTACTGCTGCTGCTGGGTACATCTATTGTTGCTGGAGGGGTATTTTGTTGCAGAAAATCCATTGTTGCTGGGGAGGGGGAGACCTATAGCTGCTGGGGTGGATCTATTGTTGCTGGAGGGGTATTTCTATTGCTGCTGGGGTACATCTATTGTTGCTGGAGGGGTATATTTTGTTGCAGGAAATCCATTGTTGCTGGGGGAACACTCCAGGACATGGCAGTAGGGGTCAAAGGAAGGAGCCACAGCACACAGCAGAGCACACAAGATCCATCAGATGACTATCATACCACTTCTCTTACAGGATTCTGCCGCTGGAAATGTTTTTTACACTTCTATGTTCTCTAGGACGTTTTACATTGTATCTCTTCTGACAAAGATGCCTGTGTTTCCTATGCTCCTCAGCTCCATCTAGTGACCATATTGTGGTATTTTACTACTGCCCATAATAAAAGAACATTCGCTGAGAAGAGAAAGTCTTGGTTCACACTACTGTGCGACTTTGCCAGGCGACTTTCAGGGAATGCTGGGGAATCTTCCTGTAATCTCGGATCCAAATCACATCAGTATAGATGAGGATCCGACTTGGAGGCGACTTCCATTAAAGTCTATGGGCACAAGTCAGATAGACGTCGCCTTGAAGTAGTACAGGAACCTTTTCTAAAGTCGGAGCGACTTCAGTCGTGCTAATTAAGACGGCTCTCATTGACTAATATGGGAATTCATGTGTCATGCGACTTGAGGGGTCTCTCAAATTGGATCTCAAGTTGCGTCAGTGTGAACCGAACCTAAAGAACATTTGTTTTTACCCAACTGGCACAGAATGAATGGATCTTCGATTTTGTTATAGCTGAAGTTGCAGTAAAGAAGTCGTTCTGTTTGTGTTGCAGGATTTTGAGACAAATATGCAGCTGAAGAATAAAGTGATCTGTTTCCTGGAGGAAGTGATCCACAACCCGGAGCTGCTGGCACAGGAGAGGAAGGCCGCAGCCAACATTATCCGGTGAGACATTTACATGGGATTTATTGTAACTCTATACGGAGACATGAGATCCTGTACAGATATATGTCCTGTATAATGGAGCTCACTACCCACACGGAAGAGAAATATATTTGAAATATATTTTAAAAATATTCTTCCCAAATATATTGACATATATTTGAATTACTGCAATATTGGCCGTATTCAATATATTTCAATACACTCATACACACATATATATATATATATATAGTGAGGGAAATAATTATTCGATCCCTTGCTGATGTTGAATGTTTGCCCCTCACAAAGAAATGATCGATCTAAAAATCGAATGTTCGGTGTAACACTGAGAGACAGAATACAACAACAAATTCAGCAGAAATGCGTCTAACAAATGATGACGGATCTGCATGTTCATGAGGGAAAGAAGGATTTGATCCCCTATCATTCAGCAGGATTTCTGGCTCCCAGGTGTCTCTCATACAGGTAACAAGCTGAGATTAGAAGCAGTCTCTTAAAGGGAGTGCTGCTAATCTCATTGTGTTACCTGTATAAAAGACACCTGTCCACAGGAGCCATCAAACCATCAGATTCCAAACTCTCCACCATGGCAAAGACCAAAGAGCTGTCCAAGGATGTCAGGGACAAGATGGTAGACCTACACAAGGCTGGACTTCCAAAAGGGTCCGGTGCGATTTATAGCCTGGTTCAGGTGATTTTGGTTCAGGTGAGATTTCCAATGTCATAGACTTTACAGTGGAAGTAAACCCTCACTGGTCACCTGTACCGTATAATAAAGCTTACCTGTAGGTACGAGGAATATCCCCTAAACATGGTCCGTGTAGAAGATATTCAGCGCCATCGGCGCATGCGCTCTGAAGTAAAAAACGCATACCCGTGCCATTCCTTCAGAGCTCTGAGCCGCGGCCGAGACTTCCGCGCATGCGTGGGAGTGACATCATTTGCAATGATCCAATCAAGTGGCCAGAGCCCGAGTACCTGGAAGGAAGACCAGGTGAAGATGGAAGTCCTGGCGGTGGTAACAGCGCGCCGCTGGAGGGCTTTGTTCTCAGGTAAGTCCTTCATAACGTATGCATACCAGCACATTAAATTATTTTTGCAGGGAATTTTTTTTTTTTTGGTGGGTTACTATCATTTTAGGACTTTGCATTGAAATTGCACCTGAACCGCTGAACAAAGTCGCTCTGAACGAGGCTGAAATCGCACCATCAAAACCTATGTGAACCCAGACTTGTACTGTCATTTCATTATTCAGGGTGCTGCTTACTTCTTGGTATGGTATGTATTTACTAAGCCTGGCTGATGCCCGTGGAAGCTGGAAACTGCTGCTCCAGTGATATTCACTTGTTTCTGGGTCCTATGCTGAGCCCCCAGCAGGCCCGGACTGACCATAGGGCACACCGGTAGGCCAGGGCTGGGTAATGTGACGGAGCAGGGCTGTCTTTAACACAGACCGCCTGGAGCCCCTTGTCATGAAGAGTCTCGGTCTGGTGGTGGCGGGAGCGGGTGGGCAGTGAAAGCCTCGGTCCCTCTGAGCTAAATCCAGTGTAGGCAGCGTTGTCCTTGGGGTGCGGGCAGGATAATGGCGCCCTGCTCCACCTATCATCCCCACACGGCAAGCGGGCAGTCCCGGAGACAGAGGACGAAGGGGAGGTGAGCAGAGAGGGAGGGAGAAGACCTCTATTGCCTCCTTGACTCCCGAAGAGGCAAGCAGCAGTGGGCGCAGCATCCCAAAGGCCTGAACATCCTACTGTTGGCATAGTAGGTACCGGGCACACAGGGACTGGGACAGGAGAGCACAGGCAGGACTGCTCACCCATCTCTCTCTGTCACCCCTCTCTCACCCATGTTTCTCTGTCACCCCCCTTCTCCCTCTCTCATCTCTCTTTCTCTCCCACCCCCCTCTCTTTCACCACTCCCTCTCTCTCTCTCTCTCTCACCTCTCATCCATCCTCTCTCACCCCTCTCTCTCTGTCACCCCCCTCTCTCTCTCTCTGTCAACCCTCTCTCTCTCTCCCTGTCTTACCCATCTCTCTCTCTCACCCATCTCTCTCTCGCCCCCCTCTCACCCCTCTCTCTCGCCCATTTCTCTGTCACCCTCTCTCTCTCTCTCTCTCAAACCTCTCTCTGTCTCACCCATCTCCCTCTCACCCATCTCCCTCTCACCCCATCTCCCTCTCACCCATCTCCCCTCTCACCCATCTCCCTCTCACCCATCTCCCTCTCACCCATCTCCTCTCATCCATCTCCCTCTCACCCATCTCCCTCTCACCCATCTCTCTCTCTCTCACCTCTCTCTCTCTCACCCATATCTACCTCTCTCACCCATCTCTCTCTCTCACCCATCTCTCTCTCTCACCCATCTCTCCCTCTCTCACCCATCTCTCTCTCTCACCCATCTCTCTGTCACCCATCTCTCTCTCTCTCACCCATCTCTCTCTCACACCCATCTCTCTCTCTCTCACCATCTCTCTCTCTCACACCCATCTCTCTCTCTCTCTCACCCATCTCTCTCTCTCTCTCTCTCTCTCTCCGTCACCCCCGTCTCTCTCACCCCCTCTCTCACCCCTTTCTCTCTCACCCCTTTCTCTCTCACCCCCCTCTCTCTCACCCCCTCTCTCTCACCCTCTCTCTCACTCCTCTCTCTATCACCCCTCTCTCTCGTGCTCATCCTCATATCACTCACCCCCCTCTCTCTCATCCCCCCATCTCACTCTCTCACCCACTTACCCTCTCCCTACTTGCTCTCACCCCGTTTCTCTCTCGCACCCTTTTCTTTCTCTCTCGCACTCTTATCTTTCTCTCTCACCCCATCCTCATCTCTCTCACCCCCGTGTCTCTCACTAAAATGCCCGGGCCTATTTTTGGTCCCAGTCCGGGCCTGACCCCCAGCCTGCTGCATTGTGAACACAAAAGGTCGGTCACTTAGAACAGGTGCCATTAAGAGAATGCTTTGCATTTTCAGAATGAATGCAAAACATTCTTTTCTTTGGATGAGGTGCAACGGTGACATGACACCCTCCACCAGAACGGTTTGCATTCATTCAGAAAACGCAAAGCATTCTCTTGATGGCACCCGTGCCAAGTGGTCAACCCCCCTGTGTTCAGAATGCAGCAGGACCGCCGCTCAGCATGCGACCGAGAAAGTGGAGACCGCTGTAGTAGCATTGTAGTAGTGTTGTCTACTTCAGTTATTTCCAGCTTCCAGGACCATCAGCCGGGTCGAGTAAAGTGATGGAAAGCATCACAGACCAATAGGAAGGGCTTTGATAGAAGGGAGGGGCTGAGTGCTCATATTTTAAGTTAAAGTGGAGCCTCACTCTCTTAGTTTTTTGGGGTTTTTTCCATTTCTTCAGTTACTTTCTGGTTACTGGCCTAGGACAAAATGATGTCATACATCCCAGGAGTCTTCAGGAGGGAGGAGGGGCTTTCTCAGCTAAGCACACCCTCCTGCCTGCATGCCTGAGCTAAGGGCAGATGGATTCCAGTAATGAAATGCTGCATGAATTGACTGTCCTCCACTCAAGATGGCCACAGCTAGAAAAAGGCTAAGGGGCGTATAAAAGGGAAAAAAGAAAAAAGGGGGGTCCTACAGGGGTAGAGATGGGGGGGAGGTGGGGGCCGTGCACTGCTCAGAGCATGAGAGGAGAGTGGTCTGCCGCTCAAACCTCAAAGAAGATTAAAAGTGATTTAAAGAGCCTTTTGGTTTGTGTTGCTCAGGCGCAGCGTAGTTCTGCTTTAAGAAGGTGCCTCAAGTTTTAGTTCCCATCAGAGTCCCTCTTACATCAGGATTGCCTAGCAGAGTCCCACTTACATCCATTTGTGTCCTGTAGAGTCCTCCTTTACAATCAGGAATGCCCCATAGAGTCCCCCTCTTAACATCCATGTCACATCCACTGCCAGCCAGCCAACAAACAGTTGCTGAGGACCTGAAAAATTTTATTGGGGGCGTGCGTATGTGGCCCATGGGCCGTTATGGGGAGACCCTTACATTAGAGGATCTGTGGTGGATTATACTCTTTGTTCCTGGACGTCTTTCTATTTTCATATTGAGAATGATTGTATACAGTATATATTGTGTGTGGCGGGTCACAGTGACGGGAATATCCTTATTAATAATACTTTCTGTCTTCAGCACATTGACACAGGAGGATCCCGGGGACAGCCAGGTCACCCTAGAAGAGATTCGAGCATACGGTAAGTGTGGTGTCCGTAAGTCATTCTGGTCCCTCTCACAGAGATAACAAATCTCCTGACTTGGATTTTACACAGAAACAAAATAAACAAACAAAACAAATAAAAACAAAAAAAAGCTTAGTGTCCCTAAACCCCGGACCCCCGCATTCACTATATATCCGCATCTCCCCGGACCCCATCATTCACTTATATCCGCTCTCCCGGACCCCGCATTCACTATATCCGCTCTCCCCGGACCCCGCATTCACTATATCCGCTCTCCCCGGACCCCGCATTAAACTATATCCGTTCTCCCTTGACCCCGCATTCGCTATATCGCTCTCCCCGGACCCTGCATTCACTATATATCCGCTCTCCCCGGACCCCGCATTCACTATATCCGCTCTCCCCGGACCCCATTCACTATATCCGCTCTCCCGCGGACCCCGCATTCACTATATCCGCTCTCCCCGGACCCCGCATTAACGCTATCCGCTCTCCCGGACCCCGCATTCGCTATAAGCGGTCCGCTCTCTCCCGGACCCGCCTTCACTATATCCGCTCTCCCCCGGACCCCGCGTTCCCTATATCCGCTCTCTCCCGGACCCGCCGCATTTTCTATATCGCTCTCCCCGCACCCCGCAGTCCCTATATCCGCTCTCCCCGGGCCCCGCATTCCCTATATCCGCTCTCCCCGGACCCCGCATTCGCTATATCCGCTCTCCCCGGACCCCGCATTCGCTAATACCGCTCTCCCCGTCCCCACGCATTCGCTAATAATCCGCTCTCCGCGGACCCGCGCATTCGCTATATACGCTCTCCGGCCCGGACCCAAGCATTCGCTATATCCGCTCTCCGCGGACCCGCATTCGCTATATCCGCTCTCCCGGACCCCGCTCTGATTCGCTATATCCGCTCTCCCCGGACCCCGCATTCGCTAATAATTCCGCTCTCCCCGGACCCCGCATTCTCTATAATCCGCTCTCCCCGGACCCCGCATTCTTCTATATCGCTCTCCCCGGACGGACCCCGCATTCGCTATATCCGCTTCCCCGGACCCCGCATTCGCTATATCCGCTCTCCCTGGACCCCGCATTCGCTATATCCGCTCTCCCCGGACCCCGCATTCGCTATATCGCTCCTCCCCGGACCCTGCCATTCACTTATATCCGCTCTCCCCGGACCCCGCATTAACTATATCCGCTCTCCCCGGACCCCGCATTCGCTATATCCGCTCTCCCCCGGACCCGCATTCGCTATATCCGCTCTCCCCGTCCCCGCATTCGCTATATCGCTCTCCGCGGACCCCGCATTTCGCTATATACGCTCTCCCCGGACCCCGCATTCGCTATATCCGCTCTCCGCCGACCCCGCATTCGCTATATCCGCTCTCCCCGGACCCCGCATTCGCTATATCCGCTCTCCCCGGACCCGCATTCGCTATATCCGCTCTCCCCGGACCCCGCATTCGCTATATCCGCTCTCCCCGGACCCCGCATTCGCTATATCCGCTCTCCCCGGACCCCGCATTCGCTATATCCGCTCTCCCCGGACCCCGCATTCGCCTATATCCGCTCTCTGCAATTTCCAGGTATTTCCCCTACCTGGAAATTGCATTTCCAGGTAGGGGGCTTGTGGCCTCGGCTGTCAATCACCAGGTACTGGCCGGCACCTGGTGATCTCCAAGTGTTATCGACGGGGGAGAGAACTGTATGTAAACAATACAGATCTCTCCCCTGTCAGCTCCTGCACACTGCTTTGCATGGCTGTACATAGCAGAGCCATACAAAGCAGTGTGCTTACAGTGTAAAGCACACACACAGCACACAGTAAGCCCGGGTTCACATATATGCAGTGCGGTATATCGCATGTAATTCGCACAGGAACTGCACCGCATTCCTCTGCAGATCACATGTGATTTCAGTACATGTCTGCTTTCTGTATTTCTTAGTATATACCCACATGGAAGAAATCTATATATGAAATTTATTTTTAAAATATTCTTCCCAAATATATTGCCATATATTTGAAATACTACAATTTTGGACATATTCAATATATATATTTCAATAAATACACATATATATATATATATATACACACTGCATGTTGAAATGCGTTTTTATTACAAAATTTATGAAAAATATGTTTAAAAATACATTTCAAATACACTGTATATGTCTTTAAAAATACAAATCTACATTTTTGGAATGCATATACAAATATATATAAAAAATATATGTTAAAATGACTTTTTTATATGTGAAAAAAATAATCTGAGGAATATATTTTTTTATATAAATATATTTTTAAAAATATTTGTAAATGTATTCCAAAAATGTAGATTTGTATTTTTAAAGACATACAAAATATTTGAAATGTATTTTTAAAAATATTTTTCATATATTTTGTAATAAAAACGCATTTCAACATGCAGTGTGTATATATATAAATTCTGTACAGGATCTCATGCCTACGTATAGATTTACAATAAATTCCATGTAACTGTCTTGCTGGATAACGTTGGCTGCGGCCTTCCTCTCCTGTGCCAGCAGCTGTATGTTGAAATGCGTTTTTATTACAAAATATATGATAAATATTTTTAAAAATACATTTTATTTATTTAATACAAATATACTGTGTCTTTAAAAATACATTTAATCTACATTTTTGGAATGCATTTACAAATATATGTTAAAATGACTTTTTTATATGTTAAAAAAATCTGAAGAATACACCGTATTTTCCGGCGTATAAGACGACTTTTCAACGACTGAAAATCTTCTGAAAAGTCGGGGGTCGTCTTATACGCCGGTGCGAGCCGGTGTCAGGGCGGCACTTTTTCGAGGGGTGGCGCGGCGCCGCCCCCCCTCCTCCTCCAACGGACACCAAGTACAGGGGTGGGCAGAGGGGCTGCTGTACCTTACCTGGCTCCGGTCCCACGACGATCCGGTCCAGGAAGCGCGGCTGATCCTTCTTTCAGTTCGGCCGCTCGATGGTCACGCGGCCGCTGGGCTCCGCCTCCTCACCGGTGATTGGGCGCCAGCACTGGAAAGGCACACAGGCGACCAATCACCGGCGAGGAGGCGGAGACGAACGGCCCCGCAAAAATCGAGCGGCCGAACTGGAAGGAGCAGCCGCTCCTCTCCCACTGACACCAACGATGAGGCACTATTCCTCCTCCACTGACACCAACGATGAGGCACTGTTCCTCCTCCACTGACACCAACGATGAGGCACTGTTCTCCCCCCCACTGATACCAATGATGGGGCACTATTCCTCCTCCCCACTGATACCAATGATGGGGCACTATTCCTCCCACTGACACCAATGATGGGGCACTATTCCTCCCACTGACACCAATGATGGGGCACTATTCCTCCACTGATACCAATGATGGGGCACTATTCCTCCCACTGATACCAATGATGGGGCACTATTCCTCCCACTGACACCAATGATGGGGCACTATTCCTCCCACTGACACCAATGATGGGACACTATTCTTCCCACTAATGCCAATGATGGGGCACTATTCCTCCCACTGACACCAATGATGGGGCACTATTCCTCCTCCACTGACACCAATGATGGGGCACTATTCCTCCCACTGACACCAGTGATGGGGCACTATTCCTCCCACTGACACCAACGATGGGGCACTATTCCTCCCACTGACACCAACGATGGGGCGCACTATTCCTCCCACTGATACCAACGATGGGGCACTATTCCTCCCACTGATACCAACGATGGGGCACTATTCCTCCCACTGATACCAACGATGGGGCACTATTCCTCCCCTACTGACACCAACGATGGGGCACTATTCCTCCTCCCCACTGACACCAACGATGGGGCTATTCCTCCCCACTGACACCAATGATGGGGCACTATTCTCCCCACTGACACCAACGATGGGGCACTATTCTCCCCACTGATAACAACGATGGGGCGCATTTCCTCCCACTAACACCAACGATGGGGCGCAATTCCTCCCACTGACACCAACGATGGGGCGCAATTCCTGCCACTGATACCAATGATGGGGCGCTATTCCTCCCACTGATACCAATGATGGGGCGCTATTCCTCCCACTGACACCAATGATGGGGTACTATTCCTCCCACTGACACCAATGATAGAGCGCTATTCCTCCCACTGATACCAATGATGGGGTGCTATTCCTCCCACTGATACCAATGATGGGCCACTATTCCTCCCACTGATACCAATGATGGGCCACTATTCCTCCCACTGACACCAACGATGGGGCACTATTCCTCCCACTGACTACCAATGATGGGGCACTATTCCTCCCACTGATACCAACGATGGGGCACTATTCCTCCCACTGATACCAATGATGGGCCACTATTCCTCCCACTGACACCAATGATGGAGCACTATTCCTCCCCACTGACACTAATGATGGGACACTATTCCTCCCACTGACACCAATGATGGGGCACGATTCTTCCCACTGGGAGGGGCACCAGTGCCCCATGATTGGTGTCACTATGAAATCCTCCCACTGACTAATGATGGGGCACTATTCCTCCCACTGACTAATGATGGGGCACTATTCCTCACACACTGACACTAATGATGGGGCACCATCATTGGTGTCAGTGGGAGGAATAGTGTCCCATCATTGGTATCAGTTGGAGGAATAGTGCCCCATCATTGGTGTCAGTGGATGAAATAGTGCCCCATCATTGGTGTCAGTGGGAGGAATAGCACCCCATCATTGGTGTCAGTGGGAGGAATAGCACCCCATCATTGGTGTCAGTGGGAGGAATAGCACCCCATCATTGGAATACCATACTGAAATAGCATACCATATTGAAATCAAATCTGATGTTTTTTTCATTTTTATTTGGTGTGCGTTGGAAGAGGGGTAGTCTTATACGGCGAGTATAGCTCAAACCCTGTATTTTAGCAGGAAAAGTAGGGGGTCGTCTTATACGCCGGAAAATACGGTATTAATTATATATTTTTAAAAATATTTTTCATTTATTTTTTAATATATAAGAAATGCATTTCAGCTTGCTATATATATATATGTGTGTGTATGGATTGAAATATATTGAATACGACCAAAATTGTAGTATTTCAAATATATTTCTTCCATGTGGGTATATACTAAGAAATCTAGAAAGCAGACATGTACTGAAATCGGGGAAGAAGTAGATGTTTTTCTGCCTTCCAAATAAAACGACATTATTTGAAGTAGTTCATTAATTGCTATTATAAATCTGTGTGGGAAGAGTAACTCCACTTTTGTTGAGGAAAAAAAAAAAAAAATCCCCTCCAGGTGATCTGTGCACATTGCAGGGATTTTAACAATCTTTGTAGCAGATTCCTACCTTTTGTTGCTCTGAAGAAATAGCTGTTTGTTTCACCAGACTGATTCTGAATGGGAGGATCTGGTGCATTACAATCACCTGGCGAACGTTTAGTGTTCTGATGAGGAAAGCGAGGAAAGCTGAAGTGTCTGCATTCCTTTAGTATTTAACCCCTGGGTAGTATATCACCAAAACTGAAATTCCTGTTGCAGGGGATGCCCAAAATTTTACTTAGTGCACCTCCTGCAATAGGAATTCATTTTTTTTTCCTTATGTTTATTTATTAGATGAATGAGAGATTTGGACTCTGGTGTTGTAGACTTGAACATCGTCTTATGATTGTGCTTTATGCAGGCTTTGGGGACTCCATTGGAACCCTTTGAATCTCTCTCTGCTCTGGAGATCGCAGAACAGCTGACATTATTGGACCATCTGATCTTCCGGAAGATTCCCTATGAGTAAGTCTCTCCCAGTGTGGCCTGTGGTGATCCACACAACCCACTTGTACCACAGCGCAGCTCCCTCTATTAATACACAATAGAACCTTTTTACAGCTTTCAATTACAATGTGTTTTTTAACCCCTCCCAGCCTACCCCAGTGTCCCCAAATAGTTCTGAGTGCCCGGGAGGGGAAGGATCTGTGATCATGTGACCCCACTCTTTGGCTACCGATGGGTTCAGTCTCTGTGCTGTGAGCACATAAACACCTATCGCCAAGCAACACATAGATTATATTTCCCAAAGTATTGGGCGGCCGGCCTTTCCCCATACATGACCTTTAATGGCCCCCCAGTCTTAGTCCGTAGGGTTCAATATTGAGTTGGCCCCGCCCTTCCCACACACATGACCTTTAATGGCCCCCCAGTCTTAGTCCGTAGGGTTCAATATTGAGTTGGCCCCCCCCTTTCCACGCACATGCCTTTAATGGCCCCCCAGTCTTAGTCCGTAGGGTTCAATATTGAGTTGGCCCCGCCCTTTCCACATACATGACCTTTAATGGCCCCCCAGTCTTAGTCCGTAGGGTTCAATATTGAGTTGGCCTCGCCCTTTGCAGCTATAACAGCTTCAACTCTTCTGGGAAGGCCGTCCACAAGGTTTAGGAGGGTGTCTATGGGAAGGTTGGACCCTTCTTCCAGAAGCACATTTGTCAGGTCAGGCACTGATGTTGGGGGAGGAGGGCCTGGCTCACAGTCTCCGCTCTAATTCATCCCAAAGGTGTTCTATGGGGTTGAGGTCAGGACTCTGTGCAGGACAGTCAAGTTCCTCCACCCCAAACTGGCTCCTCCATGTCTTTATGGACCTTGCTTTGTGCACTGGTGGGCAGTCATGTTGGAACAGGAAGGGGCCATCCCCAAACTCTTCCCACAAAGTTGGGAGCATGCAATTGTCCAAAATGTCGCCTTAAGAGTTCCCTTCACTGGAACTAGGAGGCCAAGTCCAACCCCTGAAAAACAACCCCACACCATAATTTCCCCTCCACCAAACTCTTCACTTGGCACAATGCAGTCAGGCAAGTACCGTTCTCCTGGCCACCGCCAAACCCAGACCCGTCCATCGGATTGCCAGACAGAAAAGCATGATTGGTCACTCCAGAGAACACATCTCCATGCTCTAGAGTCCAGTGGCGGCGTGCTTTACACCACGGCATCCGATGCTTTGCATTGCACTTGGTGATGGAAGGCTTGGATGCAGCTGCTCGGCCATGGAAACCCATTCCATGAAGCTCTCTACGCACTGTTGTTGGGCTCATCTGAAGGCCACACCAAGTCTGGAAGACTTTAGCTATTGACTCTGCAGACAGTTGGCGACTTCTGCGCACTGTGCCCTTCAGCATGCGCTGACCCCGCCCTGTCATGTGACGTGGCCTACCACTTGGTGGCTGAGTGGCTGTTGTTCCCAGTGGCTTCCACTTTGTTATAATCCCACTAACAGTTGAGCGTGGAATATTTAGTAGCCAGGAAATGTCACGGATGGACTTATTGCCCAGGTGGCCACCTATCACGGGACCACGCTTGGAGTCACTGAGCTCCTGAGAGCGACCCATTCTTTCACCAATGTTTGTAAATGCCGTCTGCATGCCTAGGGGCTTGATTGTATACACCTGTGTCCATGGAGGGGATTGGAACACCTGAATCACATGATATGGAGGGGATTGGAACACCTGAATCACATGATTGGGAGGGGATTGAACACCTGAATCAAATGATTGGGAGGGGATTGGAACACCTGAATCACATGATATGGAGGGGATTGGAACACCTGAATCACATGATTGGGAGGGGGAGGGGCAATACTTTTGGTAATATAGTGTATATGTGCTGTGCCGGCATTAAAGCCCACCCTTTTGCTGCCACACGTACAGTAAAAAAAAAAAGAAAGTCTGATATCATGTGACTACTTTTTGCTGCGTGATTATTCTTTGCATGGAAACTACAGTGATTGATTTTTATTTGATGTAGTTAAAGTGGATATAAAGCAAAAGCTTTTTTTCTTTGTAGTTTTGGATATTATAGGGTTAAATACCCCTGTGACGTTTTATTTTTGTGACCCGGCTGGGTAGAATCGTCCTTTCTGTCTTACCTGGTGATCATTGTCACAGAGACAGAAAATGATGAAAAATTAAAAATTTTAGGGATCTAATAATTAAAAAAAAAATTTGCGTAGCCGTTCATCATGAATCTGCGTGTACATTTGTTCTGGGCAAACTGGTCCACAGCGAATGTTCTTCAAAAAAATCTGAAGAATTTATTTTTAAAAATATATATTTTTTAAATATATTCTTCAGATTTATTTTAACATATAAAAAAAAATGTCAAATATATTTTTCTTCCATACGGGCGGGAGAGGGGCGTATATTTGTGTGGTAGGGTGACGTTACTCTGAATATCTGATAGGTAACTATAACTTATTTTTTTTTCTGCAGGGAGTTTTTCGGTCAGGGGTGGATGAAAGATGACAAGATCGATAGAACACCGTATATCGTGAGCACAAGCACACACTTCAACAATGTAAGTCATTGTTTGGTGGAACAAAATCAACATCGTAGTTCTTGATGGTGACAGGTTCGCTTTAAAGATCTTCCACAGGACTCCTTGGAGATGAATTGGCAGCTACTATCAGTGATTTTGGTAGGATGTATGCTGCCATTCTTCTTCCTTTTTTTGGTGGACATGTGCGGATTCGTTTCATTCCGAATCGAAATTCGGTTTAATTTTGTGCTATTCGATGATTCGGACGTATTCGAATTCTGAATTACTGTAGCAATGAATTTAAACGAATCTGAAATAACGAAATTCGGCCGAAATTCAAAATCAAGAATAGAATAGAAAATAAAAGAATAGAAAAGAATAAAATAGAATAGAAAGAAATACAGGAAAAAAGCACAGAATAGAAAATAAAAGAATAGAAAAGAATAAAATAGAATAGAAAGAAATACAGGAAAAAAGCACAGAATAGAAAATAAAAGAATAAAATAGAATAGAAAGAAATACAGGAAAAAAGCACAGCATAGAAAATAAAAGAATAGAAAAGAATAGAGCAAACAAAAAAAGCAAAAAAAAATGAAAAAAAAGAAAAGTAATATAAAAAAGCACAATTAAAAGAAGAACAAGAAAAATGAAAGAAAAAAGTATATAATGGAATAGAAAGAAAAGAAAGATGGAATAGGAAAGATTAAAATAATGAATAGAAAATTAAACAATAGAATAAAATAGAAAACAATAGAATAGAAAATCAAAGAACAGAGTACAAAAGACAATAATAGAATAGAAAAGAATAGAATCAATTAGAATAGAATAGAAAGCGTTAGTATAGAAAATCTAAGAATAGAATCAATTAGAATAGAATAGAAAATCAAAGAATAAAAAAGAATAGAATAGAAAAGATTAGAATGGAAAATCAAAAAGAATACAATATAAAAGAATAGAATCAATTGGAGTAGAATAGAAAATCCTAAAATAGAATAGAAAATCAAAGAATAGAAAATAATAAAAATAGAATAGAAAGGAATAGAGGGAAAAAAGAACAGAATAGAAAATAACAGAACAGAATACAAAAAGAATAGAATAGAAAAGAGCAAAAAAAAATAGAATAGAAAATAAAGAAAAATAATAGAAAAGGATATAATCAAATAGAATAGAAAAGATTAGAATGGAATAGCACATCAAAAATGGAATATAAAAGATTAAAATAGAATAGAAAATAAAAGAATAGAATAAGATAGAATAGAATAGAATAGAAAATCAAAGAACAGAATACAAAAGAATAGAATAGAGTAAAACAGAACAAAATACAATAGAAAATATAGGAATAGAAAAGAATAGAATCAATTAGAATAGAATAGAAAATCAAAGAATAAAAAAAGCATAGAATAGAAAATCAAAGAATAGAATCAATTGGAATAAAATAGAAAATCCTAGAATAGAATATAAAAGATTAAAATAGAATAGACAAGCAAAGAATAGAAAATAAAATAGAATAGAAAGGAATACAGGAAAAAGGAACATAACAGAAAACAACAGAAAAGAATGGAGTAAAAAAGAGAAAAATAAAAAATAAAGGAACAGAATAGAAAAGGATATAATCCGAATAGAATAGAAAAGATTAGAATGGAATAGCAAATCAAAGAATGGAATAGAAAAGAAAAGAATAGAGTAAAACAGAACAAAATACAATAGAAAATAAAGGAATAGTAAAGAATAGAATCAATTAGAATAGAATAGAAAATCAAAGAACAGAATACAAAAGAAAATAATAGAATACAAAAGAATACAATCAATTAGAGTAGAAAATCAAAGAATAGAATAGAAAGGGTTAGTATAGAAATCAAAGAATAGAATCAATTAGAATAGAATAAAAAATCAAAGAATAAAATAGAATAGAAAAGATTAGAATGTAAAATCAAAGAATACAATATAAAAAAAATAGAATCAATTAGAGTAGAATAGAAAATCCTAGAATAGAATATAAAAGATTAAAATAGAATAGAAAATCAAAGAATAGAATAGAAAGGAATAGAGGGAAACAAACAGAATAGAAAATAACAGAACAGATTACAAAAGAAAAGAATAGAGTAAAATGGAGCAAAATAGAATAGAAAATAAAAGAAAAGAACAGAAAAGGATATAATCAGAATAGAATAGAATAGAAAAGATTAGAATGGAATAAATCAAAGAATAGAATAGAAAAGATTAAAATAGAATTTAAAAAAATCAAAGAATAGAATAAAATAGAAAATAATAGAATAGAAAATCAAAGAACAGAATACAAAAAAGTAGAATAGAGTAAAACAGAACAAAATACAATAGAAAATAAAGGAGTAGAAAAGAATAGAATCAATTAGAATAGAATAGAAAATGAAAAGATAGAATAGAAAAGAATAGAATACTTTACAAAACAATAAAAATTGTGAGCTGTGCTATGGTGACAAAGGCACTGGGAAAATTTTGCTGAAAAAAAAAGAAATTTGCAATATGGTCAGGCAACTCTTCATATAGCCCATATACTGTACAATCAGGACCACATATGGATTGTAACGTTAGAATTATGATCAGATTCGTTCCAATTTTTTCAAAATAAACAAAACGAATTCCAAAAACGAATTAACAAATCGACTGAAAGGAAATGAGTCAGATAACGAATATAAACGAAATACAACACAATTCACATTTTTCCCTTTTGCACGTCTACATGTCATTAGAGTACATCTAAACAGAATGCAGGCCATACACGGGCCGAATTCCGAACGATTTTTCATCCAAAAATCGGAAACGCCGTTCGCTCGGTAATCCGATGGCGCCATCATTGATTTCGAAAATCGTCCCGACCGAGTCCTAAAGTTCCCACCATATAACAGGCGAAACTTCTGTTCCTTCCAGGTCACGGCTCATGGCGCGTATTCTTTTCGGAAAAACGATCGTACGATTTGACCGTCATTGGAGTCGAAAATCGGTCGTTTTTCACAAATTTTCCAACATGCCTGATCACTGAAAAGGGGGAGGAGCCACAAAATGGTCCGGTGCCATTGACCCCACTAAGGGCTCGTTCACACTTGGCTGTTTTGCCAACGCTTGCCAAACGCCCCTATAGCGTTTGGCAAGCGTTGGTCCGGCGTTTGCGGAGCGTTTTTTAACGCTCCGCAAACGCCGCATGCGCGGTTTTAGCGGCGGTTGCCAGGCGTTTGCCGAGCGTTAATAACGCCCCACAAACGCCTATAATGCAGTTTGAGTGGTGTTACCGCTCCGCAAATGCCCCGCAAGCGCCGGCCGGGCGTTTTGCGGAGCGGCACCATAGACGAGAATAGGAGGCTTCAACGCCTCCTGACTCGTCCAGAGGCGTCCGTTTTGCCGCGACGCAAACGCTCCCGTTAGAACAGCACCATGTGCTGTAATGTGCAGAATTGGCAGAGGCGTTTGGGAAGCGGTAAAAACGCTTCCCAAACGCCTCTCTGCCGCCGGCACACAACGCTAGTGTGAACGTAGCCTAACAAAGCGAAAAATCGGCCGATTATACTTAGGTCTGATTTTCAGATGAAAAATCGGTCGAATTTTGACCCGTGTATGGCCGGCCTTCGTCTGCCTGGAAGGCTAAGAAGATTCCATCGCTGATCTTCTACTGAACCCAACTGTACAACAGCCACTGCAGCTTCTGGATCAATGCCCTCTGGCAGCAGCTGCATGGACCCCGCCACATGAAGACGCCGGGCTGGACTGTGTCGTTGTCTCTTGTATACCCCATGGAAGAAAAATATATTTCAAATATATTTTAAAAATATTCTTCCCAAATATATTGATAAATATTTGAAATACTACAATTTTGGCCGTATTCAATATATATAGATCAGTGTTTTTCAACCTTTTTTGTGCAAAGGCACACTTTTTTCATGAAAAAAATCACGAGGCACACCACCATTAGAAAATGTTAAAAAAAATTACCTCTGTGCCTATATTGACTATATATAAAAGTAATTCTCTTGAATAGGAATCAAACACAAAGAAATTATTTTATAATTGGACCCGGGGGCCGGACCAAGAGTAGATGAATGATGTGTATGTGTCATCCATAGTAAGTATAGTAATATTCCCCCATAGTAAG